TGGAATCGGGAAAAGCAAAACAATGCAAAAACTACAGGAAATAAAATTGCACTATACTTTGTAAGTACTACAGGCAATCAACACAAATGTCGTCTTTTCTATACATGTACATCCCAAACTGTGCAAGTGATTCCCAATTTTTTAATAATACTTTTATTGTATCGTTTTACAGGATTTTCTTGAATTTTATTAATAAATTCACCAGGTTGAATTATAAGGGCTGGAAACAGAATTGACAAGGCACTTAAAAGCTATTTACTTCTGTATTCCTATGAAATTTGAACATTTAATAATTAAAAACGGGAATTATCAATAAAAACCTCTAGAAAGCAATAAATGAATTTGTAACTTTTACCAAATGAATTTGCCGGTACAACACAGTTAAGTATAAAGCACAACTTATAATGATCAAATGTGTTATCCCAACAGAAAAGTTATTAACTCGATAATAAATTTTTATTAATCAATATGCCTCTCATGCAGCAGTTCAAAAAGGAATTGTTTCAGAAATGCTCTCCGATTGCAAATCGTAAAATGCTTAATGAAATGAAGATATACATGTAAACTCTTCAAATGTTTTCTGACAAAGTGTGAACATGTAATGGACAACATTTGCAAACAGTAAAAAATGAAACTTGTTTTCTTCCGAATACTGCCCCAGATTGCCCAAAATTTGGTTCAATGCACAGTAACAAATCCGTGAATGAGAATTATTCTCCTGAGTGACAGACTGGGGATCATACCACAAGATGGTACAAGTAAAATATACGAATGAACAACAGCTTTCAACAGAAATCTTGCTTTCACCTTTTTTTTTCACCAAGAAGTATATCTACTGAGCTAAAATATCAACAAGTTTTTTTTCAGTAACCCACTTAAAATTTATTGCATTGTTGTTCCTTTAATGGGCAAAAACTCCCCCTTTTTTTTTGCAAATGGTGTCCATTCGCTTTATAAAATGAGAGTTCAGTTGATGTTGCTGACATCAATGAATTTTGCACTAAACATTTCTGTCAATACTTAAAATATAAACCTCAGAGCAAGGAAAATGGAATGAATATCAATACTGAGAGTCAATTGGGGATACTTAGGTGTGAATCAAAGCTTATCGATAAGTTTACAAATGGTTACAATTCTCAAATTAAACTTGTACAATCTGCAATTTTTAGATTGAAGTAAGGTTAATAGTAAATGGGATTTGTTTTATGATGGTTCCCAGAAATTGGGACCCTTACAGCAGCCTCATTGACACTCAACAGCATGGCCTATTACTTGATCTCTGACTAAACTGTCCACAGTTTGATAATGTGTCTCACGGCTCAATACCATGGCCCAATTAGTGACTCTGCCCATGTTGGTCAGATATCATTCTGTGCATGTAAGGCATGCACAAAAACAGAATAAATGCCTTAGGCCAAAAAAAGAGAAGTCTCCGGTGTCTGGTTTGCGCGCGCGTCGCCGTAGCTATGCGCGTTGGCAAAATGAAAACTTTTTTTTTCAATGAAAGATGATGTCTCAAAACCGCCAAACTCACTGGTTTGACTGGAATCCTGCTGCTGCACAATTTTAACGTGTTTTTAGATTGGGTTATGGTCGAGAATAAGCTTTATGTGGCCTCTCTGGACTCCCATATATTTGCACTAAGTTTAGTCGGGCACCATTTGCAGTCATCAGCCGACATTTGAAGCAAAAAATCAGGGAAAAAAAAAAAACACACGCGTTGCCGCACCACTTTTTGGGCAAGCTCCATACCAGAAACCGGAGACTTTTTTTTTTGGCCTTATGCCAAGAGCATTAACATTTTCATTAATGTTTATCTTCATAACCTTCTTTAAATCAGACTTCTTAAAAATACAAACTTCTATAGAAACAGCTGACAAGGTTTGAGTATGTACATTCAATGTAAACTTAAGGGTAAATAGGATCATTTGCTTGATTTTTTTCTTGTTCTTTTGTATGTACAGGGGGATACCATACATATTGAGAAATGAGAAACTTCAGTATTAACACATGCAAAAAATGTGCCCGCAGGCACAGATTGTAAAACACTTTCAATTTGAGTCTTCTTCCAAATAAGACTATTTTATGCAGAATAATTTCACAAGGTTTCTGATATTAAATCGTTCGGTAATTTTTTTGGGGCAATTGCAAATGATCCTACGTGGCTTTAATAGAGAACCATGAATTTGAATAAACTGCTTGTAAAAGTTGTTTTGATAAAATGACATATACATGTATGGCTGGTTATCATTTTATCAAAGTATGCCACAGCATAAAAGCTTACATCTGTTAAGGTTAATACAAGTTGTGTATGTATATCACAGCTGCATGGAATTACATGTTCAGGTATATGCTGCTCAAATACAAAATTAAGGTTTCATGGATCCCATTGATTTAACGCAGGTGGTTTAGTCTAGTCTTACAGGTTTCATATCTATCATTTGAAGAGCTGTGCTAATATTCTATACATTTTATGGGCAATTCTAGCATTATGAAAGGAAATGTAATGTTGGTGAAAGAGCCAATTAACCAGGATATCTAATGAAGGATTCAGAGAAATGATCCATGACTCCTAGTCCTAGTCTACCATTACTAGATGATGGATGGAAAAGATTTGAAACAAACATTTAGTCACCGAACTTTTTAAAACGCCATTACAGACATTACATAACAGTGGCTTTGCCCCTATGCAAAATATAAATGATTCACGTCGCATACCTTAAGGTACTCAAAGCCAAATATTGCCTTGGTTTGGCAGTGGTTTTGTGGGTTAAAGATACATGTCCATAGGATCATTTGCTTTTGTGCACTTTTTGTTTTATTAGGTGCATAACAAATAACTTGTTGAACTTTCAGCTCCATGGATACTTTACATTTTGAGAAAACAAGTTTTTATTTTGGGTCAGGTAACTGGATTCCGTTGCTATTAACCCATACAGCTATATTACATTACTAGAGCGCTAACTCCTCATTCTTGCGCATGGAGACGCTTTGAAGCCGTCCTAGGCGCAGACATTTTGAATTCATGTGCGTGTTTGTAGAACACAATGACATTAATTAGATGGATTGAATTCAAAGTGTACTGTAAATGCAACGGGAAGTAGAACATACGCAACAAATTAAGCATGTCATGATGGTTCCAAAAAGTCATGGTAAAAGTATCTGCAGTGGATACGTCCACGGGTTGCGCTGTTTGCAAAGAGCAAAATTAAACACTCATTTGCTGATCGTGTGTTTCGGTTTTGGTCATATGAGCTTCAGTAACGCACCTGTATAAAATACAAATGCAGATATTTAAATAAATAGTTGTACAAAATTTTGAGTTTTCCATAGGTTTGTGCACAAATATGGATGCGCCCAGCAGGCATCACTTTGTACACGAGTCAGTGCTCTAGTAATTTAATATAGCTTTATGTACCTGTATTAACCGCACATACAAAACTTGCAAACGATTCAATTTCAGGAGGAATAATTTCACAGGGTATTTGGTACCAGTCCTATCTTCACTTGCGCATGGATTTCCTCGTTACATTTTGTAAATCAACAGGTATGTTTCCGGGCAATTGCAAATGATCCTATGTGTCCTTAACTTTAAATTTTCTTCAATATAACACCGCTATGTAAACACAGTAATCTGACATTATAACAAGTATATAAATTTTGGGCTCTTGGAGCCAAATATAAAGTTTTCAATACGTCGTGTATCAGACAAACTTACTACAAAGAAGTCATTTTTTTCTCTTTTACTGTTTCCCATTTCAAATATCTCACCAGACCTTTCAATTTTATTATATATTTTTCTTTAAAGATAAAGTAGGATACCAATTCTAGTATCCAGTCTGCATATGTACAGAAATTTAGGCTCTACATTTGGAATTTCCTCCTTCATTCAAGAGCACGTGTTTGTTTGTTTGTTTGTTTTTTACATTGAATGTACTGATCAGCCAACTTTATACTGAGTCATTATAGTTTTGTTTATGCCCTAGGAAGAGTAACATGAGAAGAAAATGCACCAATCAGCATTGTTATATCATGTCTGATACTGTAATTCGTGTCTTGGATTCTGCATTTTTGCACGCGTTCTTAAAGACGAGGTGGGTGTATTTTGGTTCTACCTGAGCGCGAGCCTGGTTCCACCTCAACAATTGCTTCAAATTTTGCTCTGTATCAAGAATGCCACATGAATGCCCAACAATAAGTCAATGCTCGTTTTTTCCTGTAGAGACATGTGACAACTAGGGCTGTGACAAATATATCGAATATTGGAATATTCAATCGTCAACCAAATATCCAAATAGCAATTTTTTATTCAAATATTCAAAAATTGTGAGCAGTCTTGAGGAGATCATGAAAACTGTATAAGTTGTGTGGTTTTTGGTGTTTGTCAAATGCCACACTTGTGTTGAAAGCCGTTTCACACATGATTGGAGAGCTTCCATGAGGAATATTAGCTCAAATTTCTCTTCAAAATTGTTCAAATATCAGCCACTGCTTCTTGTTCTTTACATTAATTCAATAAGCTCTTTGTCAACTTGCAACAAGCGCAGGCGCATGCATATCCAGAGCCGTTTAAGCTGGCGCATGTTGAACTTGATCAGTGAATTTGACTATTCGAATATTTTGAATTGAATATTCAAATAAGCGATCATGTGTAAGTTGGAATAATTGAATACTAAATTAATCGTAAAATGCACAGCGCTAGTGGCAACTCCAGTATCCGTGGCTTCAAAACAAAATGCAACCTGATGAGTGTACAATACAGGGCAAGCTAAATGAGGATAAGGTAGAACAGGGGCAAATATTAGTCAGTTTGAAAAGTTGCTGAATAAAACACACCCTTTCTTGTAGCAAGCTTTGATTTGAAACCTACATGTACATATCCTTTAGTTCAGGTTAAATTAACAAATACGCTACAACCAACAGACATATAAGGCAAACAAAAACTTGTTCTGCTTCCGATTACGTGCTTTTCAAAAATAGGGTCAGTAGGTCGGAAAGGGTTTTTTTTGGGGGGGGGGGCCAATTTTTTTGTGCTGTTTGAATGGGGAATTCAATCATGTATTCAGCCTGAACTTTATTCATTTGTGAACTTTATTCATTTGTGCTTGGAAAGCAACTCTAGTCAAGACGGGAAACTGACCAAGACTGTCCGTATAGCACGCAGTCTGCTTGCATGATACACTGTGGATGGCGAAGAATGTCGAGTTACTGCAAGAAATTAAGGAGACACGCTGCGCTGTATTGCTGCGAGTATGAGCGGTATAAACTCAAAATAAATTCATGAACACGGAAAATACGTACACAGTTAATTCTGTGAATTAACTTGAAGAAATCTTCTTTCTCCATCGACGTTTGGCATTTTTATGGTGTCAAAACGCTATGTTGGCCAGCCATATGCATCGACTGGTAGCCCCATTTCCACCATGCCTTCCTTGGCCCTTTTAGTGCACGGCACTGCAGGAACCAGTACAGCATTGATCATTACGCATGTGTGTTCATCACCGCAAAGTGAACCGCGAAGGGAACTGGTAATCGCAAAAGGAACTTGTAAAAATTTGGTTTCTTCTCAAAAATAACAAATAGCAGTAGGCAAACAAATATAGACAAGCGTTTTTGACGTAAATAGGTTGTTGAGAGGCATTTCGTGTAGACAGAAAAGACAACCAGATTTTTTTTGGGGGGGGGGGAGGGGGTGGGGCATTTTTTAAACATTGAAATTTATATTTTTAACTTGTCGATAACAGTTTAAGGGTCGGTGCCGTAAAAATAGGGTAGGTAACCGGAAGCAGAAGAATTTTTTTTGCCTAATTTGTATGTATCTATACAGAATCCAGGAAAACCTAAGTTTAGGGCACCAAAGCTTGTGGAATGACGTATTACAACCTCAGTACTTCAGATTTGTCCCATGTTCTTTCTTTGTTAATTTTTTTTTTGAAAATGACTGTAATTTCAGATCATACCAAACCAGATTTAACAACATACACATTTTGGTTGATTCAGAGAAACTTTCTAATTTGAGGACAAATGACAAAAGTATGCCTTTAAACAGTTCAACCATTAAATGGTATTAAACAACTGATTAAATTCACAACACTTTTCTTGCTTTTAAAAGATCAATCTGGAACATGTTCATAACATACCTCATTTTTCAGATCCAATTTCATATCTGGGTCATTCTATAAATTTAGGGTCCAAAGTGTGACATTTTCCCTGTCCCGGTTACCTTGGTACTTTGTGTTTTGCCACTCAAGTATCATTAGGAATTATTTCAAATGATTTATTTCTTGGATAGGTAGTTTACTATTCATAATCACTCTGTGAAGGGAAGTGTTTTAAAGAGTGCATCAAAATTATACAATCATAGATGTCAGATGTTAACACGGACAGGAAAAATGTGGACCCCAAATTTATTGAATGACCCATATACTAATGAACAAATATATATACTTTGACAAACTTTTCTCAAACACAAAGTCACTCTTTCAAGACATAAATTTTGTCAGTAAAAAGGTTATGCATTTGAGAAAGCACAGGTTCCATACAAACCTACTGGTGATCATATCTTCTGACCAAATTACAACAATACTAACATATGCAGGATTTCAAATTAAATCATAGCTTGGTAGGTATAAGCACTCAGCCTAGGCCAGGTGCCATTTGTGTTTTCCTACTGTTGTTGCGGTCCAGCATGTCATAGCAAGCTTTGCAGACCCTTTCTGGTTGGTAGAGTTGTTCATGAGGGATCGGCGCTGTGAAACCAGTGCAGGTACTGCAGAAAACCTGGCCACAACTCCTGCACAAACAAGAATGTAATAATAACATTGAGTGGCCAAGTAGTTAGGGTTCGTGACTCATGATCAGGGGTCAGGATTCCAATCCAGCAACTGGTCAAAAGTTGTGTCCTTGGGCAAGCCACTTCACCCCAACTTGCCTCTCTCCACCCAGGGTTTTAAAGAGATGCATCATTATAGCTGGGGAATAGAATAGGCTGTGATGGACTGGCATCCCATCCAGAGGGACTAGATATTCTCTGTTATTTCGTGCCAAGGAAACTGGAGATAAACGCCAGCCTGATGGGTCATATTAGCTTGTGACTGTAAATTACTTTACTTTATAGCACATTACACCAAAGTCTCAAAGTGCCTCACAATTATTACAACAGACCATTTGTTTTCTGGATATATATCCAGATTGCCTTACCTACAATGATGTTTTCTGTAGACCACATTAAACTGTGTGTTACATTTGAAGCAATGCGTGACAGCATGGTCAGGAATCCACAGCGTGCGTTTAGTTTCTGTCTCATCCACCTGTTCCCATGAGATGTCTGATGTGATGGACCCACAGCGGGATGAGGCATCACGGTCCTTCTCATCCTCTAACTCACTGGCTACCACCTGGAAAAAGAACGGCATGTGCAACAAACATTAGGTAAATGTAAACTAACGCCTGACTGCTGTTTCATGTCTGTTTTGCTCTAACTTCAGGTAAATGTATACCGGTACTCAACTGACCGTTTCATGTCTGTTTTGCACTTGCATCAAGTTAATGTATACCTTAATGACTGCCGTTTCATGTCTGTTTTGAACCAACATTGGATAACACCACACTTAACTGACTACCGTTTCATGTTTGTTTTCCACTAACATCCAGTAAATATATACTGACTTCCGTTTCATGTTTTGCACTAATATCGGGTAAAAATCCTATAGAACTCTTGTGCTGTAGAACTCTTTGCTCTAGAACTAAGGCTGCATCCGAATGACTTGTCTGCAGCTTGCAGTAACCACGCATCCATAGGAAAGAGCTTCAATCGCTTCAATTGGCTCGTGAGTGACTGCAAGCTGAAGTCAAGTATTTCGGATCAGGTCTACGTTTCTATAGATTCGCTACTCACTACTTCCTCTTGGCATACCCCATTGAGTGCTACGTGGGGGAAGAGTGCCTTCATGTGACTGGATTGTTGCAGTAATTTCTGCAGTCGGATGACCTCATGTCTGAGAACCGCAACCTCATTCTGATGTCTGTGCATGATCCCCAGAAGTCTATCCTGTCCAGGGGCTGGGATCGTGGTCAAACCATCTTCATCAAAGTGACGGCCGACTTTCAGGCCACTCGTTGAGGCTTTAGCCGTGAGCATCTCCAAATCAGGGGTCAGGCAAGGTTGGGACTCGCTGGAGACGGGGCTTGAGGGAGCTGAGACAAAATTCTGGATGCTGGAGCTTGAGATGTGCCGGACGTGATGGCTGTCGCCGTTTGGCAAATTGGTCTGGATGCCGAGTTCTGGGAGAGACGCGGATTCTGAGATGAACAACGTGCGTGTCGTATCTGGCGGGTGACCACTGATAGTTGAGCTAGTCAGGTCAGACGTGCTAGTGCTGATGCTGATTGATTTGCCGAGCTGTTTGTTGTCAGATGGAAGGCTGTTTGCCGCCGTGATCTCACACTCGGCCTTCAATTCAAAGACTTGGTGTTCATCCTCTACATCACTGGTATCCGTATGTCCATTGCATTCATTCCAATGATTGAGTTCGGGGTTACCGTCTCTACTACTCATCAACTCTTCAGTCAGTGTATCTGTCGAGCCATTCATGGGTTTATCTACAGTCTGCTGGCTGCTACTATGACAGCGCTTTGGAGTTGAGGTCCTAGAATTCTCATCCAGAATTGTATCATCAGGATCGCTGTCGGTACAATCTCCGTTCAGGAGTCCGTTAGAGTGGCCATTGGTTAGAGGCTCACTGTTCAGATCGGTCTCGCTACTAGCGGCAGAGTCTTCAATCTGATTGACATCCTGGTTATCAGGATCTGCGGCTTCCTCAGCGGAGTTGTTGCTTCCTTCAGGATCATGAGTAGACTCCATCTCATCTCCTTCTCCTCTCAAGACTGCCCCTCCGATGGGTCTATCAGCCAGCTTACGTGTCTGCGGTGGAGTACCAATCCTCCCTCCATCCAATTTCAACTCACTCAGGTTGGGATCACTCAGTCGCCTGACTAATGGCCCGCCTTCCACGATGCTGCCCCGATGATTCTCCTCTTCGCTTTTGTGAAGGTCGTCGACCGATCGGGTGCGGGTAAGCTTGGCGCCCTCGCCTGTTGCCGTCTGGGCAGTCTGCAGGAAGCTTGAGTTGTCGTCGCAAGTGGCTGGGGTGGAGTCGGACAGGAAAACTGCTGTCCAGAAGTGCATTGTGCGCACATGGCAGCAAGGAAACAAGACCTGTCAAAAAGATACAGAAAAAAACATTCAATTTTCAGAGGATTTCAATGAATGTTAATCTAGTAAGTCAAATCCATGCACGTGATCACTGTCCACTCAGGAGACCTGCTTCAACGAAGAAACCATTGAACAAAGCAACTGCCCTGTGATGAATTATCTGAACAATAACTTCCACAATACTTTCGCAATTGAAGAGGGCCTTCGTGATAGAATTGATAGCGAACACAGATTGGTCTATACAATCCCTCATGCATGAAATGCAACACCAATCAATAACACTATGGCACATCCATTTCTACTTAAAAAAAAAATGATATCAAGTACAATTTATGTGACTCTTCAACATTCAATTCCTCAGAAATACTGCAAAACCTGATGTGCATTCTGCTTGAGTTTGGTAGTAAGGACTTAAGGAACGATCACAACTAATGACATGAAAACAAGAACACCAATAAAAGTCGGGAAACGACACAACTTAGCACAATAGTCCCTGTACCATCGCAAACCGCCTGAGCGCTCCATGCTTTTATGGGTTCTTTAGGAATAAATACAATGAATGTAGTACAGGGGCTTATGGCAATAACAGCCCAACATAACAAAATTGACAACCAAGAAAACAGTCAATAGGCAACAGAATAATGCACAGTCGGTAATTCCTTAATTGGGAAATTCAATGAAATTGTCTGTCTAAACAAATACCCTGGGGAAAAAAGGCATACTTTGAATCCTCACATGATGGAATTTTATGTTTCAATCACCGTTACTTACCGGTTCAGTTGTAGGTGCAAACAGAAAGTTGCGGTATTTATGCGCCTCGACCCCCAGCAATGCCCAGACTGAGCATGTGCGGTCTTTGATGGAGTGTTTGGCTCGTTGTTGTGCGCTGTTGCACAGAAATGTGCCGAAGAGACACGAGTAGGTGTGCTGCACTAGCTTCACCTACAAACAACGCAAGACAAACAAACTACCTTCAATAACACAAACTGGCAGTTCCTCCGTGGTGTCAGACAAACATATTGGACAAATCAACAGTGTGCATAACAAATTTATAATCATGAAGTGGGTTTTAATTCTGATAAAAAGTATCAGTTTATCACTAAATGATTTCAAAAAGAAATTATTCATTCAATTTGTTTGCTGCAGTAGAAATCGGCTTGAAACACCATGATGTCATACGTACTCAGACAAATTGATTTTTTGGTGTAGTGATTAATTACAATGTAATTTCTAGTTGAATATAACAGCTGGCCTGCTGAACATTGTTAGAAATAAACTGAATTTCAATAAAATACTGCTAATAAGCTTCTGAATGATATACATGTTTTATTTCTAGCATGTGGATATTTTTTAAATTTTGGTACTGAGGTTATTTCCCAAAAGCATAACATAAATGTCTCCACCAATATTGAAACTTGAGCGGCCACAATGAACAATAAACCAATCAATTAGGCTCCGCCCACAGCGCATGTAAGCAATACTTTCCTCACTCCAATGCCATGCTGAGATAAAACAAGTCATATTTCAGTGAATGAGGGTGCTGTAATTGTACGTAAATTTAAAATTGAACTGTGTAATAATGTCAAGTTTGAGTTGCAGTAACACTTAAGCTTATGTTACAACGCCCTCACTTGTTCAAGAATAAGGTCTATTACTGTATCTAAAACATGATATAACATTCCTTGGACCGTCTTAGCTGTCTGGGGATTGTTCAGCTTGTATGGGGGATATTTGTGTGATTTCCGTAAAAGCAAGTTTCTTGAGTTTGCTGAACTTACCAGGAATGTTTCATTGAACTCAAAGGCCGTTGGGTACTGCTTGAGGAGTTGATGTACGCAGTCCAGCCACTGCAGGAACACAGGACATCTCTGGTTGACATCGTCGTCATTGGGTTTGTGACCGCAACGATCGCCAAACTTGTGACCAAAGTTGAGCCACTCTCGCTCAACTAGAACTTGAAAGCCCTGTGGAGAAAAGATCAATCACAAATCAATCAAAGGTCATCACAAGTAATCACAAGTCAATCACAGGTAAAAAGATGTTATCATCATAAAACAATCTTAAGTCGTTGCATGTCAATCACTAGCAATCACCTGTCATCACAAGTAAAACACAGCTAAATCACAAGCCAAAAAAGTCATCACAAGTCAATCACAAGTCAATCACAAGTCAATCACAAGCCATCACAAGTCAAACATAATTATGATATTGCTGTATGATTCAATTTCATTACACAAGCCTCACAGAAAAAAAAAGTCAAAGCTCTGCCATCACACAATAAGTACAATAAAAAGTGAACGTAATCCGGTTAGCATTTCAGAGGTAACATACCTCTAGTGTCCGGTAGTAAGAATCCAACATCAACTCAGCTAGGGCCACTATCTGTGGTGTCCGGTCCCAACCGTCTGAGCAATGGACTACTACAGGACACGCTTCTTTGTCTACCGTATTGACCACCATCAGAGCTGATTTGAGCAGAAGGGACAGGTGCTGTAACCACTTGGTAGCTTCCAATAGAGACAGCCAGCTAGAGTGAAAGACATTCAAGGATTCTGGATTAGATATTTAAGACATGGAAAAGATAGTGTGCAGTTTGTACAAGTATAAGGTATATGTTAACCCTAACCCTGCTAGACGCACAACACAGTGCATCAGGTGTAAAAGTCTGTGGGACCTTGCTGCATTGAGCCATCAACACCAGTGCATGAACGGCCAATTCTGAGACAATGGGAGCTAGCCCATTGAACAATGCAGTTAGCAATCACAGACTCTGAAGCATGTGCTGGGATGCATTTAACTGTTGGGGTTGGGAAATTAACTAAGGGGAACAGTAGGATGAAAGGCCAAACAGACCAGTCCGTTCACTCACTTGGTTCCGTCAGGTGTATTGCTACATAAGTTCCTAACTCCCTGAAAGCTTTTTCTGATGGAATGGATGTTAGCGAGTCCCATGAACTGGATGTCGCACGATGGGTAATACTCTGAAGAAAAAAAAAGGACATCACATATTATATAAAACAGCTTCCAAACGCAATGGGCTCCATGCGCAAGATTCTAGTCCCACCCAAGTAACCTTGTGATTTTTTTCTCACAAGCTCTTGGACACAATGTTGAACAGTGCTTATGAAATAAAACAAAGGGCCATTGCTGTTGACATTACCTGGGAATTCACAGCCTCCACCCTTAGCCCTGTTGGCATATGCTGCTGTGTAGGAACGAGCATCAACTATCAAGACTTTCTTGTTGTTGGGATTGGAGCCTAGGTGAGGCAGAAGGCTCACATCTGTCAGAGTAAAAAAAAACACAGAGGGAATCAAGAATAAGTTTCTGCAAAATATACAGATTTTTTGTTGTTGGATAATCACAAATATCTGAGACAAAGATCTTCAGATGTGTTGTCAAATGTCCATCACAAGTCAGACTCAAGTTAGTTGCAAGTTCATCAAAAGAAATCACAAGTCAATCACAAATCCATCACAAGTCAATCACATGTCAATTCCAAATCAATCGCGAGTCCATCAAAAGTCAGCCCAAGTCCATCACAAGTCCGTCACAAGTCGGTCACAAGTCAATCACAAGTCAGTCACAAGTCAGCTTCAAACACACACACAGCATCAAATGAAAAATCAATTTACCGCTAGCCTCTCCTCCAGCCGTTCCATTGACTGTTTTCTCGGTCTCCTGGGCTGCAGTCTGTGGATTATCTATGTTACATGCTCTCAGGATGCTTTCCATGAAGCGTTCGTCTTGTTCACAGCGCCAACCAAACCAGCCAATCTCTGGCTGACTACATCGCGCTATCACGGCTCCGTTACGCTGATGCCTGCAAAGGAAAAAAAGAAAGTTAAAATACAATTTAAGTTTAGTGGTTAGGGTACACGACTCATGATCACAGGGCCAGGGGTTCGAATCCAGCTGCTGGTCATATGTTGTGTCCTTGGGCAAGCCACTTCACCTCCACTTGCCTCGGCAATGCAAGACTCCCTCCCAGTGGTCTCCCCCAACTTTCCCTTTGTTACCGTTGAGGGGGTACTTGTGCATGGAGTGTGAATGACAATCAGTGCTTACCTCCAGACGACTGACGGGAATCTCTTGGATGCTCGGAATGAACAGACTTCTTTGAGATCTTCATCGGTCACCCAGGCTGGTACAATATGCTGGACTGGGTACGACGAACAGTTCCTTGAACGCAAAACAACCAAATCACTGTTAGAATTTACGTAAAATTTAAACAAGAATACGTAATACTTATATTTACACACACAGAGTTGCAGGAAAAAACCTAAACACACTCTGGTTTTGAACATGCAAACTTGATGCATATTGTTTCCATTGAACAGAGTGAAATCAAGAGGCTCTTACAATTCAACAGTGGAAATAGTCGCATCGCAATGTTTAAAACATCCAGTATTTAAAGGCAACAGACACCATGTGCAACAACTGTGTTTGCCGATTCAAGGAACAACTAAATCTAAACCAGATTAATAAACTAACCTGTCAAAATGTCAACTTAGTAGATATACTTTGGGAGAAAACTGTGAAAATGCATTGTTTTTTGTGCAAAGAATAGTTTTCAGTTGAAAGCGCAACAGTTTGGTTTTAACATCGCAAGGAAATGATGGTATTTCCTTTTTTCCTCAAAAACAACAGCATACTAGGTGCGATGATTTCACAGGATGCTTGATCCTGTTATTTACATACAATCAAGTAGGACATATCATGATATTGTGATAGCTTCATTTTTGAATGTTTGAAAATCATTCAAAATCATTCAAATCAGACAACTGAACAGTTACATTCATCTGTTACATCAAGGTAATGTTATGTACATGTAGTACGACAGTGTCTTACTTGTACTCCTTGTTTTCAAAGATCCGCCAAGCTTCTTTCGTATCAAAGCCTTGCCGTCTGACCTCACTGCTGAAGGAATAGGTTGGAATATCTCCTGAAAGCGAAAGAAAATCTCAGTATTACTTCAACCTATAATAGATGATCAATTTTGGTGTTATGTAATGTCCATGACAAAACTAAAGAGCACAGTGAATCAACTTGAAAATGCATTTTTCAAATGCATCCATCATATACTAATCTGGCTTGCTATGAATCAAGTACTACAGATCCCTCCAAACATTTAACTTGCAAACCTTTTTCCAAGCATAACTATTAAATTCAAGGAAATATTGAAGGACGCATGCTTTACCATCTTCTGAAAAAAACTGAAAAAAATTGAAATGGGCCTTGATTGGTTGATGTTTAGTCTGTGGCATTTTTGTTAGATTCACTTGTACAAGCAATGTGTTCTTCAATGGCTCCAATGAGCAGTCCAAACAGCGCCCTCTATACCCCTGCACAGACCCCATTGCATATTTCATGCTGAGCTGACTTACCAGCAGACTGCAGGAAACCAACGCCTGGCCCTGGCGAGTCCACATCGTGATGAATCTGATCAAAACACCAGGCATGGAAGGCAAAGGCAAACAGGTCCTCTAGCTTACTGGGGGGTGCGATGGCCGACATGAGACGCGTCAACCAGTCCTGACATTGCTCGTTGGTGGCAAACTTACACCTAGAGAGGGAGACAGACAAACAGAACGTTGAGTGCATTAGCATTGCTGTTGATCAGTCATATCTTAGTATGATAGAAATTTATGATATAGACAATTTGATACTAGTGAGTTAAGCTCACGTTTAGTTACTTAAATAATTTCTTTACAATTTTTGAATTAGTGGTGGTCTGCCAATAATATCAGTACTCGCAATGTAGACTGGTTCCCGTTTCGGTTTAGAGCAGATAATATATGTGAACCATGGGTGCCAGTCTGCTCACAGGATGATCTGTTTGCACTCAAAAGCAACTGAAAAGAAAAGCATTTCTTTCTGAAAGCTGCGAATGCCAAAAACAGACGAGTACTTGTTTTGTTAGGAGAAAAAAATTTAGTACTGACAGGTGATTGCTTTAATTGAAATCCAAATCAGTCACCTACATTTCCAACATTTCAAAGATCTGTCGGAGAATATTCCCAGTACATGTCAATGTTCAAATCAAAATGTAAAGATTTCAAAACATAAATCTACATCACAAATTCTCTTCAAACTGTGAAGGTGGGCTGCTGATGCCCACGCGAAGCCCAAATGAATTGCTTCCAAGTTTTATTCCCCATGAAGGGAAATCCCCATTTCCTTTCAGCCAGGGTTCAAGTTCTATGCTTAGTCATGATAAGCACCTCAGGGTTGACACTTGCGACTTGTACATCAAGGGATAGATAGATTTTGTTATCACGTTTTACTTCAGGGCACAGGAACTAGGATATCAAATCTTTATTCAACCTTTTCAAAGTATTTTTGGAGGGGGAGGGTGTGTTTTGTAAGTGATTCTTTAGGTGTTTGTATACTACGAATATTATCTTTAGGCTGAAAAAACTGTGTTTACATAATGCCTTTTATCCCAGTAGGTTGACAGGAAAGAAAGCTTAATTTTAATTTTTTTTTTTGGTCTGTCGGTTTTTCACTTTGTTTACTTTAAGGTACCTTTAAAAGTATTGTATAACTGACCCGTTTAATTGTTAATTAACCAACAAAACACATAGGGATGACTTTTTTATTTTCAAAATATATTTTAATTCAAGTTTTGGTCAAATGTGGCCAAAAAAGTTGAGGTCGGCAATTCGGCCTTAAACAATTCCAGGTAGGTCAGCCTACATAAACACACAAAAAAATTCCGGCCTTAGTATTCAACAGAATACTAAGGATATAAGACAAATATGAGGCACAATAAGTAGTGAGAATTGTAACACGTTTTAAAAATATGAAATGTTTACAGTTTGACTTTTGGTGATTTCTAACTAAGGCATAGAAGTATACTGCTCAATCAAATTCATAAATATCTACGAATTGTATGTCCATGCACTGGTTAACCACTATTTGATGTCCCATCGGAATGAAACCGCATGGGAAACCTGTATCCGTTACTTCCTGCAAGAGGATGTAGATGAAAGTCACAGTGCATTGCTGATGTACATTGCAATCGGATGTATGTTAAGCTTCTCTGTTGGCCTGGAATTTCAATTACATGTATACTGCACATGCTGCAGTCTGGTTTAGGTTTTAGCAAGGTTAAATTCTCGGGTCACACATGGTAGCAAGGATTTTGTGAACCGAGTTGATCAAGTTGGGCTTGAAAGACCGTGGATTATGAAAATGATATAAGCAGAATTGATATAGGCCTGCATGTACAGTATATAGGTTTCATGTACATGTACATGTACGTGTTAACACTGCATAGCGTGTTTCTAATGGTGTTTCTGACAAAATACATTGTTGAAGGGAAAAAAAAGAAGAAAAAAAGAAACGACTGCTGATGTCAGGAACCGGTTCCGGATTATGGGATCGGGTACCCGTAACCAACTTTACAAATTACCAAGCAACTTCTAAGACAATGGAAAAAAAGGGTTTTGAATGAATGCCATTTGTGGAGAATTTTCAAAATGAAAACCAGGCTTCGTGGAAAACCAAAACAGATTTCCTGTTTATGCATTTTCAAGTGCGACGGTTGACGCTCGCGAAAGGAGCAGTTTACACCGTAAAGTCATAAAGCCCTTCAGGCAACTTCCGGGATTTGCATTATACGGGTACCTGGATACCCGTGTTTACTTCAATAGGGTACCCAGTTTCCGAACTACCTGTAAATGCACACCTATAGAACGTAAATGAAAGGAAATTCACAAAGTAAGTATGAATAAGTTTGTGCATGGAAAAGGTGCATTTTTGAATAATGTAGTATTCAATCATTCCAATTTCCAACAAACATGTGGCATTTGACACACAATGAAACCACACAACCCTATGTATATTTTTCATCATCTCCTGGAGACTGCTCAAATTTCTTCGAATATTTAAATAACCAAAATGTTATATATGGATATTTGGTTGATGATCAAATATTCAGAGAAGGTAGCCAAGCAGAAACATGCTTACCTATATGTCTTGCCGTCTTTGCATAATATAACCAGATAGAACAGGTCTCTGCATTCTACGGACTCTATCAGCATCACAGGAACCTGCCAAAGACAAACACACAAAAGCAGCAAGATGAGTACAATGGCACATGGTATACTGCTTATTATATCGTGTTTATAATGTAAGTTGTAATGTTTAATGGTTGCTCGTGAGTGCAATTTGCCAATATGTAAATAAACATATTTGTGTTTTTAAAACACCAAATTTCTGTAGTGTAGTTGAGTTACATGTAGGTAAACAAAGTTAAACATACATGTTTGTTGAAAAAACATAAGGAATTTAAACCTTGATTACTACAAAAGTATAGATAATTTCAAGACAATTGTAGATAAAATAAATCAAATTCACACTTTTCATTTTCTCCCTCTTTTAATTACTGTTCATCCAAACAAGAATTGATTTTTACAAAATACGTATAATAGACGAAATTCATTGTTTAATTGTATCTTTCTGCCATCTCAGACTGTTTTAACTAAATTTCCAGATGAGCGCTAATGATTATTATGACCTTTGAAATTGCTGCAATGTTTAAATATAGATGGCATCTAGGCAGAATGTATACCTATAGACAGTACAATATGAGTGTATCATTAACCCATGATGATGTGCAAACAAGCATGTCTCTTGAACGTTAGCCCGATACAAAGTCAACTGGATTCCTAGGCTCTAGATCTAATCAATTAACCTAAATATGATTGTGTACAGGTACATGTACGTCCATAGACATGTCTGCGGAATCAATTTTCGATGAAAAAGAAATCATCCACATTGCACAACCCAGCCAGCTAACACATATAACCAGTGCACTTTCAATAGAAATGGGAATGTACACAAATGTCCTTTAAATTCCTGCAATTTTTTTTCTAATTTTTTCTGGGCGTCAAAACATTCTAATCAAATTACATCTCTATGCACAGTACGTATTTTTGTTGAATCTTGTTTAACCTGGCATTTAATTCAATTAAATGTATCTAATCTAATTAATCCCAATCATTGATTCTGATTGATTGATTCTGCAATAGTAAGCTGACTTAGGCCTACTTCATTAGTTTAAGAACTATCCTAATCTAAATCCATGTAAATCCCATGTTACTTAAAAAGAGGATTAGATGTAAAGTCCTACTAATCCATCAAACTATGCAAAACCTGGGCGTGGTTTTGAATGGACTGAGGGTAATTAGGGTTAATATATTCACATGGAATGTTACAATCTATACACGTAGCAAAACTGGACACATTTTGACTAGTTAGGTTGTACATGTATGTATTGAATAGCTTATTCTGGAGAAAAAACAAAATCCAAAGGAAATTTTACTGCAAAACAGGTGCACAGGTAGACATATTTATGAGTGTGTGATTTGATGGATGGTTTGAGGTTGGGTTGGGTGGGTGGTTTGGGATAAGGGAAGGGATGGGTGGGTGGGTGGGCGGTTTGGGATATGGGATGGGTGGGCGGTTTGGGATAAGGGATGGGTGGGCGGTTAGGGAATGGGTGGGTGGTTTGGGATAAGGGATGGGTGGGCGGTTTGGGATAAGGGATGGGTGGGAGGTTTGGGATAAGGGATGGGTGGGTGGTTTGGGAATGGGTGGGTGGTTTGGGATAAGGGATGGGTGGGCGGTTTGGGATAAGGGATGGGTGGGAGGTTAGGGAATGGGTGGGTGGTTTGGGATAAGGGATGGGTGGGCGGTTTGGGATAAGGGATGGGTGGGAGGTTTGGGATAAGGGATGGGTGGGTGGTTTGGGAATGGGTGGGTGGTTTAGGATAAGGGATGGGTGGGCGGTTTGCGGTTGGGGATGGCTGGGTGGTTTGGGATTGGGTGGCCTTGGACAGGCTGAGGTTGGGTTTAAACATTTTAGGGGAGAGCAATATAACCATTCTTTTGAGGCTTCAAAACATTAATTACTAGCTAATTTCTATATATCACTTACATGCGACCACCCAGGCGACAAAGTAAACTTCAAATTCATCTTTAAGTGATTTCAACTAGAAATGCGACCTTTAAAACTTCACATTAGTCGGGGCTTTTCCCAATAAATTATTATTACAAGTCTATAAACACTTTTATAACACATTTTGTGATTAAAAGGGCCTCCACTGGACCAGTACATATTTATTTACCAGGTACATGTAAATGTACATGTAACCAGCCAGACATACATTATCAGCCAGACATCTCTGCCATGTTCTATGGAAATGCAGTCAATAGTTGAACAAAGTCCACTGTGCAGATAGTGAAGTACATGAACATGAACCAGCTATGTCAAGTGTCACGTGTGCCATAATTGTATATTTATCTCAAAGGTGATGAGGTCAAATCAGGGCAGTCTGCAATGGTGTACGTGATTCTAGGGGCATTCAGAATTCTAACAAAAGTGACACTGAATCTGGAGTCATAACTGCAATACTGTGGTATAATAAACACTCAGTGTTGAACACTGATAACACTCAACTGTTAAACATTAAATAGTATGAATGATAATACTAGCAGATACGCAAATGAAACCTTTATCATGTTTGCATTGATTAGAGAGAAAAGTATTCGTTATACATGTTACTATAATGGCTATTTACAAAATAAGTTAATTTATAAGCTGTTAAGGGAAAATGTTAAATATATCCTTTCTTCAAACAGCATTCTTTGTATGTACATAGTAATTCATGACATCCTATTGTACCTACATGTACATGTGCACACTACACGACAAACACTGTAGCAACCCTACTAAAGCTGGTTGCAGAGCACACAAAACTCTAACTGATTCTGAAGAGACTCAAGTCTTTTCATGCATGTGATCAACACAATGGGCAGGTTTTGCCCATTCATTGGTGTTACGGGGAATCCTATACAACAGCACTGCCCAGCACACAATTGATAATCAGTCAGTCAGGCAGTGAGATATATCACACAGAATCCCACAGTAACATGCATTTAATGCCAAATTTGCCATACTTACATTGACAAACGACTCCTTGTGACGTATGAGCAAGCGGTAGCTGGACAACACAATGATGGCATCGGAGGCTCTACCAAGGAAAGTGACACTCTCACCACAGAGCTGATGGTATGGTACCTCTAGGCGGGGATCATCCTTGACCATGGGTTTCAATGGGAAGGCTTCGCTGGACTGCAGGCAGACCAGACTATCTCCTTCCTCCTGGTCAGCCTGCGTCAATCAACAACAATCAAAGACCAACTAATAAGCTTTTGTTTTGTATGACTGTGTAAATCGAGTTATACAGATCCAAAATAGATCAACCTGTTTAGCCTGACCCGCTTCGCATGTTGGCAAACACAATTGCATCGTTTCAGTGCTAAATAGACTTAATGCATTGCACGGGACGTGTCTAAGAGGCTGGTTTTTGTTATTTTAAGTTAGTAACAATGAGCGCACAATAGGTTTACTCATGCCTACCCACGCAATACATAACCATTGCCTTTATCTCCTCCTTAATTAATGCATACAGTCTATTGCATGTTTGACAACCCATGCATCAAACCCTAAGTGCACGTAGCTTGTCACCATGGCTGACTGCATCAGTCCATTGCCCACTGCGTTGGCACATAAAATGGCTAATCTGAATGACATTAGAGAAATTTAGTCTTGCTCTCTATCTTTATAGAGAGCAAGTTGAGGACGACAAATTTTCATGGCTGCCATTTTCAATCTTGTTCTCACAGTGCAACTTTTGCCCGTCACAATCCTAGTCTTTACAGAACAGAGCACAGTTCTGTATATTTTCCCCACGAATTTGACCAAGTACAACACGTTGTACTTCCACTTGACTTTGATACAATTGATTCCCAGAGAGCAAAATCACTTAAACTCCCTCACCTTGTAAGGCTGTGTCCAAATAAGTCATTTACGAATTAAATTCAAGTAACATATGGTTCTCTGATTTGCTCGAATGTTTGGCACATTTTAACTTTGAATTCTCCACACCAAAGAGACTGTTGCTATATCACATGATACTGGGCAAGCTTTACGCTAGCAACTGCCAGCTCCAGCATTAACTGTGCAAGAGCTTGCCCCGAATCATGTGATACAGCAACAGAGTCTTTGGTCTGGAGAATTCAAAGTTAAAATGTGCCAAGCATTATGAGCAAGTCAGTGAACCAGATGTTATTCAAAGGTAACTCGCATAGGGTAAAAGTTATTCGCAAATGGCTTATTAAGTGGTTACAGCTTACAATAACACTTGTCTTATTATAAAGAAGTAGAATTCAATAGCCACAGACAGTCATATAGCCAAGCAATTGTCTGGGTCACAGTGTCATTGACAACTGATAGAGAGGAGACATTGGAATGTATTAACATGACCGGAATGAACTCACCATGTCAAGGTTGCCTCTAGACTCTGCTATCCAGAACATACAGCTACCACCACTGTACAGCCAGTACAGGAGGTTGGATGCCCCTCAAGCAGAGAAACGACTGCAAAACTTAATCACGCCTTGAGATGGAGACTACATGGACCTGCAACAACAGAGTCAGAGATGTACATGTTAAACCACCAAAAACTAGATTTGACTTGATGGAGAATAGTCAATATTATATAACCGACATAAAGATCCTCGTCATTTGATTGGTGGAACTCACATTACATGACATTCGTTATTGCTCCCATTCACGCCGCGGCATTAAAAAGTACTATCCGCCCATGGGGAATGGGAAGTACTATTCAACAGTTAGGATCATGACGCGGTATTTGTGTGCAAATGCATGCTGTTGTGCGCGTTCAGCTTTGCGCGTAGCGCGTATTGTTCCAAAGAGCCAGCGCTAGAGCATTGGGTTCAAACACTTTTGTGAAGGGGTAGTTTGGAAGAGAGAAATACATTTTCCTCCAGTTTTGTATTGAAATAAAAGTTCAAATTTATCAAATGACAAGGATCTATATGTCAGTTATATAAAACAAATATTGAGTGGCTTTAAATTGTGAAATAGGAGGAATATTATCGCTCGGTAAAATCTGGACTTTTCCAGTTCACTCGGCTTCGCCTCGTGAAATGGAAAAGTCCAGATTTTACCTTGCGATAATATTCCTCCCATTCCACGCTGAGCCACTCAATATTTGTATAATATCAGTTTTAACAACGTTACACCAATTCTGTACGAACATGTATACATGCACAAACACTGCGGTAGAATCTTCACTCAATACAATCTACTTAAACAAAATAAAAATTGCTAATGAAATACATTTTGAGAAATGAGTCATTCCACTGTTAGCATGTAAACATGTTATCAGGATTGTGTACATAAAAAAAAGACTGGTTTAATCATGTCCACTGAAACAACTATGTCGGTGATAAAAACATTGTAATCTGCATATATTTCGATTGAAGCCTGCATCTGCTAAACTCCCAATATTTGCATACATGTTTGTATTGTGAGTCATAGTCATTACTGCTGATGGATCTCACACGGCCACATGTCACATTATGAAGGAATCCATGGAAACTCATACATGATTCAATAGGACTGGGAAACCCCTCCAATATTTCAACTACTGTTTGCTACATGGCTACAGTAATGTGGCATGTTCCTGGAATGATCCATAGTGACTGTAAACATGGTAAAGAGGTAAACATGCATGCAACTGTGCAGTAATAACAAAAGGAAGGAGAAATCCTAAGATTTACAAGATTTTATAAAGTGTTTTTTGGTAAATTTTCAATGGCATAAGTGTAGAAGTGAAATTTCCCCAATATTAAAATGAATTTGTTATGAAACTGGAACACAATGCAGATTTACGTCCAGATATTAAACGTCAAGAATCTAAAATAAACCAATGCACTACTAAGCCGAAACTTACCAAGGTATAAAATAACAAGCTGCAACTTGTATTTGTCCGTTTCGTACAAAACAAACAAACAAACTTTGTTGGAGTTTCGCAAGTTACCCTTTATACCTGTATACCTGAATAAACAACCCTGATATGCTCAACAGCCACATACACTTCCTGGTGAAATATTAACACTGAGCCATTTGAACTGACATGTAATTGTGCAATGCACAATATTATCCCTAAATTTATGACTCCATAGTCAATTTCTTAACATGAAAGTGTGAAACCTAACATTACAGCAAAACTCCATATTTTTTATCTTTGTAATTGTAAAACCGTTTTGAGAAAAAAATCCATGTTACTCAGGTTGCAAATACTAGGAAATACATAGAAAATGCTCTTCAAGTCCAGACTTGTGTAGTATTAGTTGTGTATTTCCTGTCACCATTTTTGTTAGGAAATTGAAAATTTTCTTACAAAGGAACTTTATTCCCTTGCAACAGGCTTTGAAAACAGCAAAGTTGACCTCAACCTCTGCTCGCTAGAAAGGAACCGTTGAAAGCAATATCATAAAATACACGATCACAAATCAATTCAGTTATGCTTTTGTTATGCACTCTGAGCATACAGGGTCAATAAAAGCAAGCTGATTTTTCAGTTTACTGGATTTTAAAAAAAATATCAATATTTTGAATTCAGAAAGGGGGACGATTGAAATAACTGCAACAATCATTGGACAGGTTTCTGACTGAATACATTTTGCGTGTCATTGGTAAGGTTATTATTTATACACAGTGCACATGTACAATTGTACAAGTGGTCACAGTGTGTTTAAGTACAGAAAGGAGTTCACTACATGTAGTCTGCAATAAATTACAATCTCAAGAGAGCGTGTTGATCTTCATTTAAGATGGAAGAAAATACACAAGCTTTATGCTTGAAAATTACCTTTCAATTATTACAGCAACTTGCAAAGACAGAACAGACAGGTACAGAAAACATTACACGCAGCCTCTTCATACACTAAAAACAAATTGAATTCATTTATGATTGATAACTTCTGTAGAACTGTACAGGGGTTAATGGTCCACAAAACACCTCAAAATGAATAATAACTTCATTTTGTTTGTATAGTTTCACCTAGTTTACACACTCACTAATTAATACAAATGTAATATGGACTCCACAAAATTTGTTTAAATGTAACCGATACCTACCACTACCAGAAACAGTCGAACACAAAAAATAATTGCGCGCAGGCAACCACATGGGGGAAAAAACAGGAAATGACTAATGAGAGCCATTATTTTGTTCACAAAATTTGGTCAAATTTTCTACAATAAGAGATAGCATTGTGATGTACAATCGTAATAATAAACACTTCCATGATTATAATGCCTTTTTATTATTGCAGTTACACAGGCATGCCACATGATGGCAAGGGCAGCATGCCAAGAGCAAAGAGTGTGAGAAAAATAATCAAACAAATTACATTAGCTGAGTAACTCCAGCTAAAATTACATAACAAAAAACTGGCATAACTGCATTTTTCTCAGCTAAATAAATCAGTTTATTCAACTGTCATCATTATTTGTCCTTGTTTCAGGTTATTATCATTAATGCCTGATTAAGTGTACACTTAATTTTCAACTATCATTACATGCATGGCAGTGTCACTGTCACTTGTCAGAAAATGACACTTGACACTGACAGCACGAATATCAGCTGCAGCGCATTTGCATGTCCTGACGTGCAGTTGCGTGTACATGTACATGTACATGTACATGTACGTGTGCGGTCTTCGTGGATGCAGTCGGTCCTTCACTCCTTGCTCTGAAATTCAACAAATAAATACCCCTACCGAAATTGAAGCAACTCACTGCGAGGTCACTGACAAACGGCAAGAACTCATTTCCCCACTGCTTACTCAAGTATTGGAGAAAATGCAACATGCATTTCGGCACAGTCCTCTGAAAAAAAATTGATGTTTAGGCCGGCAAATTGTAAACAAGCCCCCCACACACCTACCTCGACAAAATGGCGGCGACTTTGATTGACAGGGTTGCATGATGTCATGCGAACTTCTAATCACGTGATGTAATGGGCGGGACCAGTTAACTTATTTGCATGCGTGAATTGTTTTTTAAATGGTACAGGAAAATCATCCAAAAGTTCATAATTATTTAACTACAGAGAATATAATACTGAGAATATGCTCTCTGCTTGTTTCGAAAAAATAAATGAGATAAGTGCATTTTATTCCGTCATATTTTCAATGAATTTCAATTTCATTTCGATTTCATGATTTTCACAAATATTTTGTTGCACAAATCGTGGAATCAGAAGACATTCGATATTTCATTTTCAAATCAGTGGTTTTCAGTTTAATGAATAATATACACATATACTGCACTGTAGATTTATAATTACAAGAATTAAAGTTACTTGTATAAAAAAGGGTGTGCAGATTCAATTCGATCAGTTGGAGTGCTGTTTCCTTTAAAATGTGTTACATTTGGGGAAAGGCTGCGAGTTGACTTAATTGGGGTTTTTTTCTTCAAAAAATATCATTCAGATCATACAGTTTGTACTAATATTATCCATCAGAAAAAAATTCCGGGTCCGGCCGTACGGTCGAGGTCCGAAGATTTCAAATCGCATAATTGGTCGAGCGCCCTCTTTAGTTTAAAAATAAGTAAACTATGTACACTGGTTCACAACGTCCATCGTTTTTTGACGTGTTGAATGTGGGCGGGAACCAAGTGAATTAGACAAGTGAAATAAACAAGCAAGCGAGCATGCATGATGATCGCGAATAGACTACTTGTACGGTTCAAGCTATGTGTCACTGCAGAGATTATGCTTGGACATAACTGGAAATATTTGCCCCGAAATCGGTGATAATTTAACCATTTACAGGCGATTTCTTGCGAAAGGTAGACTTGATCATCCAGCCATCATGACAAGTCCGCTAGTGGTTCTTCTTGGCGAGGTTCTGCTCAATAAGCAGCGTGAGAAGGTCGACCCGTCGTCGCTGGCAGCCGACGGGAGAGTCATCGGCTTGTATTTCTCGGCGCACTGGTGCGCTCCGTGCCGCGAGTACACGCCGATATTGAGCAACTTTTACAACAGTTTCAACAGTGAAGGGAACGGAGGCGGGGGAAAAAGACTGGAGATTGTCTTCGTGAGTTCAGATAAGACAGAGCAGCACTGCGATGAGCATTTCATGCAACACATGCCTTGGCTTTTACTGCCATTTTCAGAGAGACACATCAAGGTAATATTTAGACCTAAATTCAAAACAGATCAACCAAATTTATAGAACTGAAATATTAATACTGTAAGCCTATATATAATATTGTTTTGTTAGCATCCAGATGCTAACTTTGTAACCTATATGATATTTGTAACAAACTACCATCTTTATAATTATATCTTTAGCCAAAAAACCCTATTAAATATGAGTGACCCAGGCTCTGCCTCTGGAACTCATTTACAGAGAACCTGAAAACGTCTAATTTGTCAACTTTCAACAGAATTATAAAGCGGTCATGTTGTGTAATTATTGTGATCAATGTAACTTATTAATTGTGAGGTTCCTTATGCTACAAATCTTATATTGCTTGTTTAACTGGCATGTAAAGTTTGTGTATTGTCCTTGTCTATTGTTTGTCCTGTGTTTTGTGTATCACTGAGGTTTTTGTTTTGTTTTGCATATTTTGCATTTTGTAAGATTTGTTTTGCAAAAACAATATTGTACAGGAGGAATTTTGTTTAGCGCAAAAATAAAATAAAAGTGAAATTATTTGCAGTTTTCGATATGAATCTTGAGACAAAACACTGACTAAGGTTACTGCATTCTTTCTGATATTTATTGACCTTTTGTGTTAATTCAATTTTCATGATGGTTAATAAATTTTATCCATGTGACCAATATCCACCTCCAAATCTTGCCAATGAGATGTTGAGTTTTGATCCATCTGGAGTCAAGAATTCTTTAATTTAAAAACAAAATTGGTTGGAAATTGCATTTTAGAGACATTGTGCACAGCTTTTGTTTTGTGAAAAATAAAATCTGCAAATTAAAGCAGACATGGTATTCTGAAATTTAAACTGCAAACCTAGATAGTCATTTTGTCTTTTTGTGTGTTTCGCTCTGAACAGTTGTCTTATCAAATTTATTTGACAAACGATGCAGGTAATATCAGCATCCAAAGTGTTGCCAAGAGATTGACTTTTTAGATTTGTGTTATATTTTTTTTTTAGAATTCTTTATGAGCCCACACTGTTACTACTGTACATAGATCAAATTGAAGACCATATTTCTTTTTAACAGTAACCAAACAAATAATTTTATCTCAAATAATTTTATCTGAACAAATAATTGTACCCCCCCCCCCCCCCCCGGGCCAGATCTACTCTAGTTTAAATTTACTTTACCATACTCACTTGATAGTAATGATTTCCCCCAAGCAATTAATTGAACGAAAACCTGTGCCAATACAATGCTAATGGAGCTCCATGGTGCAATTATCGCTGTTAATCCTCTCATTTCCAATGCTTGACTGCCCCTCGATAAAGCTTCATTGAACTCTGATTGAACCACTAACAACCTGCAATCTCTGTCAATAACGTGATTATTTGCGTAACTCATTGGTCTGGTTGTATACTCGTGACGTGTTTATAATGCAGTCTGGCAGGCCCTAGTGTATTGACACTCTAGAGAGGAAAAAATCAATCTTTTTCTCTTGACACCTTCGCTGTGTTTTCAGTACATGGCCGATTGTAAGCAAAGTGCCAGGCATCTGTTAACAAGTTTTCACACTGTTGGAATAATGTACAAACAAATATATCAGAATCTCATTGCACTCCATAACAGTGATGTATGCATACAAATGAACTATGACCAAGTACATAAATCCCTGGCATTAGATAAGGACGTGCACTATTCCTTAACTTTTTCCCCAATTATTTAACATTACATTAATAAAACTGTTTGCCACAAACGAATGCAAAATTCATTGACATACTCCACTTTTTGTAATGCACAAAATACACTGTGGTAGTGTTTTGTCAAGGCATTACTTCTGTGTCTTGTGAGCCGGGCAGTGCTATCATATAGGATTACCCAGTAATGCCAATGAATGTGGGCTAAATCTGGCCCATTGACTTTCAACAACAGCCATTCTGAATCAATTGAATAGAATTGTATGCACTCCGGGACCAGTTTTACTAGACTTGCCAAGCCTTGTTATGTTTACTGTCATTTGATTCCATCTGTACCTGGCAGACATTTTGCAACCATTTTCTTGATACATGTAATGTAGCAAGTGCTACACTATGTAATTAACCATCCGAACTTGAAGGACACATGGGACATCTTGCAAACACTCTCTTGTAAATGCCAGACAGGCTTGAGCAAACTGCCCACACATACCATGTATGTATCTCTTACAAAAACAAACAAGTCTGTTCCCAAAAGACTGGTCATACAGTAATAAGAGTTCTGTGATAAAGAGGTGTGCATTCCATGAGAGCTGTTCCTTTGCTTGCTCTATGGTTTCATAAGCACTGTGGACCATCTCACCGATACCGCCATCTTTGTGGTCGCATTGTAAACGCAGTGAGCATTTCCTAGAAAATTCTTCATTGTCGGTTTACAATAGCATAATGTGACAGTTTCAAAGTGATTGAAAAGTTTTTGTACCTCCAAAATTTATTTCAAGCGTGTAAAATATTTTTTCTACATTGTAGCTGTAGGGCCTAAATGTATTTTTTTTAAATTAAATAATTGAGGTACGGTAATTAGTGGTGTGACTGTGAACAGATTGGCAAATTAATATCATTGCTTGCAACACTTTGGATTGCAGCTGAAATTATTGCTTTATAAGCTTTATTATTTGAACAAAGAACTTGACTCGAGCGGGATTAGAACCTGCAACCGCCGGATTACAGTGCCGGTGCTCTACCAACTGAGCTAACCAGCTTTATATAATCTTGTTAGCAAACTAACTCCTGTCAAACTTGGCCAGACTTTCAAGACTGAACAAGCTGGAACATTCTTAAGACTTTGTAAAGTCTGGTAATATTCACCAGCAAAATTGAATAATATATTACATGTACCTTGGGTAAAAGTGTGCACTCATTGTTTGTTCTATTACATGTACGTCTATGTTTGAGGTGAATAGTTAAGGCTATGAACTGTCTGACTGACATTCTTTGCAGTCATCAATAGGAGCAATGTGCGAGGTGAATAGTTTTAACTATAAACCGTCTGACTGGCATTCTCAGCAGTCAATAGGAGCAATCATGCACACTGAAGGATCAACATAATCTCGCCATGGAATTATCCTGTCAAGTCCTTGACAAGAGAAGCTGAAATGATATCAACAGGGGAAAACTGCAAAAGGATGCATTTTATATTCAGACAGTGTATTAAGTAAGGCCAATTTGATTAATTAAATCAATCAAGGACATTGTGAAATTAAGGGTTTTTTTCCTTCTATGAAATAAATTTTCAACTAATATGTTTTATTCCAACCAAAAACCTCCTTTTTGGACGTCTGCAACCATCCGAAAAGGGGTTTTTGTTTTGGACACAAACAGATCTGCTTTGCGATCAGACTGGCTCTCGATCACATTATCGATGCTGATTGTGGGGCGGAACCAGCCTATCCCTCAAGAACAGAATTACAGTCTGGAAGCCGATAACTCGAAGTTGACAAGTTATTACTTGTCAACTTCGATAACTATTAAAACGCGGCTGATTTTTTTGGTCAATATATCTCATTCCAAAGTGAATAACTTGTGTACTTTAAAAATAGCAATTTAGCAATTGAATCTATTTTGGGGGGATGAAACTTGAAAATAGCTCGGGGAAACCCAACTTTAAAAGTGTTGTTCATTCACACATTTTTTTTAAAGAATACAGTATTTGAACAACAGACTTTTTACTTTGCACTATTATTTCAATAATTAACTTGATCTTCATGTACCGTCGAATGTGTGTACGGAATGTGTGTTGGTAAAGACTGCAAAAATATACTTGTACATAATTTACTTGTACCATGGAGCAATAAAAAAAAAAGTTGATTTATCGCCAAGTATGAGAACCAGGAATGTGCAGCACTGGTGTGATGTGAAAGATCGAAAGGACTCTGGACTAGTTACTGTTGCATACATGGATGATCCCTTACATTACATGCGCCGTGATATATCAGACCATGTGCAGATATCAGACTAATGTAGCCGCATTAACTGCCCTCAATCACCCCTGCAGTATGTGATGGAATGAACTTGACATTCAGGGACACATTTGGATGCTGTCTGAAAAGTTCAACATGGGACCACATTTAGGGATAACCTCAGAAAACAGTCACATTATAGTTGAACATGCAACAACATTTTCAACTTCAAAAAAGCTATACAGAATTTGGATCAAAGGATATATCTCACTGTTTGTAAGATTTAACATAAAACAATGTGATAATGCATAAATTGAATTTCAACTTCGATTCTTGATTTTCACATTAATCAATAAAAAAAGTTATGAAATAATTCACTATATTTTATGTATCCCCATTGTTGCAATGCATCAATGAACCTTTTTTATTAGGATCAATTTCTATTGCTTCGATACTGGAAAGTGGAGCAAGTTCACATTTTAAAATATAATTACATACATGAATAGGCCTATCATCTCTGTAACTTTTATGTTCCGTGCAATTTGTCTTTTTTTTTGCGTCAAGAAAAGTAAAGAAAACAGATAAAGGACCATACAGCATTGACGCTGAGAAATTGAATGTGATACTCAACAAGGAATGCTCGTCTCCAGTAAACTGTATCCCTACAACCCACAAATCAAGATTTGGCATGATAATAAACGGACAAGTGTACAATATACTGCTTGCTCTAAATGTCTTAAACCGGAGATGTTGGATTTTACTGCCTGTCAGCAAGGCCGTTGGTTATTGTTAAGGCAGTTTGCAGAGATGCTAAATTATCTCTTGGGTTAACTTTTGCCTGTATCTTAATTGAGACATCCATACAACAAAGCTGTCACTACAGTACGGTAGGAGATCCACAAATGTCTGACTTGCATTGTAAGATGGTATACAGCCCAGGCTTCACCCATGGGTAAAAATTCATTGTGTGTCACATCCTTATTACTTTAGCACAGCACTTAAGCACTCCAGTGCTTTTAAGAGACTGACTAGCCGAGAATAATGCTATCTAACCGAGTTAACCATTTACCCTGATATTCCCAAGGCATTTGGGACATGTCGGCCTATTTAGACATTATTGGGTTTATACAGCGTTAGACATTGGCCGGTAATTGGATACTCGGACAAAAACTGATCTGATAAACAGTTTCAGTTTAAAGATTTGGAAGGATTTTTTTTTATGTCTCACTAAATTACCATATTAAGTACAGTCTTGTGATGATTTAGGTCTCCAAAAGATATTTTCTTATCAGCTATCAGAGTATACTGTGGCTTACGTGTATATATGTCGTATGATATTTATTACAAGAGTCAATATAAGGTATATTTTAGTAAAACTGTAGTAATCAGCATTATATGTGTGGATGTGCCATTGAATATTGCTACATGTATTTGATTCAACTACATGTACATTAGGGCTTAGGCTAGTGTACTATGGTACACGTTTATGATGGTCAATACAGTTCATTAATGTACTCTAATATAAATTGTTACTTTGCACACATCCATGCAAAAGCTATAACGAATCTTAATAGCATTCCGAATATTTGCGCAGGTTTTGTCTTCCACACATTTGAGGTCAATTTATGGATAAATAAAATTATGTGTTGTAAATTCAGCTTGCTAAAAAGCGTATTTGTACACACATACAGGCACGTTTAAAAGTGCACCATTTAGGTGGTGTCCAGCCCCTCCCCATTTCAATGCTGCAAACGTGCACTAACCTTGCTATGGTTCAACCATGGAGCTATTAAACACAGTGTCATAGTTTGCAGGTCACCGACATACTTAACGTGACCTGAATTTGAAACCCAGTCTAAATATTTTCTGGTCTGCCCAGACCTGCAACTGTTCCTAATTAGCATCACCTGTTCCTGTCTGCTAGCCTGCCTGAGGACAAAAACAACTTGATCACAGCATGCATTGCATACTCTGCAGAAAAGCTTGGGTTTGTTCAGTGTACAGCATGTGCTGTACAAGAAGGCCAAATTAAAATGCATCCACGCTTTTGCAGACAAGAAAAAAAATACAGCAAAACAGAAAGTTTTGCTTGCCATGTCCCGGTATATTGACCAAGCCGGGCATGTTTTGTTTCTATAACGAAGGCCCCCTTCAATGGCCAAAGCATTGTGTACACAAAAAAATGTGTAGCTATTATTCAGATAAGCCGTCACGGGGAAGTTGCTCTGTATAATAGCGTGCATAATGGTTTCTCCATTCAAGGTGGCTCGTGAGTGTATAATGATCAGGTACCCGGATTCATTTACACCCACACAATGAATGATACTGATAACCACACATCTATTTAATAATGCTTTGATAGTGAATTCCACCGAAACGTTAATAAGATACATGTAGTTTGCAATTCCAGAATGGAAATGTATCTTACAAACTAGATTTCTTTCCACATATCCAACTGATTTCTATCATTTTTTTAACAAATCAAAAAAGTTACAGAGCCTGCCATTCCAATCATAGCAGGATCGTTTCTATTGAGAAAGATCCTGTTTGAAAATGATTTGTATACATCAGTCGATCAAGTCAGTAAGCAGTTTGCTGAATTTGTTCCCACAGTTTTTGTGCCACTGGACAGAGCAGTTTTAAAGCCTTGAAGTTTAGGAAATCTTAGATTAGGGCTAGCAATTTTTATCTTTCTCGTTGCTCACTAAAAAAAATAACAAATTTACATTGTGATTGTTCGCACATGTATGAGAAATAAATTAATGATGAGGTTTTTATGTAATTTTTTTCTAAATATACTTTCACAGTTCACACAATCATCAATTTGAGCCAATTTTCCCGTTGAGTATAGTACGTTACTCAGCAGAAATGAAATGGCAGAGTTATTGAATCGTTCATGAGAAAAGACCGATTCTTCTTATAATCCACAAGATTTAGGAGCCAGAAGGCAGATTTGAGATTGTCCCACAGTGAGCGCGATCCGACGGATTGATAAGAGACGGTTCGGAATCCGCATCAAAAGGCCAGCGCGCATTCACAATCGACCCAGACCCATTCATCCCTAATGCCGTCCTAATTTGGATGTCACAAGTCATCAGTCTTAAAACGTATGATTTTAATTTCTACGAAGAACGGCAGAAGGTTCTAAAAAGCAGATCCGACCTAGAAAAGTGTCACCTTTAAGATTAGTGGCTTCAGCAATTTTCCGGATTGAAAACCACTCAGCTAATGAATCAGAAAATTTGCATAATTTCATTCTCATTGTTAAGTAAAGTCTTTGGTCTCTAGAGTCCATCTCGTAATGTTGCTCAGTCATCTAACATTTTTCCCTTTAATGTTATACTATCTAAGAAAAAAAAAAAATAAATAATGACCTTTAATTTTTTGAACAATATTCAGTGCCCATCTAAATACCAACATTCTAAAATTGGCTTTTATTTACATAAAATTGTTTGTTTGTTATTCATCTTCAGAACAAACTCTGCAAGAGGTTTAAAGTAACAGGCATCCCAACGTTAGTCCTAATCAACAGCGTCAGTGCTCAGCTTATTACAAATAACGGCCGACTACAAATGCTGGATGATCTGAAAGGAGAACACTTTCCTTGGTACCCAAAGCCTTTCAATGGTAAGTTGTTAGTTGCCAAGTGCCAGCCATGTCTTTGTAGTAGACTTAATAAGTCAATCACAAGTCCATTGCAAGTCCATCACAAGTTCTCACAAGTCTATCACAAGTCCATTACAAGTCACAAGCCAATCACAAGTCCATCACAAGCCAATCACAAGTCAGTCACAAGCCAATCACAAGCCAATCACAAATCCTAGCAAATTCATCACAAGTCTTCACAAATCCATCACAAGCCAATCGCAAGCATCACAAATCCTCACAAGTCCATCCAAATTCAAGCACAAGTTATTCATTCCTTTATTAGTGTTTATCCCTTGTACTTTTTGACCCGTCTCGTGAATTGACTTGTGATCTACTTGTGAATTGACTTGTGATGGACTTGACTCGACCTTTCAAATTATTGACAAAAACTTTACCTGGAGTTAAGAAGTGACTCGTGTAGACTCACGAGCAAATGTAGGACACGGATGCGTAGTGGTTCTCACATGCTTTGTTGTGTACATAGAACGCATGCCGAATGCAAGTTGATATGCGCAACCCGTTGCATCTGCATAGAGAGAACACAAGGTGAGTATTTTTGCAGACAGAATGAAAGGTTGTGTAAATTGTTCTTTAAAAAGCTTGATTTTTTTTTTCATTTCTATAGCGGAGGGAAACAATTTTTACAAGAAAGCATAAAACGTGAACTGGTCGATGCAGAATATGTGCACACGTACATGTGTATACATGCGAGACTAGTATTAGCAAGATATCAGAAGTGAAATGCCATGCATCATGTTGAATAACTTGAATAAATAAACACTGACATACAATGCATGTACAGTATGCGCATTTTAATGTCAACCTAAAAATACCAAGTCTTGCAAGTCACATGCAAGTTGAAGGGATGTTGGTATTATTCAAAAACGTTTTGGGTCAATTTTAATCTTTCATTCGATAAATGTTTTAGGCTTTTTAACAATAGCAGTACATAAGAATTGTAAAAAAAAAGGTGAAATTATTGAAAAAGATTTTGTGTTTGTCTGCGCGATTTCTAGCCCATGGGAAGACATTTGAGTAAGATGGGGAACATATCAGTCTGATCCGTCTATTCAGACGGTTGAGTTTGACGGATCGGCATTTGGCATGTCTCGGCGAGTGAATGCAGTAATATGGAATGGCCCTATACCTTACGTGGAGATTTCTTGGCTCAGGATTGTGGGGGGGGGGGGGGATTTAGACTCCTGCAATATTCATGGCCAGCTTTGTGTTGGCCTGACGTGATTCCAAGCAGACAAGAGCCATGCATTATTTAGCTGGCTAGAGCGGGATGGAATTTCTTCTACACTGCTGGGAAAAGTACAGAAATTCACATGTACGAGGTGCAATGGTGTGTGAATATTTGACTTGGAAATCAGACTGTAGTACATTCGTGTACATGAACACACACATGTTTACGTTACAGACCAAGTGTGGACATTCCCTTGGTTTCGTGTAGTTAAGAAAAACCTCGGGAAAAAAAAAAGCACTTTACTCTCATTGTGAAAACTCTTTCAATCCAATTTTTTTTTCAATGATTCCCTTTAGTGTTTCTCTTCATTTTTCCACAAATAACCTAAGCCAAAACCTGTTTTCCACACAGGGGGAAACACTGTGTGGACTTGCCCACGTCCACATAACGTCGCCTCTACCTGGTTTATGTGGACCTCTTTTGTTCGGAAGTCCACACAGTGAATGTAATGCCTACCCACACATGTACACCGGGCATGTATAATTTAAATGACTAAGTAATAATCAGAAACAACTGAGCCAATCCAGGAAACAGTACCATATTTGTACCAAGTTTCAAGTTAGAAGAATTTAATAATGAAAAGTAGACAGTTATTCAGCGATACCTTTTTTTACCTGTTAGAAAAACAGACACAATTTGATTTTTTTCAGCACAAAATACTGCTGAGCCCAAATGTCATGCAGTAGGATTACTTGTGTCTGCTTTTCAGGAGATTTTTACTCAACACTTTAGTTTAATTTGCTGAGAAATTTGCTTGGACTCTTGGAGGCAAAAAGTATTTATAAGCAAGTATGTGTGCTACATGTAAGCACAAATGAAGTGGGAACAAGTTACAAGCAAGAAGCAAGATGCATCACATGGAGTTTTGGCTGGTACCCTGTTTTTGCTAAGCCGATATTCTCTGTGCCTAGCAGTTCCATGAAACGTTGCTCAGATCATTGAGACTGATTGTCTGCAAGTTTCCAATGAGTCAGTCTGTTCTATCTGATGTCCTTGTGACGTTTCCCAATCCATCGTCCATCTGGGTTTCATGGAGTACGGAGCAGCCTTTGTATAGCACTACTCAATCGATGGAATGCACGGAGCTAATGCGGTTAGGTTCGCTTGACTAACATGTGAAGTGCTTGACAGCAGAGGAAGATGAGCTTTGTATTTGCATTGTCGCGTCGGTAGGCGGGGCAGTAATTTTGGTGCTCTTAAAGAAACCGGAAAAAAATATTTGACTGTTCAACCGCTTCCCATAAAACAAGCCAGCAGAGTGTGGTGGCTATGCAACAATAATGCAGTGGAATGAAATCATTTTGGAAATTTGAAGTATTATGCTTGCTACATTTGAGTTATTTCTTGACATGGGCAAATCCAGCATTATGTAATGTCCTTGCTAGCTCAGTGAATAAACCTGAAAATGTACAAAATGTACATGTATGTTTCAAATCTTATACATCCGACATCTAGTAATGGTTAGGAAGATTACAGACTAGGAGTTTGGGATCATTTCTCTGAATCATTAATCAGATATCATGTTGAATTGGCTCTGTCGCAGACATTAGGTTGGAATTGCCCACATGGCTTCATGGGGTTACACAGTATAGTGAACTTCAAAATTGGTGTACACATGTACAAAATGTATGCATTTCTGCACTGTATGATTCACAGAGAACAAGAAACATGAACTCATGTTGGCAGTGTGTGTTTTTGTCCCACTGATAACTGCACGTGAAGTACCCCCACATCTGGATAACTTAGAGCAGTCAGTCTGTCTCGTCGATTCTGACAGTCGTAACTGTCGTCGGCAACGAGCGTCTTGTAACCTTAGTCTCTTTGTCTTTGGCAACGTCTAGGCAAAGATCGTGTCTTGAGCCTCGTGGAGAGTATATGTTGGCTTGTACCGCTGTCTCGTTCAAACATTAATGTCGCTGTGTCAGGTTCTATTGAGAAGTCAAGTTTCTGATTACGGCGGTGATGGCACGTCCTTCTAGCAATCAGTGAAAATTGATGTCCAGGTTTTGTCAGGTTTGCGATTAAGGATCGTATAAAACAGCCATAAAAAAGATTCAGTCAGCTCACAAACTACATGTAAGGTGAAACTGAGTTTCAAAGTGTACGATTGATGTGGTTGTTCAGTGACTGTCTAATTATAACTAACAGGTTTTGCTGAAGGGCCAGCCTCATTTCCACTGAGTGACTCATTCACTAACTCACTCACTCACACATTGAGTGTAGGTGAGCGTGGACACCCGGTAGCTTCTTTACATTGCATTGTCTAGTTCCAAGACCTATTTACTTAAAACTCAAATGTTTCTCAAGTCTGGAGTGTTGAATGGTTACATGTACTCTTCGTAACTGGTGAAAACTGGTGTGCAGATGATTAGCTGTTTTCACTGGCTGACGTAATCCCGTTCACACCTAAAACAATTATGTTTAACTGTGATTTTCCAGTCCAAATTGACTACAAAAGCTCTGTCTTGTTTACAGTGAAAATTATGAAATTATCAAGGTTAAACTGTGCCAGCATATTGCGTATAATGTTGCTTCTTTGATTGGTATTCATGCAAGTGGTAACCTACCCCCTAGGCTGGAATTCATCCTCCTTGGTCCATCCTAAGCCCCGCCCACTCCATCAACCTGTCGGCCATTATCGTCTTGGGTAACAGCGCTGTCTCCGCATCATTTTTATCTTCCCTTGTCCCAGCACTGAGTGATCAGCTTTTCTCTCCCAGGCTACGGAGACAAAAGACACACAGAGCGCGAAAGTCAACGTGTCAAATTGTATAGGGATGTCAAATCAATGAGTGATCGCCGTGGCGATGACACGTTGCCACAGGGGATGACAGTTTGGATTTAAAGAGTAATTGCCAATACAATGTTAGAAACTTGAGTGTTTGTGGAAAGATAATATGTCATCTTGGTTCATATTACAAAGAGTGAAAGTATGATCAGGCATCAGTACAATTTCTAATTATTTGTCTGGACAAAAAAATGGAGGTGCTGCATCAAATTTTGTAATACTAAATGTCATGTCAACTTAATATGTACCGGTACAAGTAAATGCAAAATACAAAGTCAATCATGTTGTTAACTCAAAAAGCACATTAGCACAACTAACAAATTTTACTGTGATTGGTTTTTGTATCCCAAGAATTCTAATGCTAATTATTCTCTTACTAATACTCGGGGCATGGTCGGGGATTGTCATTTAAATTTTGCCCGAGGGGTGGGGATTTTGTCGCTTCAAAAGTGACAATCCCCACGTCTTGGGTGGGGCAGCCCGGAAGCTGGGGAGGGGTGGGGGAAACAATTGATAGGCGCATTAGTGTAGCAATATGGGAATTATATTTTAGCATGAAGTTGCTTGTCATCCATCTGCAGAAGTCATCGCGGGCAAACTCCTGAAACAAGGCGACGAGGTCCAAGCAGAGAAAGAGCTCAAAGGCAAAATAGTGGGCATCTACTTCTCAGCTCACTGGGTAAGTTGGGAATTCATTGGATTTTTTTCTATCACCACTGACAGAAAACAAAAATGGAAAATGGCAAAGTGAGCATTTTGCAGGTGTGAGATGTGGGGAAAAAACACCTTTGTGGTAAAACATCAGGGACTCCAGATCTCAAAGGGATTCTTTATATAATACTGAAATCAGACAAAAATCCGGAAATCACGAAAAGTACTGACAAATCTCCCCCAGACTAAGCGATGGAAAAAAGTTAATATACGGTTCTGAAAATATCAGGGTACTTTACATATAGTACATGATGTAAGTAGCACTTTACAATTAATAAGTATAGTAATACATGTTGCATGTACAGAACAGTTCTCTTGGCATAAATCTCACCGCATTCAAGTCTTTGAATAGCGTCTCTCATTTCTTTTCTCTCAAGATACCTGATCATTTATTGCCAAGCTTCTAGATTTCACAGAGAGCCGTTTCAAATACACTCTAGCTGTAACCTGATGAGCAAGGACTTAAAAAAAAAGGATTGGATGAATTGTTTTGCTTTGAATTACCACTCAGTGCTGTGCAGTCATTTCAACAAGCTACCGATTGTGTTACAGACTGTAATCATGGCAGTTAAATACAGGGTATTTGCTTGTTCTTTAGTAGCGTGGTTTAGGCCATTTTTTTTTTTTTGAAAGTGAATTTTATAAACAGTTTGATAAATTTTGTAAACATTTGAACTGTAGCTTTGCAAGAAACCTCTAATTCGTATACATCTTGTTGTGTAACTACCTGTATGCTAAAAAAATAATTAGAAATGCGTGTAAAATAGTAAAAGTAATTCTTAACAAATCAGTTGGAAATATAATTTTAAGCACGTGATAGTTTTGCTTAAATACAAAAATCCTATGGAACAACATAAATTGTTAGGCCATTTTCCAAATATCGTGAATTGCACAAGGCATGTGATTTGTGAAACAGTGTATTCACATTGTTGAAATGGCAGAAACAAACATTTAGGAGGATGGAAAATTGATATTTTTGTCTTATTGTTTCCTTACTGTGACTAACGAATACCGCACGACTTGAATGCAGCAGGCAGTGCATTAGGTTCGGAGTAACGTCAGGATGAGCACTTGAGAATGCACAAACCAAAATGGAATATATATGCGGGCCTCGGAATTGATTCAGTTGCATTTGGCCAACAGAGGAGTGCATCAGTCATTCATTTAACATGGCTAGGATGTAGGTCATGGAAATACACATATCATTGTCATGTCAATAACTAAGATGTTTTGAAACAAAAAGTGGCAAATTTCGCTTTACAAAATTAGGTGGAATTATGATCTCACAAATCACAAAATGCCTTTGAAACAAAATTAAAATAAATGTTGATCAATTGTATTGTATTGTCTGTCAAATTTAAGAAGTCACATTGTTAAATTTGAAATGTTGTTTTGACAGTTTAGTTTAAATTGTATTTATTTTTTAAAACAAGCCATCAAAGATTCAATACTAGCTGTCTTAAATTTGTAACAGATTTGTAAATTAGGAAGAAAATTGAAATGCATCTAATGGAAAAAGGTTAAAATTTGGTACTTCAAATGGTAAAGACAAATCCTTTTTGATTCAAAATGTACATTATGTTTTTGCATATTTTCCATCCACAGTGTCCGCCATGCAAAGCATTCACACGCGTCCTGACAGACATGTACAGAAGACTACAGGCCAGCAAGATGGAATTTGAGTTTGTCTTCTGTAGTACAGACCGGACGAAAGATGCCTTTGAATCCTACTATAGCAATATGCCATGGCTTGCCTTACCATACAACGACCCACGATGCAATGAGCTGTCCAAAATGTTTACGATATCAGGTAGGTATTGACAGACTCTGTGCTGGCTCATTGCATTGCTCAACGAGGGTGCTATTTAGTACATGTAGCAATTAGTGCTTGAATTTTTGGCACTGTTTGACGGAGTTGAGGAATGAAGTCAAGTTAAAGTCATAAAAACTGAAGAGCATTGAAACAAGATGATCATAACATATCCATTACTGCAAAAAAACCCTTAAAACCTCTAATGGGATTAAAAATCATAGTGCTCTGCACAAACCATGTATCTGCTAGTGAACTTTTACTGTCAGTCATTTGCAAATTTTGCAAATTTTGCAAGAACACTGAGATTCCATCTTTAAAAAGGTGATTTTTTTGTTAAGTTTCCATCTTTAATTTTGTGTGTGTGTAAAGTTACCAACCTTTTATGATACATGTACATTGTATGTACATGTGTTCTATTTAGGACACAGTGTTGGAAGTCTCCTTGAATGACGAAATGTTGGTATTTCTCTCCGTTCTAATTGCCATTATCTTGCTGGAAATGAGGATATCTGATGACGTTAGTCTATTCCCAAAGTGGATCGTTTAACACCAAAACGTGATGGTTATAAATGTAAGATCTAGCCGACTAAGCTTTCCCACGTCTTGGATTGGGGTGTTCCACCGTGTTTAACAAGCCATTTGGGGAATAGACTGACGTCATCATTTCTTTGTTTCCATGACATCAATTCGAATAGCAGAATAGAAACAAATGTAAATTTCATAATTCAAGTTATTAGAACACGTAGGATAGCAAGGGTTAAAGGTTTTACAATTTGTAATTATTTTCAAAGGAGTGGAGTTACTGTTAAGGTGTGGGCACTTCCGATTCTTAATTAATTAAAAAAGTGGGAAATTGTTCCGTGGTGAGAAATTACTCCCTTCCCAACCCCTCCTGCTTGTTAAGCTATTGATAATATAGATTCCTGTTGTACTCATGAGTGGTGTTTCTTGTGTTGCTATTTTAGGTATACCCAGTCTTGTGTTACTTGATGAGACAGGCAAAGTGATCACGTTAGAGGGACGTGCTATGACCGCACAGGACCCTGAAGGACTGGTAAGCAGGGTATATCAAAACTGGTGGAATTCTGGACTTAATGTTCATTCACACACAAAAACTGTGAAGATAGATGTTTCTGTACTTCCTTGGCTTAAATGTGAAGGTTTATGAACGGCCTTCTAATGAAAAACCAATAGAAGAGACTGGATTATGGACCATGATTTCACACTGACAGGCAACCTAACCACTTAAGCATCTTTTGCCCATAAACAGTTTATGTCGCCACTTGAACACCAATCACATACATGCAGAAGAGAACACTGATGAGTTTGCGGAAAGTTTGCAACACACGTGAACACAACATCCAATTTGTATTAACAATGGTACATGATGAGCTGTATGCCCAAACTGGCTTCAGTCAAGTAAATGTGTACAACAAAATATGCATGGTTATTGTAACGAAACCCCTAAAGGATTTCCGGTCAGCATGCAATTTGGGCTCAAATGAAGATAATAACTACTCAAATTAACAACTGAAATCGGAAACAAATTATTAACTTCCTCATTTGCCACGCAAGACTTTTTTGCCGCTTTTGTGTTTGTTTTAGAAAACAAATGAACTATGTTACAAGAAAAGTAAATGGCAATGTGGATAGTAAATAAATTAAAATGCTAAACCAGTTGCTTGCTGCTTTTATACAGGATGCAACAAGTCCATCTGATCCATATGTACATTTATGTTATTGCACATGTTAGCCAATTTCAAATAGTTTGACTACATGTACAAACAAATCAGGCATTATCAGCCCCAGACCGGGCGACGCCCTCCCCCAGAAAAAGATCTGCCAAAATATAATCCGGCCACATGCCCAAGACACATCTAAATCAGGAGAAAAAGGAATGGCTGAAATGGACACAAGGTTGTAAAAAGCAAATACACAACTTACATACAGAACCAAAGTAAAACGCATATCCCACTGCTCTGGATGTTCTTTGGGCGTGTCCCAGTCACAAATGTCCCTCCTGAAACTCCTTGTGCCCTGGTTTTATATGGCTTAAAGAAAGTAATCCCTTTGAAATGAGGCCAATGAGCACATAACTTGCTGGGCCAGAAGAGTCTTAGTACAATAACAAAAGACCATTGAAATTACCTCTCTGGCTCTGGCAAAGTAAAGAATAGCTAACTTCAAACAATGGTGAGCTTAGCATATAGATGACTTATTAACTTTAGCAAGCCAAGTTTGACTGTTCCATTCAATACAACTAATATGTTCCAAAATTTATAGAATTGGGTCAAATGGTATGGAGCACCATCTGTACAAGAACATTCTGTGAAAAGTGGTGAAAAGTGTATGGGACACAAAATGCACCAAAACAACAAATAACAGCATTAAAGCCAATTTTTTTTACATTATGTATCCCATTCAAAAAACAAAAGAATTGCAGAAAACAGTACAGTTGATTGTTCTAAAGAAATATTGGCAATTGTTTTTTTGGATCTTTTTTTTAATGATCCCGAGACTGCTTTTCACTACAAGAACCCGGCCAAATTTTGCACAAAGCTGTTAAGTCAACCTTATAGTGAAAGAAAGGGTGGAAAACCACAAAGTATGAATATTTCCTCATTATAATTTAGTCCAGTACTTCCTTGATCCCTAGTCTGCCATAAATGGATATATGTACGCAAAATATAATTGCAACCATACAATATTGAAAAGTCCAGATATACCACACACTGTAGGGAATATAGCGAGCCCATGGAATGTCCCTGTGGGATAATACATGTGGATGAATGGACTCTATATCCATATTTCACAATAATGCTCCCTGTAGTTTTATAATAAAATGTTCTTCATTGATGAGATTCAGACGGCCACTGTGTCATCTACAAACCTCAAAGCTTGATCACGTCTGTTTCAGACTAGTATTGCAGAGTCGCTGTGAACCTAATAATTCTCAGAAGATTTGACTTAATGTTTGATGTTTAAAACAGTTAGTTGTGACCACGTCAAAAAGAACGACTTTTGCTGTTATTCAGAATAACACCAGAGTCTAGAGCCTGTCTGAAACCAAAATATATTTGAGTCAATCTCAGTAGTTTGGTTTGTCAAAATTATTTATTGATTCAATTTCTGGAGATTTTTCATGAAAATAATGATTTTTGTGTGTGTTTAACTTGAAAGGATTTTCCCTGGTACCCGACACCCTTGCTGGAGCTGGACGATAGTGCAACTGCAGCAATCAATGAAGAGGCTTGTCTCATTCTATTTGCAGGTAAGAATGGGATACCATTCTGGGGCCTCGGGCCCATATACATGTAACTACCAAAAAAAAAGCCAATATAAAGGTCGAAAATTACTTTGGAATTTTTTAGACAGTTTAGATTTTAAAGAGATTTTTTCTGTTACCCTTTTCATAAGCAAGCAAGATATACCATCCTATGGTCTGGTTGTATAATGTATGTAGGAAATGCATTCAAATTGGGTACTTGCACCATTTTTGTAAAAGCTCATATGGTCAGAATAAATGAATCTAAAATTAGCTGTGTGTGTCAGTGAAGGACTCATTAATTACAGCATTGTGCGAGGGATGAGACACGACGAGACAAGACTAATGTCCTAATTAGAAAGTATTGATTGTGCTACAAGCCAGACTAATGAGTCTTTCATCGAGCCGACACACGGCTGTGCTTCAGCATAAGATATGATGCATCATAAAATATGATATAGCATCAACATGTCTTTCAAGATGCATACATGTATAGCAAAGTTGCTTTATAAATGACGAGGCTTTTTTGGGGGGAAGGGGGGGGGGGCAGCCTCCCCGCTCATGGGGGGGGGGGGGGGGGGAGGAGGGGCAGCTTTGCCACCTGTCTCCCGCTTCGCAAGACATGTCGCCTGCTTCACAGGTGACACACCCACTTCATTTGCGGTTGATCAATTCGCGAACACACACGCAACACCCTTTGTGCTTTATGGTAACAGTGAGAAAGACTTTGTATGGTTTGAGAGTCAATATGCACTAATATGGAGTTTGCAGTAGCACCGTGTAATCCAACTTGTCTTTTTTTAGTGTGTGTGGTTCTCAGAAACTGCACAAACTCACAAAAGATATGGAACACATTGTGCTACCGAAAACACTATTAACATAAATAATTATGTGAAGTTGAACAAAGAAATTGACTTATGCGGGATTTAAACCTGCGTCTGCGACCTCCGGATTACCATACCAGTGCTCTACCAACTGAATTGTCCAGGCCTTTGTAATGTTGGCAGTGCCCCAATTTGTCATTATCTTTGTTCTAGGGTGCTAGTCAGAAGCCATAAACCTGTATGTGCCATGTAGCCAGGGATCACGCTCAAAGTTACGATTCTAGCAACATGTGTTTTTAAGACAATAATGGACTGAAAATCAACTGAAATATATCTTTGGTTTTTGTGATCTTACCCCCCAGATATTGAAGGTGACGATGATGTGATTGAAGCAAAGGACCTTCTCTTACCTATCGCCAGAGAGTATACCGAAAAAGCAGAGGCAACAGGCAAAGATTGCTCCCTTAGATTCTTCATTGGAGGAGATGTAAGAAACTAACTGAATCGATAACCCCCATCCCCATCAGGTTTTCTTTACGTACATGTACCCTGCTAAATTGCAACAAAACCAACACAGTTGAAATGAGAATCCTGATAAATGTAACAAATTGCAACAGTAGATTCTGTTGCATTTGCAGTGAATCCAGTACAAACTATCCTAGGCACTATGCAGTCTGTTATCCTGCTAAATGCAACAAACTGCACCGGTGGATTCTGCTAGATCAGCCATTGCACTATGCACAGTTCCCCCAATAAATACAACAAGATGCAACCAAGCATGGGACTTGGCAGCGAATGTAAAAGTACGCAACACCTTTTTCACCATTATTGCTTTCTGTTTCATTAATCAGGGTTAGGGATTGATAAGGCAGATTGTTGGTTAAAAGAATCTGTCTATTAAACCCTGTTCCAATCCCCTGTCCAAAAAAGCACTCAGTAAATGTTTCTCTTTTGTTCTCTTTTGTTGCCATGTACAGGAAGAAATGGTAGACAACCTCCGTGAATTTCTACGGATTGATGAGGACAGCCTCCCCCTCCTACTCATACTAGACATCCCTGAACAACGCATGGTCCGATGTCAAGAAAGAGAGATCACGCGAGAGATTGCACGTGACTTCATTGAGAAATACTTAGCTAATCAGCTGAAATTTGAAACATTGGAAGGACTCTGAAGGCCAGAAATATAAATTTTATTAGTTATCCCACGAGCGCAAGGGGAACACGGAATAGAATTACGTCTGTGTCCCACATGCCACGGTGCCAAAGGCCGAGTTGGATATGAAACATGGAGGCACTACTTTTTCAGTGTTCCCCTCGTGCTCGTGGGATAACGAATATATTTATCTTCAAGCAAATTCGACTCACAGTAAAGATGGAAAATGCATGCTGTACACGAACCTCACAACCGTTATTCTAAATTAGGAATAGCGTGCGCATCTTAGAATAGTGCGATATGCCAAGTGCGGTATGGACCGTGGTATTAGGTATAATATCGACCAATCGGGATCGAGGATTCAGGTTTGCTTGAAGATAAAGTATTGTTTAGCACTGCCACATTTTAGATGCTTGAGTAACTGGGGTTTTTTTCATTTGAGTGTACCATCAAAGTTTCTGCAGAATGCTTTTAACAAGAAAAGTCAGTCATGGAAACAGAAAAAAAATTGTCTTTAAGTTTAACAGCAGAAATCTCCTGTTTAACTTACATGAATTCTGCATCAATGAAGTAGGCAATCAAGCTTATTACGTGGAGGTGCTACACGATCATTTCATTGGGGAACTGTGTGATATTTTTGCCACAAGGTGTCTTCACCCATGCCGCAAAATTGTACTTCATATTTTGTTGACAGCTAAAGACTTGTGTAGTAATAGGGGTTATGTTTTGTTTCCCCTCAGACACTGTCTGTTTATAGGGTAACAAAATAAAGGGCCTACATGTACTTTATCACAATAGGCGTAGTTTCTACAGCTCAAAAAGTACATTTTTACAAACCTGAATTTTTACATTCGATTCAGGTAAAGCTACTAAATTGCTTCAATAAACAGGATTTTTCCAGCGTTTTTACCCAGAAAATTGGCTTTAAACCCTCATCCACTAACAAATATGGTTACATACATGTATAGTCAACAATTGTTTATATATTAATTGTGAATAAAAGGAAAGTAGTGGTAGTTCATATGAGGCATGCATTAGATTTCATGCCATGTACATATCAATTACAGTTAGTGTCTACAGTACTGTGCAAGAATTGATGTAACAGAGCCATGCATTTGTCATATTGTCTGCGAACAACCGTCAAAATGGTGTACTTTCAAATGTAATTTTGTGTTTCATATTGTTTAACAGCCATATTTCAATGGTCTACATGTAGGTCACAGAAAAAAATAACAATGTCTCACATTCTTGGAGAAAATGTTGGAAAATGGTTTGTTTATGTCTGATCCAGTGAATTTGTTTCCTGTGTGTATTTCAAGCAGTAAATGAAGCCATTGAATTTGTAAGAAAAACTGTACCGTCAAGATAACAGGAGCACTCTGGGACAATCTTTGCTGGGTTTGCCTGGTCTTGTTCTCCCAGTTTGATTTGCTAGTTGACCATGGAATAAAGCAGTACAGGAAAAAAACTCAATTCAAAAAATCGTGATTGATAATCTGTTTCTAATGGCCTTGAGGCAAAATAGCACTTGCTGTTTTTTTCATTGACTCTAATATCATTTATATCAAGGTTAAAACAAAAATAGCCAATAGTTATTTTTACGTAAATATGTAATACAACGTTTTTAATGAGGGACACGATAGTAGATGGCAAGCCAGATGACTTTCGTCCATGAAACTTGACATTTCTGAATTGAAAATGTCAGTTGTGATTACCAGGAATATTTGGTCTACTGTCTGTTTCATTAAGATTCAATTTGTTACTGAAACGGAATGCTTTCATCGTAATAGAAAGGCCGGAATTCTAATTTATATGCTGCAGCTGCTTATCTAGAATTCAGAATTTTAAATGCGTAGATTTTTCAGAATAAGAATTCTAGATCCTAGATCTTTCAGTATTTAGACATGGAATTTTGTTTCTTTTACATTTTAGGGTTGCCAACCCAAATGCAAATTTTGTTGATACAAATTTAATTTTCAGGATGAGACGTTGTTTCAGTATTTTTTATTTGATAAAACCTCAGTATTCTTTTAAATATCAGTGTTATGTTTTCAGTGAAATTCAGGTCACAAAAGTATTGTACAAAATATACCCCCCCCCCAAAAAAAGAAAGCATAGCTGGGTAAGTTAATTTTTTTTTTTACGATTGCAATCAATTTAGAAGCAGCTGTGTAGAGTTAATTCTGATAACATTGTCCGGCAGTCGGACAGTGTTTTATAATAATAGAAAGATATTAATATTTTCTTGCTCTTATTGGAAAGGTGTGGTTGGCAGTGCATAAAAGCCCGGCTTGAGATTAATGTACAATTGGCGTTTATCGAATAGTACCTATGGACTCTGTGTACAATAGCGCCCTCAATGGCAAAAGAAAGATTGAAGGATACTCGAGTGCCATTGCTACTGTGCACGAACATCCTGTGTTTCTTTGAAAAAACATTTTAGGGTTTGTGCATATGGAGAGGTAAATTGATGCTGCGTGCTTTTTGCCAAATGCATGTATAGTTGTAAAACAATGCACGCCCACAGTCCTTTACTCACTGGCTCTTAAGGAAAGGCCATAAAGCGCCCCCCAGAGTTCCCATACAGAGTCCATAATTTGCCTGCATGTCCTTTTATGTTCACATGGGCCAATCAGTGTACACTTCTATCCCTACTCATTCACATGTAAATAATTGCTTGTTTTATGTTGTACAAAACACTGTATATTATTTCATATATTTTATATTCTATATGGTCTTTGAGTGTCTTGGGCTTTCTGAATCGGATCACATTTGATAGATTTAAAAAGAAGTTTTTTTGATAAAATAGATACCCTGCCGCTTTGGTCTGAGCAGGATTTTTCTTGAAACATTTGCCCACAAGTACTCTGAGACAAAGTATTTAGGATAGTGTTTTTTAAAATAAATATTTGTGTTAATCCCTTTTTAACAGGTTGTTGACAATTACAAAGAAAAGTATTCAAAATGTTTAATTTATTGGCATATACAGCAGTTGGAGATCTAGCATTTACAGAAGGGGGGGGGGCACCCAAAATGGAGGCGAAAGCCCAACATACAAGCAGGGCACATATTTGCTCATGTGGGGAAAATTTCTGTCTTTTTATGCAGTTAACAGCAGAATGTACAGGTATGATTAGCATAATTGTTCAGTAAATACTGATGATGACAAACACGATAGAACTGTCCACCATCAGTGATGGAACAGGAGTCATAGTTTTTGGCGAATTTTATTTTCAAAGAAATGGGCCTTTTTAAAAGCTAGCAATCTGCCATTTTTGAGAAATTAGCGCTTTTGGCAAGCTCTATAATTATGTTTTATTCATGTATGCTTTATTCATTTGCGTCCCTTTGAATAATGGATTTGCATCATAATGTATGCATATATATGCATGTGTGCTTAAGTAGCTAGATTGCAGCATATTTTTGGAGTATCATATCATAATTTTATAAAAATTTAAGCAAAGCTTTTAATCGCAGATTTAAAAATAATTTTATTTACATACACGTGATATTTCAGAGTATTCATTTTAAACGTCTCCCATACACAACTTTAAGTATATGTTTCAAGACCCTGTGTATATTATTGTACAGTTACAATGAAGAATATAGATGTAAAGTTGAACAATACTTACCACAAAGCCTGTCCAAATATGTGTTCTATAAGCATATGATTGACCTTACAGTTACACCTATAATTGAGCAAATAAAAAATGAGAAATTTAGAACAATGCCCAACATCATGAGCATGCACAGTATAATTATACTTTCAAAGTTTAATAACATTTAGGCATTAGATAACTGTTTGAATAGACATTATAGCACAATACTGCACTATGTAAATGGTCTTTAGGCAATTCAAGCTGGCATAATAGCAGACATTACTGTATGTGTTCACAGCTTTGTCCATGACTAAACCTGCTGACGGCAACAGGTTCTCAGTCACTGCACTATAAGCCATACTGTTTCACTACATGTACTTGTGTGTTTGCCCTGTTGGAACTCAAATGATGTGTTTTAAGGTTTGTCTTCTGAAGGTGTTAAGTTATTGTATCAACGGCTATGAAAAAAATTTCCCACAGTATACGTACGTGTAAAAATAGGAGTGAATGTGTATGTGCAGTAAAAGCAAGGACTTACAAAAACAAATTTCAATAGAATCATGAAAATACTATAAGTTTTCATCCTACTTAATTACAATGGTTAATGAATAGTACACATTTGAATACAATAGATTGGATACAATGTGTTTACTATGTAATGTCTTCAGATGTACAAAAGGTTGGAAACAGATGTCATATCTTGATAAATTTGGAAGTTGTGTATTAAACAATCGTTGTGTGATGGGGATGGGAAGGCATTGTTTTGTTGGAAAACATAACTCGTCTGGAGTGTGATTGGATAATAAATGTCTTTCAGACAGGACCCAAGGGTTGTGCAAAGTTGATTTCATAGAGTGTCCAGTGCATTTTTAATGTGTTTTCCAAGTAACGAAGTGGTCATTACAAAAGTTACATACATCAATTATCAACTGTCACAAAATGTGATATTGAACAGGCAGCACTGCTTTTTATCAAAAACTAAAACTTTAAAGCTCATTTTATCATTCTTTAATGCAGGAGCATGTTTCACTTGATATTTGTTTTTCAATATCAAAACCAACAAAATTAACCCCAAATCCCTAAGGTGCGTGGAAAATTATTAAAATGTGAGGATTCATGCTGAATCTCAAACATTTTACATTTCTTGGTCAAAAATCTTTTGCCAGAGTGACTAAAACTGCAAATTTTCCAATGAGTATGTTTTTTTTCTCCCTTCTTCTTTTGCCAGCGCCACACTACACCACCTCAGGGCTTATATTGCAATTTAATATTAAGCACGGATCATTTAGCCCAGTAGCACACAGGACACTCAACGCCGTACCGAAGCTCGGAAGTAATTAGCGGCCGGGTCTCACATTTCAAAGCAAAATGCCGCCAAGTTGAAACCAGCCCCGGGGAATGCTGGGGAAAGTACAAAGAGATTATTGGACTCGCATTTCAAATATGCAGATCAACATTCGGCAGAAATGTGTCGTTACTGCAAGAATTCGAGAAAGAAAAATAAAACTTCTCGAACCTTGCTCTATGCTCGAACAAAGGGGCGACTGTGGGGCAGATGTATTTTTTTTTAGCGCCCTAGGGTGAAATCATGAAATTATTCAACTCATTTACTGTCTAAATAACACCCCGCAGCACTATTGCTATACCTACATGCTTATATGATGAATATGGGAGGGTGTATTTAGAATGTCTAGTCGGTTTTTGGGGTGCGGGGGGGGGGGGGGGGAATTCTGTCATTCCATGCCTCATATGATGCCTGTATGCTCTGGGTTAAAAGATCCTGTTCCATTTTCATGAAATGCACATAATTCTTTTTGGACTTATTATGCCTACAACCCTTGTTTTGGCACATTGTAAACTTGCCATAGGACTTGAATGTGATAGGCCTATGTTGAAATTAAATTTGAATTGAATTATTGCAAGAAATTTTCTCTTATATGTATCAGAAGCTGTCACTTGACATGGCGATTTTTTTTTTAAATTAAGGAATATCGGTGACTGGGACCCAACCCTTCAAAAAGAGCAGAATGTTAAAACTGCTCCATGCACCACTAGCTCCATAATGTGGCCAATTTACTTGACAACCTCCGTAAATAAAGGCCACACTTGGAACATGTACCCGAAAATGTAGAACTTTGTCAAGTTTTGTAATTCACATTTAGACTTTGTTTGTTTATTTACGCTTTAGAAACACACTCACCCTCTCTAAAGCGATAGAAAATTAGCCCCCTCCCCCTTTTCAGACGTCTATTTTCGTGTAATTTCGTGTTGGAACTTAGATACGCTAACTGCGCAAAATGAACCTGGAAATTACACGAAATATAGACCACACTGATATGCCTACCTTTTCGACAAAATGCCGAAGATGTTCAAAAAGAAGTTTTGAAAAAAACCTTCCCCTGTTTTCTTACCTTTTTAGACATTGTTCAACTAACAAACGGGGAGGAAAATTGAGGCAGAATCAACCAAATCAAATATATTTGACGAAGCCTTCTTCCGGGCAACTTTAGTTTAGAAGTAGTAGTTAAGTACGGTATGCGGTCTGACGGTCATTGACGGTAGGCCTATCGTAAAAAAAAAGTGTCAAAGTTCACGCTATACGTACCTTGGGTCTAATTCCAACAGAACGGGGCAAATAAAGTTCGGCAATACGTCTAGATGTGGAGTTTTGTGGCAAGGTCCGACAAGAATCTCGCTAGACTGCGGTTTTCGCGGTGAATTTGGTCGGCAACTTACAGCGGTACCTACATGTGCAGACATGTTACATTTGAGACGCGCGCGCAAAATAAAGCAAGCGAGCAGACGAAAATTTCAGTCTCGAACTTGAGCCTTGTTTTGTTCGCCCATTTAAAATACAAATTTAAGTAAAAACGATGTTAAATAAATTGTTTTATCAGAAAATATTTTTTTCCTCACCTAAACATCTTCAATCTGTGAAGAATACAATTAATTTCAATGTACTTGTCAGAAGGCCCAGACGATTTGAGGAACGATTGTGATTGGTCAGTGTTGGTGGCGTGATCTTGAAATATTGATTCTGATTGGCCAATAACATAATGAAACTGGTATCTAAAAATGGGACTCCCCTAACTTTCTTCATTTTGATAATCTTTAAAAAAAATTTTTAAATTAAATGATTATATTTCAAATTACCTGTGCAAAAATGTGTAAAACATTTACCACCAACTGATATGAGGAATCAAATATAAATGAGGAATCAAATGAAAGTTTTAACTGGTACTCGGCCACATAGGTTTGTGCACAAATTGTTTTTCATCCATGATATCCAAGATGCATTACGAATTCTGTCCACCCCTTGCACAAATATATGAATAACTTTATTGACTTTAAAATGAAATCTACTGAAATTTTTAGTTTAAACAATCAAGTCAAGAAATTTAAAGAGATCACACAAAATCTTTTCCCATGTTGCCACGAAGAGATAAAACATTTATTGAGTCTAAAAAAGGAAAAACGTGAGATCTGAAAATACAAAAACAATGGAACTCATTTTGAATATGTTTCGATGATCCCTATTCGAAATCCACAATACATGGTTAAAACTGCTTTAGAGCCTTTTCCGATTCGTATAACTTTGTGTGTGTTTTATTCCAACTCTGCTCAGGTTGTTCTTAGAATCATTTAATATTTGAACATTTCCCCCCCAAACTTGTAGCTAAATAAAGTTGTGGGTTAACATGTGCTGTGTAACACTCTCATGCATTTAAGTAAAACTGAACACTCTTAAAAATACAGTGCATTTTATACAAAAATATAAAAATATTCTCATACATTTTCTTATCAATCTACAATCAAACACACATGTACATTACAAAAAATTACAATTCATTTTCATTTCTTTTCATCATTCAGGTTATTTGCTTATTTTTCCTAACTTATTAAGGGTTTTTAATTTTCTGTCATGAAGTACATGAAATGTTTTTTTGGTACTGAGCGAAACATCACAGTTGAATTTTTTTTAAGAAACGTCCAAAATTTACTGAGAAATGACAGCATTTGGGAAAAAACACCATTTCACTACATCATTGTGGATCCTCTTATTGAAATTATTTAAACACTTTTTTTTAAAATTAAGTTTGTTTTATGCAATACACCCGGATTGTTTGGAATCTTACATTAGAATAAAACACTTCAGCAGATAAAAATGTCAATTTCCATCACCTGTACCAAATAAATACAATTATGAATTGATCATGGAGGGGGGGAAAGGGACGTTAACCATCCAACATTCTCTGACTGTTGGGTGCTCTGAATTATTTATCATCATTTATAAATTACAATTTCACTCCTGAGCAAGTACATACAAAAAACATATACATATATAGTCACATAAAGAAATGAAAGGTGCCATTTAATGTCCAAAGCTGCAGTAGTTGATAAATTAGGGATGTGCAGTTTTCAAACAATTTAGTATTCAATTATTCTAATTTGGACTTGATAGAATATTCAAATATTCAAAATGGGCTGATCAATATTAACATGTGCCAGCCTCAACTGGCCACCGATCGGGATTTGCATGCACCTGCGCTTGTTGCAAATTGACGAAGAGCTTATTAAGATTTTAAAGATTGATGTATTTCTCATGGAAGCTCTCCAATCATTCGCAAAAGTAGCTTTTGACAAAAGTATGGCATTTGATAAACAATAAAACCTTGCAATACAATTAAAAGAATGGTGGACATTTTTTATCTTCTCCTCAAGACCACTCACATTTTTTTGAATATTTGAGTCGAAAAAAGACTTAAAAAGCTATTCAGATATTCATTTGATCGAATATTCAGTATATTCAGCACAGCCCTATGATTCAGATCCATTGTCGTCTGTCTTCCCCAGAAGTGAATCTTGGACAAATGAAGAAGTAGATGTAGCCTCTGCTAACTTGAAGAATAGCTGGTTCAATACTGAACTGTCCATCACACAACAAGAAATGCACAGGACATGTTCATCCTTCCAACTGATCTCCTTGGTATCCTGAACGACATCAGGTACATGTATTTAGATGGCCGTTCCTGATCCTAGTGGTTGCTTCTCTGATGGAGTGTCCAAAACAGGTCGCTCAAGCTCATCCAAATTGATGCCTTTATCCCTGATGGCATTCTGAAAATGAAAAGATAGAGTTATAATAAATCAGTTAGGCTAAAATATCTGGGTATTTTTTTGGAGAAAAAAAAGTAGCCAGGCACCACGGAGAGTTGAGTGCATTTTCAAAGTGCATTGTATTTTCTAACAAAATTGGAAAAGTTTCTCAATCCTAGAATGATTCATGTCTTTTCAACATTTTTGCAATGACCGACCTTCATTGAGATACATGTTCATGTAATGAAATAGTGGCATCAGGATGCAACATTCCTTCCCATTTTTTATATTATTTTACATGTGCAAATACGTCGCAGGCCTAATTCATGCGCACTTGTGAAAGAGATAAAACTAACATTGAATATGACTATCACTAACATCAGCAAGATGGAATTATCTACAGGAAATTCACAGGGAGAAAACAAATTTACAAAATTTACTTCCCATTCAAAGTTAAGTAGGCCCAACAAATTAAAATAACAACTAGGCCTACTCACTTTTACACAAGTTTGATATTTTTTGAAGATGTCTGCACATGCATCATTGTAGTCTCCCTTCAAGAACTTCTCGCTGAACCATGCATTGAAGCAGGCATCGTATTCCTTCTTGAGTTGATTACAATCCGATCCAATACTCTCCATTTCAATGAATGATGCAACTTGCAAGGCAAAACTGCTCTCGCTCAAGTCTCAAAACAAATTTTTTTTAGTGCCAAATTCACGGTTCCCACGACCTCATTCGATATTCGGCGCTCAGGTTCACCGAGTCAAATCTTCTAAAATGTGCAGCTAGCAAAGTTTTCTTGAAAATTGTTAAACACGGCTTTTTAAACTCAACACTTTTAAAATCTTCTGAGAAGCCACAGCACAGGGCACAAGTTTCGTCGGTCTGCTGCGCTGCACAACTTCCAGCCGGATCACAAGTCATGAAATCTGTGACAAGTCCGCACTGAGATAAAATAGGTACATATTAAAAATAATTAAGATGTGTTCTACGAGTCTCATTCAAAATATATACGACTGTTTTTGATTTGTTCCTCTTATGTCACTGTGCAGAGATGTTTTTAGGAAAAGTAATGTTTTGGAATCTCCATTTGGCGTAATGATATTTAAAAGACTTCGTCTGATCAAACCAAGATGGCGGCGCCCATGAAAAACTTCAACCGAGTGAACTCGTGAAAGTCAGGGATAAATTTCACATCGAAATACAGATTTGCATTCGATGTATCATCTAGTTATGTCGAGACGAATATTGTCTTCTTGTATTCTTGTCCTTCAAGCTACAAATCAAAGGCTATGTTCTTCAAATGGCGGACTTCACCCGAAGGTAATGTATCGATACGGTAAACTGCACTGGCAGTGGCAGTGGCAGAGTGACCGTTGGTGGCGCTGTTTATGTTACACGGGCTCATTTCAACAAGGAACAAGTTTACAAAATTTTGGTAATCAAAAATAGAATATTAATATAACATTTGTCAAGTACAGAGGATAATGAGGGACGCCCACGGAAGTTAGTAAAGTACATACAGCCTACAGCTGGGGAATTTGAAACTCAAAATAATTAAAAAAATTAATATCTCATCGCATCTTGGCCAGCAGGCCACTTCATAAATTTACAAAATCACATACATGTACATGTAGTTGTTTTGTTTGTTTTGTTTGCAGATACCTCGTAAACCAACATGGAAAGAAATCAATTCCACCAACCTGCCTAAGGTATGAACAGTTGCTGGGGCACTGAAATAAATCCGTAATCTGAAATCCAATTAAAAAACAACCAAAATGAACCTTTTATATGATTGTTACGCTCTTGGACTGCTTGATGGAATAATATTTCAACAAAAAACTAGCTTGAGTAACTCCAGCTCTAATGCCTATCGCATAGGCATTAGAGCTGGAGTTACTCAAGCTAACAAAAAAATAAAAAGGTTCGAATGCAAGAACTGAATACATGTACAGTATTCATGTTTAACTCAGTGTTCATGATGAACCAAATATTAATGTTTAATTCAGTATTCACGATGAACTGAATACATGTATTACCACCCACCTCCCACTTGATATTTATCCTTTGTTTTCTTTACAGGAGCCAGTCATTGATGAGCAAACTATCCAGCGTTTGGAGCGACTAGCTCTGGTGGACTTCAATAATGTGGCTGGAATACAGAGACTAACTGAAGCTATCAAATTAGCGGACCAGATTCAAATGGTCGACACTACTGGTGTGGAACCATTGGACTCAGTTCTTGAGGACAGGTGATATTGTTTTGGAAATTAAAAGAATTGTTCTTCTAATTTGCTTGAGGAAAACACCATTTCCCTTGATTAATTAATTAAAGCCTTAAAAATGCAAGTCAAAACACAAGCTGTTGTCATTGTACCAACTCTTCAACCTGTGGCATAAAACACTTTTCACCTCTTTTTGATTATTAAAAATCACTTAACTTTCCATCAAAGTAACATCGACACCTACAAATTATCGTTGGAATTTATTTTTAATAATTGGTCAAAGTTTATTGGGGTTTTTGGTACTTTGACAGGACTTTGTACCTAAGAGAAGATGAAGTAACCGAGGGAAATTGTGCCGAGGAAATTCTTCAAAATGCTGCCAAGACGTGTGAAGAATACTTTGTCGCTCCACCAGGTTTGTTATTAATATTAACACAGTTCACCGTTTCAAAAATAAAATCAACATGGAGAGTGACACAAATAAAGGCAACTTTAAGCAATACAAGTTAAAAAGTCATTTATTACAATATTTTAAAAGCTGTTATTTAAATTCAAAATATTTTTTAAAATTTGCTTTTTTTTTTTTTCAAAGGTAATATTCCGCTACCCCCGAAGCCTGTGGCCAGATATGATGGACATCAGTCTGACGAACAAGATTGCTCATGACACTGGCTGCACATTGATCTAGACGGAAGAGGAAATTTGTTGGGAATGGAGGGGGGGGGTAGAAATGTGTGATATTCTAGATGATTGGAGCTGTATAAAGTTAAAAATGGGAATTAATAGTAAAAATATTATTACACATCACAAAAGCTTCAACTGTTTTTGGATGTTTCATAACTGTACGATATGCAGCTAAAGATGAGAAATTGAGCACAATTTAAAATTGATATTTTTGAAACCAAGTTGAAAACATTTAAAACTACATGCATTACCTGATCCTTGATCTCACGGTAAGACATCAATAAAATAATTTGTTAAGAGGACTGCGTGAAATTGTCTTGTGTTTTAGTTTGTTGCACAACTTGGGATGTAGATGTACACATATTTTTAATAAGTGGACAAACAGTTTTCAGTTAATAAAAAAAACGCTCTTCAAAATGGGAGGTGGGCGGGGGGAGAGGATGAGCAGTAAGTGTATACATGTAGATCAATCCATTTTACACCACCCTATGGAAATCTGACCAATCACAGCCACGATTACTGTCCGACATTAATGTGGATCAGTCTATTGACAGGGAGAGGGGACAGGCTTTTTTTTATAGTGGTTGGGAGGGAAGGGTTCATGGAGCATGCACAGAGGGCGGGGCCTAATGGATCAGTCTATTGACAGGGAGAGGGGACAGGCTTAGTGGTTGGGAGGGAAGGGTTCATGGAGCATGCACAGAGGGCGGGGCCTATTTGATCAGTCTATCGACAAGGAGAGGGGACAGGCTAAGTGGCTGGGAGGGAAAGGTTTGAGAGTATGCACAGAGGGCGGGGCCTAGTGGATCAGTCTATTGACAGGGAGGGGAGACGGGCTTAGTGGCTGAAAGGGAAGGGTTCATTGAGCATGCACAGTGGGCGGGGCCTAGTGGATCAGTCTATTGACAAGCAGGGGGACAGGCTTAGTGGCTGGGAGGGAAAGGTTCATTGAGTATGCACAGAGGGCGGGGCCTATTGGATCAATCTATTGACAGGGAGGGGGAAGACAGTTTTAGTGGCTGAAAGGGAAGGGTTCATTGAGCATGCACAGTGGGTGGGGCCTAGTGGATCAGTCTATTGACAAGCAGGGGGACAGGCTTAGTGGCTGGGAGGGAAGGGTTCAGTGAGCATGTACAGTGGGCGGGGCCTAGTGGATCAGTCTATTGACAAGGAGGGGGAGGCTTAGTTGATGGGAGAGGAAGGGATCATTAGTGGGGCAAATTAGGATTGCTGCATTTTTTTATTCCCCTACAAATTGGTTTCAAAACTTGTTCACAGGCATCCCTTTCTATTTATATTCACTTCCCATCAACTCTGTGATCAGGTATGCAACTGGGAAGTTCCAAGCTTTACAAGAATTTATAGTGTTTTTCAATGTTAAAGGGCATCAGTGTGAAAAAAGGGACTTCCATGAGAAATCCGATCTTAAAAGTGCGGATCCGGTTATGAATCTATGGGAAGCTAGGAAAGAAATTTTAATCCAGCTATTCTAAATATCCTTCATGATCCTTAATTTCTTATGGCATCAGGATTTCCTTTAAAGCGAATGTAGTCCCAATCCTTTCAGATCCTGTTTTTTTCCGTGAGAATCTTCCAGAATAGGAACTTCTGATTCTTTTGGAATATTGTCTGCCACACAACTCCTTGTTTTCCATGGGGAATCCTGTTTCCATGCGGAATCCTATGTTTTCCGTGGGGAATCCTATGTTTTCCATGTGGAATGCTATGTTTTCCATGAGGAATCCTATGCTTTCTCTGAAGAATCCTACGCTTTCTCTGAAGAATCCTATGTTTTCCACGTGGAATCCTGTTTTCCATGTGGAATCCTATGGTTTCCGTGTGGAATCCTGTTTTTCATGTGGAATCATGTGTTTTCCATGTGGAATCCTGTTTTCCATGAGGAATCCTATGGATTTTCCGATTTAAATGTGTCCTTCCCTCTGTTCCGTGCTCTCAAATCCTTTGCTATCCAATACTGACTGAACCTTGGAGGTTGAAAAAGAAGTTAAAAGTCTGGTTAATGATATTCACCCAAACCAGTTAGAAAAGACCAATCTATTAAGCTTCGCCCAACAATGTTCTGGCCAATGACAGCTGTCGTTTATGTCCGACATGCATGTACAAACGACCACATGCGTGCACATATGACGCGCGTGGCTAGAGCATGCAGTATGGCTTTGGAAAGGCGCACGTGTTGTTGCGCATGTGCACAATGGGCGGGGCCTAGTGGATCGGTTGATTGCCAACAAAACTTCAAGGATGCTTTATAGGTCTTTTGCAACAACTGCTAAAAAATGACAACATAAAAGATGTTTTTTTCATCAAGGTTAACAGAAATCCTGCATTTTTTAACTATAAAGAAAAAGATACCATGTTGCTCAACTTAAGCAATAAGACCACTTGTTTAATAATCGTCTTTGCAACGTTTCAAAAATGTTAAAAATATTAAACTACAAATCCGTCACTAAAGCATGCACCACTACCGCAAGAAAAACAGCATGCAATTTAATTACTTAAGTGTAAGCTTTTGACACTGCAAAATTAAAACTGATCACAACGTACAAAAAATAACATCGAAATTTGTTCTGCATGTTTGAATTAGGATCAGATCAAGCAGAGCATATTTACAGCGGATATTTTCACATAACGTCTGGGTAACAATATTCAACAACTGATGTTAATACAGCTAAATTGAAATAATCAAAATTGCTTTTAAATTTTCTTTTTTAAAAATGGACATAGAATTGGAGGGAAAAAAATGCTTGATTTGAAAATAACTCAAACATGCCAAAGAAAAATAAGTTTTTAAAGCATACCATCCAATCCATGATTTGTCCAAAACTTGACATCGAGATCAAATGTTCCCAATGTCTCCATTGATTCGTTTCCCTCTCAGGAGTCCTTTGTGTGCCAAAAAATGTGACTGCTCCATAATCTGTTCCACTATTCCTTCATCCCGCCATGACAAAAAAAAATCCTCTAAAAATTGCCATTCCTGGACTTCTCAGTTCTAGTGCTTTTCCTAAGGAATCCGGAATTCCGAATGTCCATCCTTACGGCACTGAGGACATTGAGAAAATATGAAACGTTGTTAGCTGTAACACAAGTCGTAACATGTAACACAAGTCGTAACATAAAGAAAACCTACTTAAACAGGTACTTAAAAGTTCAGATGTTTAAATTATCTGACATCTTTCAGTGTTAGAAATGAAAAGTTAACAAATTGTTTAGTTTCTGAAGACAGTTTGAGCTCATGCTAAACCCTAGAAATCTATGTGTTGGTACACTACGCATCAGTACCTAAATTACATTCAGACACTGGACATATTCCAACCAATCATCAAATTTAGTCGAGCAAAAACAGACCAATTTCAATTGCTCAAAATTGATGTTAATTTTGTCCAAGCAGATGGTATGTGTATGTATGTACTTTTTACACATAAATTTCTGTCAAAAATGACAAAGTTAATCAGATGACTACGTATACCGGGGTATGTGTGTAACAAGATTAAGATCTCCCATTTTCAGTTTTAGTAACAGTGACTTTTCATTCCTTACAAAACTTATGAATGTATAAACCGTCTATTCTAGTCTAGTTTCAACCTTCAAAATGTACATTTTTAGCCTTTAAACCACTGTGTATTTCCAATGCAAATAATTTTCAGATAGAAACTAAACCACACTACTAGTACAACACGCTATTTAGCTAAAAAAGGCAAACGCCGATCGCAATGGGTGGAGACATACTCAAAACCTGATTTGTTTTTTTTACAAAATACAACTACAAAGATCAACAAATATCAAACTCTCAAATTTCATTGCCAAATTGGACTCAACTTTCTACAAAAGGTGGATGTTTAACAGAACCTATACTTTACAGCACTTCAAGTCAAAATACACAATTTGAAAAAAAGAAGGATCTTTTTGTGCATAGTAAGAACACTTAATGAATATACACGCATGCATACGTCTTCTCTTGAAATAATGAGATATATCTGTGTAATAATTGAATGTAATTGAGCACATATTCAAAAAAGGAAAGTTCTCGACCGATTTTCACACATTTACAAAATTCTGTTTCAGATTTTTGGCTTAAACCAACCTTAGTTTCCTAGTCCTGTTGTAATTGGTATCCGGGTTTCCATGGGAACTACACTCGATCGCCCACTCCAACAGACAACTTAACGGGAGCGTGACCGACTGTCGCGTCCCTTGGAGCGACTGCGAGATCTGGACCGTGTGTAGGAGCGTTTAGAACGCTTGGGGCTGTAGGATCGGCGCGGACTTCGCTTTGGACTGTAGCGTCTAGGGGAGCGGCTTCGAGATCGACTGCGGCCACCTTTGTAGTCTGCTTTCACTGTGATATAGGACGTATCACCCTGACCAAGCAAACAAAATTCCAACAGAGTCAGTCACAAATCAAGTCACAAATGGGTAATTCCAACGTTATGAAAGGACTCTTTAGGGTATAAATACTAAACTATCAAGTTTTTGAGATTTTTGCATCTACCTCATGTGAGTGAAACTTGGAATCGCACAGACTCTTGCAGGCATAGCGCATGTCGTCTTCATTGACGAACTCGACCACTCCCGTGCAATCTCTGTACACGTCCGCATAGCAGACGTCACCAGCCTCCCGCATGTGGTCCTTCAAGTCTTGCCAACTACCAGTAGAGGGTAGCCCTGTCGTTGGAAACACAAACAAGCAAAACAAGAACAAATCTGTTAATTTTAATCAATTAGACTTGTCAAATTTCATCAGTGATGCATGGCTAGAACATGCAGTGTATATTTGAGGAGAGGCACATGTTTTTACCAACGTGCAAAGTGGGTGGCGAATTAACCATTAGAAGTTTACATGACCAATGTAATTATTAAACCCTAACTCCCAAGGCATTTTTGCTTGGATGTATTAACCTCAATCCTGCAAAATCCTCCAAATGCCTCCATGTAAAAATAGCATACAGCCTCAATCCTGCAAAATCTGTTTTTCTTGAATGCGATTCTTGGAGGGGCGACTAACCATTAGAAGTTTACGTGACCAATGTAATGATTCAACCCTAACTCCCAAGGCATTTTGCTTGGATGTATTAACCTCAATCCTGCAAAATCCTCCAAATGCCTCCATGTAAAAATAGCATACAGCCTCAATCCTGCAAAATCTCTGTTTTTCTTGAATGCGATCCTTGGAGGGGTGACTGCTGCCTCAATCCTGCAAAGTCATCCGGAAATCACTGTCAATATGTTGAGGCAGAGCCAGTGACATCCTAGCACTGTGTGGAGGAATTCAAGTATAATATAGGCCTAAATTTATGCACGGCTGAGCATAAACAACTCGTGGTCCAGCCCAAGACCTTGACACAGTGCATCCTCCGAAATCAGCAACACACTTTTGCCATGAAGATGTAGCCTCAATCCTACAAAATCCTTGATTTGCAAAGAAGATTTGGGAGGATTTGGGAAGGTAAGGGTTATTAAAGCACCTGATACGATGACTCTGTAGTCCGATCTCCTGGGTGGGGGGCCACCTCTCCTTCCCCCACCTCTACCACCATCCCCATCCCGACCCCCATCCCGACCCCCACTGTAGCCCCCACGGGGTCCTCCTCCACGGGGACGTTCCACGCGCAATCTGCAGTTGTCGTAATCGTAGCCATTTCTGTAATAGATTGCATCCTCAGCGTCCCTGTAATACAAATTTAAAAAACTGCGTATGAGTGTTGTCAACAAATGGAAAATGTTGGGCATCAGACCATGTAAAACAGAAAAATTGTTCCTCGTCCAGGCTTTTTGGAAAAATGAAGAGGGCGTCCTTCTCCTTCTCCCCCACCCCCAATTTGGGGAATGGATTCTTCCATTTCCTTGACTCTTTTGCTGATACTTTGCGTCCACAGGATCTGTCACCTTTTCAAACAGATTTTGAACTTTACACGGTTACAATTTTGTTGGAAACAAAATAAAGACAAAATATATACTTTTTTTTTCAAGAGTGAAGGAAAAAGTGTGCCGAGTACGGGGACAAGAATCGTTAACTTTTTACTTTGGCCTTATGAAGAACTGTACGACAAAGAATGCAACTCCAAGTTCCAACTACAAAACGGAAGGGGGAGGGAACAGGCATTTAATTAGGGCCTATTTTCTTTATGAACCATTAGCTCGTGAATTGAGCACATGCTTTTGTGCCCTCCCCTGTCCCCATTCCCTACAAAAAGAACAATTTTACAATTTTAGTATGGAAATTGGAATGTTACAGGTTGACAAGCGCCCTCTATAGACAAACCAAGATTCCAACATGCCCAAATTTCGCACTTTTTCTGATAACAGAGTTGGCTGAAAAAAACTCCATATAACTCACCTTCTGTCCTCGAATTCGATGAAAGCAAAAGGCGGTCCAAGGGACCTGCTCTTAAGGTCAATGTTTGTTATTCTGCCGTACTTAAAAAACAAATCTTCCACCTCTTTTTCTCGGACGTTGGACGGCAAATTGCCGACGTAAATCCGGCAATCTGACGAGCCTCCACCGCCGCGGTACGACATCGTTTCGTCTCAGTCAGTTGACCCCGCAAAACACCAAACACTAGCAAATGAACGAGAAGTTTGTTTGGTACAACTCAGGACGTAAAATGTAATCTCCAAAATGAGGATTTTTAAAGCTTTTCACGGGTAAAAATGGAGCGGAAATTGGAACAAGAAGCAGGAAAGACTCGAACAGTAACCACGTGAACTTGGCGTACCCACTCAGAATTAGTCTGGTGTCTGCCGCATACGCGCACGCGCCTAGTCTGTTATCATCTCGTACCATCTAACAGACGCGCGAAAACCAGACTAAGCATTTATAATATATGACGTCACGTAAACATGAATATGCATACATACATATGTATCCCTTCGCAAGTCTAGTATAAAGTTTCCTTTTTTGGTTGAAAAAAAAAACACCCCGGATTATTCTTGACTTTATGAACTAACTGCAAACAACTTCATGTTTCTCTCTTTTTCAGACCCCAGGTTGTTAATAAGATATATGTTTAACATAAACTTTTTTCAGAGACTAAAAATAATTTGTAGGTCTGTAAAAGGTGGACGACTAAAGAATATTCTCTAAAAATGGGTTGATTTGATTTAACAACCTCAACTGCATAACAGGCCAAATACAAAGCAACTAGGAACTCGTCGGAACCAATTTTAATATTGTTTCTACAATATCATAACCATCTTCATAAAACAGAAAGTCATGAAAGAAATCTTGGGTTCAAATCACCATCCCCCAAAAGGGTGAATTTATTCTATTAAATTCAATTGCATTTACATTTTGATTATACATACAATTTGAATACATGTATGTGTAAAACAAACAAAAGCTGGTCTTCAGAGCAATATTTTCTTTCTGATAATAACCTTTTGATTCTGTCTGACTAAATAAAAATCACTGCTAATTTTCATTTCAATTCAAACAATACTTATCGCTCATACAATTTGCATAAATGACGATCTTTCTTACCTGCTAAAAAAATTCGATTCAAATAGCATTTTTGTGCCTTCACTTCATGATTGTCTGTTTTATGTATTACAAGTTTCCTGCCAATATATGATGCTCCATGTGAGTTACTAGAATTTGGAGAAGCAGTTTCAACCTTTTTTTGAGATGATTTCTGGATAAATTTTAATCTATCTACATTTACAGTGGTACGGAATTTTAATGGTACATTTGTACACTCAATTCAAACAGTCTAAGAAAACTATATGATGAAATTATGCCTTCAAGGCCACATTCATCACTCTGGAGAAATAAAAGGCTCCTAAATTTCGGTTCTCTAATTTGTATCACTTGCATAAAAACATCAATTTTTGGTATGCTGTACAGCTGTAAACACAATAAACTGATTTATTAAGCCAACCCCTATGGAGTTGCGACCAATCACAGAAAAATTGAGGCCAAGTTAAAAAAATGAACCGTTTCTCATCCCTGCTCGCTTCCTTTTTCCTGCCTGCTTCCTATTTTTTATCATACATTTGCAATATTTTTGTCTTTTTGTTTCCAGCAAATTGTAGCCATGTATGCAAGTTCAAAATCTAGTAGAAAGAGTGATGGCTCCTTTGAACACAAAAGTATCAGCAAAAGAGATGAGACAATGAAGTATGTATCCGCCATCTTGGAAAAGTGCCTCCTTTTTCTTTAAAAAATGTGGATGAGAAACTATTTCCTTTTTTACTTGGCTTTATGTTGGATATGCACTCACTGTAAGTATGACATGGGTACAAGGGGCACGGATGGAATACGCATCAGAGCGGCGCACGTGCTGTTGCCATGGTGAGCAGTGGGCGGGGCCTCATTAATCAATCAATGGACTTGTTATCATTGTTCCAATCTATGAGTGATACAGCGGCACGACACGCTTAATGCGCTGCCTACATATCGGACACTGCGGCGGTTGCAGCAATCGCGCACAACGCGCACATGTGCAGATGTGACCACAGTCTAACAGCACTACATCCCTTCGGTTGCTCAGGCATATCGTGCAAGCGTTGTCTTCACTGACCGTCGGGTCCACGTCAGTTCCTTCAGCCCCTTCCTCCGCCCGATCCTGCAAGACTCTCTCGACCTGCATCTCGTGATTCCTCCTCTCCGCGTACTTCTTGTATTGCTTATAGAACCACAGTGCGACAAGCAGAGCGGTGATTGACCCGCTGATGTACAGAAAGAACTTGAGATGGTTTATCTTCGATTGGAAATCCCGGACAATCCCAGAAAACCCGATGTTGCTTAGGATGTAAGGTCTGTTGGTGCCTGTAGGGGGACCGAGAACCAGAGAACCAGTCGACGTTGACAGCATGCCTATGCCTGTCAGCACTGTTCCCTCTGACAGCATTCTTTCCATGGTCTGAAAGCCTTTAGTTTTTTCCCCACTTGCCCAACTGACGATGTGTTCTCCTAGCGACGTCGGCGATGGCTCAAACGAATCATGGATGATGGGAATCTCTAGCCCGGTGGCAGACAGAGGGTCGTCGACCTTTACGCCTGCATTATTGTCTTTGATCACGAATGGGACCGAGCGGTTTATATTCCTTATCAATCGTGTGGTGTCGTGCCTGTACCATATATGGGGAAAAAATACTAAATGACCAAATGTAGTTTTCAAGGTGAAATCAATACACTAAAATCCAAAGATTTCAAACTTCAAAAATTTGAAAAATCTGTCAATGCAAATATGATTATTCAACCATGCTGGTATGTATACCTGGACCTGGTAAGGATCATAACTTATATGTAAATTGTACATGTGATCGTTAAACCATGCTTGTTGGACGGTATCAAGCGAATAAATGCTTGCCGAGTCAATGTACTTGAAACAAGCTTCGGAATTCAAGCGTTATTTAAATGATCCAATTTCTGTTGGTTTTCATAGTCATCAGCTCTTTTGGTGAGTGCAGTAAACATGATTTTCATTGTTTTATGGGAAAGGTCCCAAAGTTCACTACCTGATCCAGACTTACCACAAGCGAGTGCTCCCACTCCAGTACGTCTTATGCTCTCTACAGATCAGCGTTTGCAGGACCCCCAAGATGCCTGGAGTATGCTCACTCTGCAGGGGTTTACCGATAGCTTCCACGCTCCCTTCAATGACGGCATAGGGAATGGTATTTTCAGGAGCCTCACTGACGATGGTTTGCAGGTTCCGGTCGATGTTTAGGCGAGGGGCATCCTATAAGACACAATAAAAACAAAAGTGAAATTTTAGTAATTCACTCTGCTACAACTTGAAATAACACACGGGAAATTGCTACAGCTGCTGGCCAGTGGCTTCCATGGATACGCTTGTTATTTCAAGCAGTGGCCAATTGAAACGGCTATGGCCCATATACATGTACCCTCATCGGAACTAAATAAGCTTACCTTTATTTGTTTGAGGTAGTTGGCCTCTTTCCTCCAATAATAAGCAATGAGGCCCGTAATGGCTGCACTGCCTGCCATTACGGCAACCTCAATGTTTTCCATTGTCCTGACGGTAGTCTGCACTGGGCACCAGTTAAGAGAAATTTGATGGTTGACTCGGTAGCGCTTAGACGGTTTTATGAAGAATTTGCTTCCGGTATCCTTTTGTTCTATATTATCATTGGCAAAAAGCAAACAGAATGAGAAATTAGTGTCCTTCACTTTGCAGAATTTTCTCTTGCAGTGGATATTTGACCATGAATTGGTCCCCGATTGTTTTTGTTGTTGAACCGGCAATGCACTGAACATATGCAGTGAGTGTTTTGGGGGGACTTAAGACATATTTACCTTGATGAATCTTTGTCTGTTTCCACGTTTATATTGTCATTGTGACTTCAAACTCAGGGGGCAGTAATCAGGCCTATTGCAATTTCGGACTTTATTTCCCTTAAAAAAAAAAATCCTCCAGAGACAATCAGAAAAAGAAGATGAAACATTCTCTAATCAAATGTAGGATTTGATTTTAAACAATGAAAACTCTTACTTTAGTTTAGGGAGAATGAAATAAATAAATTAAAATGAGTGGCGCGAAAGCATTTCCAAATCGAGACACCTTGCTTAATGTTTTGGCCCAGCATGTTTTTAATAAACCAACGAGCCAGATGTTCGCTCAAGTTGGGAAGGTAATGTATTGCGTACTCGTATAGGTGCACATGCGCAGAAGAAGAATGCTGGCTCAGTAATGAACAAAATTGTGGGACTGTAACAGGGTTCTTTAAATGCCTCGATTTTCTTTTTAGACTAGGCCTTTCTAGTTTCTTTTCAGTGACTGAGAACAGTGAGTTTTCAATTAGTCAGTCAATGCCATGGTCGGTGTCGGTGGCCAAATTTTAAAGGATTCAAAGTAAAACTCAAAATGTTTAATTCCCAATACATGTTGTGCCTTATCAGCAAAGTGGCGGTCGAATAAATACTCCCCTTTCCTTACCAACCAGAGCCCCGCCCCTCATATCCCATGATCTGGCGCGCCGCCGCCGGTAGTTGATGTGGAAATGTCAATACAGATAATTAATAATCAATTGTCTCTGGCACTGCCGCCTATTGTAAAATGAAGTCCTACCCCTGCCCAACAATGTGTGCAAGGCATTAAAAAATAACCCAAAGGGAAGGAGACAGCTCAGAGAAATAAAATTATCTTTACCTACAATTACATCACAATGCGGACCAGCAGAGATCCTATCTTGGTCTTTTATAGTCAGATTCTCAACACATTTACCATACGAAAACATTAGGAGACGTCTAGAATGTTGATATCAGGATAATCAAACATAAGGTGGCGCTCTTCATAAGTAACGGTGTCAGGCGCGGCGTAGCAAGATCATGAAACCATTATGTCTATGCATGAAACACACACAGTGTGCGTGTGCCGCACAAATGTTGATATCGGGACAACCAAACAACAGGTGGCGCTCTTCACAATTAACGGTGTCAAATACAATCTCGTTTACGTAGTTTTGAGCGGTTACGCACTGACAAGTACATAATACAGGAAAGAAAGTTACAAATAAACTTAACCCTGGGGACGTAGTTGCGAAAAAGTTTCGAAGTCCGAATTTTCCCATCATGCATTGAGAAATCCCAAATCCTATCGCGATAGGATTTTGGAAATGGGAATCGTTATTCGTTTTCCGTTTTGCTTTCGAAATAGGAAATGGGAATAGTGGGAATCGATATCCGTTTTCCGTTTAACTGACGAATAGGGAAATGGGAATCGTAAGTCGGTTATTCGTTTTCCGTTTAGCTGTCAAATAGGGAAATGGGAATCGTTATTCGTTATTCGTTATCCGTTTTGCTGTCGTGATGGGATTTTGGATTCCAAGTCCGTTATCCTATTTTGCCCGGGAAATTGGAAATAGGTTAGTTATCCGTTTTTCTTTTTTGCTTAGGAATTGGGAAATGGTTTCTTTATCCGTTTTTCTTTTTGCTTAGGAATTGGGAAATGGTTTCTTTATCCGTTTTTCTTTTTGCTTAGGAATTGGGAAATGGTTTCGTTATCCGTTTTTCTTTTTTGCTTATTGGGAAATGGTTTCGTTATCCGTTTTTCTTATTTGCTAGGAATTGGGAAATGGTTTCTTTATACATCCGATTTTCTTTTTGCTTAGGAATTGGGGAAATGGGTACGTTATCCGTTTTTCTTTTAGCTTAGCTAATAAATGAGAATTAAACTTAAAGGGTTTTGAGATTGTACCGTTAATTGTGAAGAGCGCCGCCTGTTGTTTGATGATATGTCGAGCGCAATTTGAGTCCCCCGCGCAAGTTTAAACTACTTACCGTACGCACGCAAGTTGCGCGTGCATTAATTTCCTTGCTACAAATTGCGGACGCAAGTTTAAACTTGCGCGCTACAAAGATTTTCCCCATGCATGCAAACCGCTGAACTAATTTTTTATTCCTGGTAAACTCATGCAGATATGTGACATTATTTTTAAAAGCAGATTTTTCTCCGATTTATGTGCTTCGTGAGACAATGCCTAGGCCCTAATGCCTTTTTTTTGGGAACATTATGCTAATGAGGTTGACTGTGTAGAGGTTCAGAGATAAGGGTTGGTAATGCGAACAATTTATGCACTTTGCTTCATGATGTGTATTATTTTTATGGCTCATTAGGATTTTTGTTTAGTACACAACATATTTATTCATTAAGTCGAATTAATTAATTATATTAATACATTAAATTGAATTAATTAATTAAATCATTAATAAATTTATTTACTTTTAAAACTAATTACCATTTTTTAATTGCATAGCGTTTTAAAATTAAAACATGTAAACATTAATATGAATTATTGAGCCTGCGAATAAAATAATTGTTAAAGTAATAAATTCAATTAATTAATTATTAGTAATGAGTTCATTAATTTTCTTTTCAAATTATGCATTTTTGAAGTGTACGCAGCGCTCGAAATGTTATGCAAAGGATTTTTTAAAACAAAATGAATTAGGCCTATTGTACCGTCCAATTAATTAATTGCTTGATTAATTAAATGAGTATTTTTTAAGAATAAGTACTTTTTTAATTGTAGGGGGCCTACAGTACATGTGATGTAATTTAAAGCATTTAAAACATAATGTAAATGATTACTATAACGTCAAAACTCGAACAGTTGAAGGGATCTTAATCATACCCCCGGGAAATTATGATTTATTTACATTTAATTTTAAGAATATATAAAATGCTAATTAGTTTAACAAGGCAAACAAATTGAAGCTGGTCTCCATTATTGAACAACTTCAGTGCACTTTCCAAGCAATCGCCGCTAGTGTACTAATTGATTGCTTGTGCTTATTGATTGCAAGTTTAGACTTGCGTGCGCAAGTTTAGACTTGCGCAAGTTTTAACTTGCACAAGTTTCAACTTGCGCGGGGTACTCAAATTGCGCTCGACAATATCACCATTGTTGTCGGGTCACGTATAATGAAACCATAGACATTTGTCTTTGGTGTCAAGTACAACCTCATTTTCATAGAGTCGGGCAGTACGCACTCACCACTGCATAATATGGGAAACAAACGAAGTTGGATAAAGTTGGCCCTGGGGACATAATTAAAAGTGTGAGTGAATCTCCCATAAAAAAAAAAACACCTCGTTTTTCGTTTTTGTTGTCCAAAACCGACCAATTTCCCCCCCCCCCCCACCAAAAAAAAAAAAAAAAAAAAATCAGTTGTCTTCATCCGTTTACTTAAAAGTCAAACAAAACTTGTAAACATAAATTATGTTTTGACAAAATTAATTTTATTATTCATCAATCTCTGTAAAAGAAAGGTTTTTTTTCTTATATTTGGAACTTCTTAATTTAATAAAAAAACGTTCGTTTAAATCCGACTGCCAAGTTAATAGTTGAATGCAAAGGTAGAGTTTGTCTGAATATCTCGAAATCTTACTAAGTTTGAAAAAAATTATACAATTTCTGACTAACAGACTTGCATCAAGGTATAAATAGCTTGAAATAATGAACAATTATTTTATTTACACTTTTTAAATATTTATATACACGTGTCATGGAGTACCGAAGTGTGACGTCATTTAGAACCAGAAAGTGTAGTGCAAACGAATACGCGCGCATGTTGGTTCACGGGCTGAATCACGCGCTAATGTCTTTTACACACGTTTTGTGCGCGTGACGTATTCACTTCGGTACTCCATTCACTTGAGTGATGACGCGAAAACAATGCCAAAAATTTATCTTACTTGGAAATTTAATTAAGGGGTCATTATAATTCCTAAAACTGCAATTTGAATCCTCGGCGATGAAAATTCTTCCTTACTATACAAAACTACAATAGAAAAAAAAACCTTGCAAATAATGAAAATAAAAATCAATCCGTTATTAAAGAATAATAGAGTTCAAGCTTTGGGTATCTATTTTCGACCCTTAGAATGAAACATTCACAACTTTTCCTACTTGCAAGAGAAATACAAATATATGTGTTTTTTTTCCTGCAATTAGTACTCACTGTTAGTGTTGCAATTAAGAATAAAATATATCTCAACCAAAAAGAGTATTCATCCTACTTTTATCTCGCTTTTATATCTTTTGGTTAACTAGCAAAACATACATTTGAAACAGGCTTTTGTGATTGTTTTAAAGTTGAACAAAGAAATTGACTCGGTGAGTTTGAACCTTCAACCTTTGGATTGCCGTTCCAGTGCTCTAACAACATAAATATGCAGATTCTTGCAAGTTGTGTCAGGGGAACATCAATTAGCGAAACAACTTCAGACCACTAGCTCCTGTCCACATCAGCTGAACCACTGTAAAGGAAACAAAACAAGGAAACATTACTACCCCCAACAGCCAGGCCAATAATTCAGATAATTCTTCTCATTCAGAACTTGCAGAGTCCAGTAATGAGGTTTTTAGATCTAAAACCACTAATTCAATATCAACAAATGCCGTTACAGTTCACGTTTTGCTTATTAAATTGAGTAGGAAAAAAAATCACAGTAAACTATCCTGCTTAAGGACATTAGCAGTATTATCTGAAACCATGATTCTGGATTAAATAATATTGAGTTTTAAGGCCACAATAAATTTATCAGTAATTACATTTGTTATCACAGGTAGCTTTTTACTCAATAAAGTGGGCCAATGGAAGTAATCGCGGTAAACTATCCTGCCAAAGGACAAAAGGACAAATCCAAACCTCATTATCAGCCCATGAGACCTCGGTATCGCTGGCATCGAAATCCACATCTTCTCCGCTTTCTTCAAGTGCTTCCATGTCGTCATCTTGGCCGTGGTCGATGCTGTCGGTTACCTTCTCTACCTTCTGAATTCCATCCAGGACTTTCTTGTTGGTCGGATCCATCCTGGAAAAATACAACCAAGAATCAGTGATGTCTTGTGATGTTCTTGTTGCGGATCACAAGTACATCATAAGTCAATTCACAAGAAAATCACACCTCCATTCACAAGTTGATTGACAAGTCCTGTAACAAGTAACTGGCAATGAACAACTTAAACAATGGAATGCCTTTATCTCAGCTCATAGATTATCCGTAACACCATTGAATGGGCTAAATCCGGCCCATTGTGCGGTTTGGAACTAGATTTACTTTGTCCTATTGGCGATTGTGAAGGGGTTGTTTCATTGGCTGGATGACACCGCACTTACCCCAGCGCAATGCTATACTGGTCCAACGCTTCCTGTAGTTCATTGTTAGCAGACAGAAACTCCCCCAGCATCTGGTGTAACTGACACGTACTCTGATGTTGTAACTGACGACGTAATCTATCGAAAAAAGATATTGACAAAATTGAGAACTGCCAACATAGGGCTGGATAGCTCAGTTGGTAGAGCACCGGAATTGTACTCCACGGGTTACAGGTTCAAATCCAACTCCAATCAAGTTTCTTTGTTCAACTGATACTCACAACTCAATCGCTGCCGTATATTGCTGCTCCTCACCCAGGACTTCAGCTAGTAGATACACGGCTTCGAGATACGTTGGTTCCTGGGCTAACGCCTTCTCCAACATGGCCTTGGCCTGTATATGAACAAACAAAATTGGCGTTACGGGGTAATCCTATACGATACCACTGCCCGGTAACACAGGACAGAACAAGACTTATTGACATCAAGAAGACATGAGTTAAAATCCAAAGACAAAAAATACAATTATCATGACGTCTTTTACCTTTTCCACTGTGAGACTATCTTTGGCCAGGACGTAGGCAAACAACGTCAGGGACCGGGCGCTGTTACCTAACACCTTGCAGGCATTAGACGCTGTGGTTAGGGCTTCTCTTATTCTACTAGCCTTGATGTAGCATTCTACCAGACCTGATAGAGACAATCGTAAGCCACAAATCTATTGATTATATTTCAGAAACGGACCGATTCGTTAAGCCCCGCCGACTGAACACGTAGGCTACAACACGCGCGTGCATGCATGTCGGACTTCAGTGCACGCATGTTGGACATTAAGCACTTCACTGATTGGTCAAAACATCATTGTGCAGCGTTGAATTGGCCAGAATCAGTCCATTGGTCAGGATAAATACGAAAGTCGTCTGACTTATTTCAAGTGGGGTCCCTTGGTAGAAGTTAAGTCAGTCACGAGCCAATATGGCCCAGTTTTCTTGGCATGAAATGACTGAGAACATTTCTACTTCCCTGGATGGGATGCCAGTCCATCGCAGGTTACTCCCCAGCTAATACCGGTACCCATTTATGCTCCTGCGTGTAGAGAGGCAAGTGAGGATGAATTGGCTTGCCCAAGGACACAACGCATGGACAGCACCTGGATTTGAACCCCTGACTCTCTGATCTTGAATCACGGCATACCTTGATGAGCTTCAAATCTATAAGGAGCCATCCGTACCGCCTCTCGGAAGTGCAACAGAGCTTCCTGGGTCTTACTCATGTCTTTCAAGACGCTTCCCTTCAAGAGTAGAGCTTGGACATTCCGCGGGTCAATCTGATACGCCTTTCAAAAATGAAGAAATATTGTAAGTGTCATGACAGTCTTCAGAAGAACAGAGCATGCTGTTTATAACCAAAAAATTGGTGTTAATTCTGATAAATTGTATCAGTTAGATTTAAAAAATGAAAATATTCATCCAACATTTTTGCTATAGTAGAAAAAATAAGCTTCAACAAGATACACAAAATCAATTGTAGTATTTTGAGCGTTTGAAAGTTTGACTTTGAGGCTTAAAATGCTGTGGAACTTTCCAATAGAAATTTGACAAATTCAGCACATCGTTTCAAAAGAAACGCGATTTCGTATGCAAGATTACCCAATTTTTCTGAACCATTCCATGTCAGAATTACATTTCAAAATGAAAATGCATCAATCTCATTTGCATCTATGAATACAGGTTTCAGTTATTTCCATAAAGCATTAGCCAAAGTTTTGAAAAAAATCTACAAATGAGGAGTTCTTGAAATATGGATTTACTTTTTGAGCAAAATAGACCGCCCTGCTCGTCTTGAGCGGTATGTTTGCGTAGTAGTATCCCATAGCAATCCAGGGTTCGGCTCTCTGTTCTGAAACAGCCATCAGTTTAGATGCAAGGCTGGTGGAGAAAATAATTGGTTTTGTTGGTTTTTTAAAGATAAATCAAAGTGTTAAGGCACCGCAGTATATAAGTTTTAGCACAGTATGCCAAGTTTAATCCTCCTATGCAAACATACATTCTGAGCAAAAGTGTGCTTTCAGTCAAAATCAATCACGTGACTGTTTTTAACAGTTTAGAACTCCCAGCCTACATAAAGCAGGATTGACTGGCTGTGACTGTTTATGTAACTTGATGCAGCTATGCTTTGACTGTAGGTGATTGATAAGCCAGCTGTGCCTACCACTTGCCTGCTTTTGTCTGTTGACTTAATTTGACTAGTCACAGTGCTTGCTTGACATATGATCTGACTGCTGGTGACTAGCCTGTGTAAAAAGGCATGGCAGGGGAAGAGGATTGATTTTTTGATTGTCTTTGACCGTTCGGACAGCAGGAAGTTACGGAGAAATAATTAAGAATGACCATATCTTTGGGATTAAAATTATTCACAGCACAGAATACTGGTTATTTTACCTCATAAGTTCCTCTGTGCGTTTTTCATGTGCAAGCAAGTAGGCATAGATGTCCATTCCCCTTAGACACAACATATCCAGACTATGAACCTACAAATCACAAAGTGGAAAAAAAATTTACAAGAAAAACTCTGTTATACTACAGGAACAAAGAGAAACACAAAGCATTGTCCTCGGGAGTATAGTAAAACACGACTGTCAAAAGCGGTCACAAAGCATTTATACATGGAGTACTTTTTTTGTAGTTAATTTCTTTGAAATGTACGAAAGTCACGGACCCGTTTGTAGACCAGTGCAGCGTTTGCCAGGTCCCCCGCTAGGAAGTGGTTCTCTGCAAGACAGCACAGCACGTTACTGTTCTCTCGTAGTACACTCTAAAAAAGGTAAGTAATAAAACAGTACAGATAAAAAAACAATACAATCAATGAAAAATTGAAGCCTCTTATGTTTCGGATTGAGTAAAAACTTTATGTTATCTTGTTTCAGAATAACTTTTTTTCACTTTTTCACTTGGAATTTGTGGGGATTATTGTAACATTCACTCTCACTTTTTCTACAGCCGCATGCATTCAGAATATATTATTTAGAAATTTTTTTTGTCGTATTATTGATGAAATTGTAAATAAATTTTCTTACCCCCGACTCTAGACTCTTAAACGTACTGACAGCTTTAGCGTAGTCCTTGCTGGCGTTATAGGCATGTCCTTTCAACCAAAATGTCAACCTGAAATAAAGTCATCAATCAAATATTTTCAAGATCAACTGCAAGATTTTTTTATAAAAGAAGAATTTTCTGACATTAATCAGTGTTTTTAAAAGATATTCTTGGAAAATCAACTTTCCATGACTCCTTGTAAAAAAACAGAATTCCATGATTTCTTTCCATGACTTTTCCATGATAGCTTCAAATTCCAGGACTTTTCCATGACTGTGGAAAGCCTGCAAGCACATATATGAAGCTAATGTTGAGAACCCGCTTCGTTGACTCACCACTCTAAGTTGTTGGTGTGTGGTAGACTGTTTATTGTCAAGGCAGCCACTTCAGTTCCTTTGACTCCCAGCGATAGCAGACCCAGGACCGCTTCAAGAGCTAAAGGGCACTGCCTGAAATACAAACAAGAAACAAGAAGCACTCGTTATAGAAACTGTAAGTGAAGTCTGTCACAAGCCAATGTGGCCCATCAGGCCGGCGTTTATCTCCGGTTTCCTTGGCATGAAAAGACAGAGAATATTTCTATTCCCCCTGGCTGGGATGCCAGTCCATCGCAGGTTACTCCCCAGCTAATGCTGGTACCCATACTCCTGGGTGGAGAGAGGCAAATGGGGGTAAAGCGGCTTGCCCAAGGACACAACATATGGCCAGCAGCAGGATTCCCACCCCTGACCCTCTGATCATGAATCATGAACCAACAATCTGCCCAAGGATCCATCAAAACTCCTTCAAACGCTAGGCACAGCTTTTGATGGAATTTCAAGGCAGTTAGACGTCAGCCAAATTGTAATATTCTAAACAAAATATTTGTCATACTTGAGAACTTCTTTGAAGCTTGTGACGGCCGGTCGCTCGTTACCGATTCGCTGATACAGCTTCGCCAGCGCCATGTTGACTTTCGGTTTCCTCTGCTTCGCAGGGATACTCTCCAACTACAAAAAGAAATTAAAATTGGACAGCAAGATTTTGCTCATAAATATGCATGCCATGTAATAACGTTTAATTCATCGGTGTTAAAAACCTACCACCGCGATAGCCTCCCTGTAGTTCTTCTGATGGTAGTTACACTTGTTGATTCTGTAGCGTACATTCAGCTGTGATAGCAGAGCGTCATTATTAGCGGCTGGAGCTAAAGACCATTAGCTAATGAATATGCATGAGTGAGATAATGTTTAATTCATTATGTTGAAGACCTACCACTGCGATAGCCTCCCTGTAGTTCTTCTGATGGTAGTTACATTCGTAGATTCTGTAGCGTACATTCAGCTCTGATGGCAGAGCGTCGGTATTAGCGGCTGGAGCTGGAGGCTGTGTGCTCTTGACTTTACTCTTGTTCAAAACCTTCTTGACTTGTAAGGCTTTCCTGTATATAACCTTCACAAGAAATAAAATGTTGAAGAAAATAAAGTTTCAATATTTCAATCAATTCAATTTGGACATAGCGCAAGTAAAGGCTCATTCTTGTGACATACCTCAGCACTTTTATATTCTTGCATCTCAAAGAGCGCGTCGGCATAGTAAACTTGTAACTGGTACTTCTCTTGGCCGGTAAGCAACTCTGGATTCTGTTCGCTTGCTGTCTTCATTAGGCCAGCCTGTCAATTAAAAAACCAAAAACATGTAAACGCAGCTTACTACCTTTGAAAACAAGTTACCGACGATGATTGACTATAAAAACCTACATTTTCACAGTCTAAAGCATATGCCATAGAGCAAGGAAATGAGTAAAGTTACTACATCGCTTCTGTTGATAAGATTTTTGTAAGGCCTAGTACAAAAACATGTTTTTAAATTGGCCTTGGCCCTTGTTCAGCAAATGGGGATGCCATAATGACAGTAAAAACATAGACACAACAATGATATGCATTTATGTTGTGAATTTTGTTAGCAAAATATAGGCCGAGTCATGCGGCCTGTTTACGCTATGTCAGTATGTGCAAGTGTCCTATTGCTCCAACTCATGCGCATCCGAAGAGCGTTCTATACATGCAGTATTTTGCTAACACAGTTTTGAGTGCAAATGTCGTGTCTAGCCTTTATGAGATATCTTTGACAATAAAAAGTACTATATAAACAATGATAAACAGACATGACAGACGCGTATCCAAGATAAGATTGACTTCAACAAATATATTTTTACATTATAATCTTTAATTTTAAATTTAAAGTAAACTTATTACAGTAGTTTGTGATTTTTCAAGTGTTTTTCCCGAGAAAATGGTATTGTAACAGCGCCCCCATGCGGTCATAAATGTTTACTCCTAGTCCTAGTCCTAGCACGATATGCATGTCAAAATTATTTGGCAGAATTTACTCACCAAAATCGCCACGTTGGAAAACAATCCCTCCTCGTGAAGTATCCTTACTTGGTCAACGATACCCATTTTGCACTCGTTTCAAATTTGTCACCTTAAAATATGAATCTGTACTTGAAAAAATCGAATAATTATCGGCTCAGTTTTTGCCGCTCCGAAAATCAAATGTTTATCAAAATTTGACCTTTGACACGCAAGTGCCGATTATAGCCTTGGCTCCAGGCTGCGCTATGAATGTCAGTCCGTTGAGAGTGCGCGTTTCGTTTTGACGAAATAAAACGATACACCACGAGTGCAAGACTACAATAGACAGAGTTGATTGATTGCACCATGGTTGCGCCGTGAGACAAATTTAGGGAATTAAAATTGCTGATTTAAAACTCGGGCGTAAAGCTACAACTTTGTTATGTGCAGCGAAACACGTAGGATCTTTTTGAGTTAGGTAGGTGTTATTTTTGCCATTTTGTTTTTGAGAATATAGTCTTGAAACTAAAAATAAGTTTTCCATAATAAAATTACAAATACATGTTTTGTTCAACTTCATGTTTGTCATGTTCGTACACATTAAAATAAGTTAATAATATTGTTTAAAAATGTTAGGGCCTATGCCTTCGTAATTTTGAGGAATTGTCTATATAACTGTTATCGGTATGAGGTGAACAATTTTCTTATGATGCCAATAAATTAGAATTATAATTGTTCAGCTTGTCTTGAATTTTTTTGATATTTTTGTCATCTTCAGATTAAACGAGCTGCGCAGGGAAAATGGTGAAAATTGAAGATGTGATGAGTCCGATGACCTTTAACCTCATGATGAGCATGGGAGCTGGTGTCCTGCTTGGCTGGTTGCTGAAGGGGAAATACGGACGACAAGTCGTGTTACGGAATGAACAAGCAGCTGAAACAGCCGCAGCAAATGAGAATGTATGGAAATACACACCCCTTCCCAACCCTTCCCCCACCCCTACCCCACCCCTACTCCACCCCTACTCCCACCCCTACCCATACTCCAACTCTCACCCCTACCCACACTCCTACCCCCACCCCAACCAACACCCCTTCCCTCACCCCTTTCCAAACCCTTCCTCCCTCACAGACCGTCCTTCACAGACCGTCCCCACCTCTTCCCCCGCCAATGTTCCCACCCCTTCCCCACCCCACCTCCTTTCCCCACCCCTTCCCCTACCCTTCCCCCACCCCTTGCCCAACCCCTTCCCCACGACCACCTTTGTGATATCTGTTTGCTCTGATGATTTCCAGTCCACATTTTTTTTGAATGTTTTCCAGGTGAGCACCATGGGTGAGACGGGTGAATACAAGTTGGTTCTAGTCGTCAGGACAGACTTGAAGATGGGCAAAGGAAAGGTTGCTGCCCAGGTGAGACAACCGAGTCATAATCGTTGACTCAATTGACTCCCATGTAAATAATGACTCACTGAGTAACTTACTCGCAGGAAACTAATAGAACTGAGTTTTCGTACAGGGATGAGCATATCCATTTTTCTTTCATACAGATTTGAAATTGAGCAAATAAAAAATGATTCCCTTTTTTCGTCATTATCAAAATTTAAAATGGAAGCATCAACAAGATCCTCTCAAAACTTATCTTGTTGAGAATTTGTGCACGGAAGTTAGTGAGATTTTATAACATAAGTTTAAGCGTTGTTACAGAACAAGGCTTGCCTTGTTGAGCTGGAACTCATTTGAGAGTGACTCAGTCAGTGACTCAGTCAGTGACTCAGTCATTCATTGACTTCAAATGACTCGATCAGTCAGTGACTCGGTCAGTGATACAGTGTCTCAGTCAGTGATGAAGTTACTCAGTCAGTGGTTCAGTCAGTGAAACAGTCAATGACACAGTGACTCAGTCAGTGACACACTGGATCAATGACTCAGTCAGTGATATAGTGACTGAATCAGTCAGAAGGCAACTATAGCGGACCCATTAGGTCCAGTTGATGTAATAATAAGAAATCCTCAAAGTTTTCTTAAAATTTGTCTTTCTTTCCAATGCAACCACAGTGCAGCCATGCCGCTGTATCCTGTTATAAACAGGCGGCGAAACGCAAGCCAGACATGCTGAAGGAATGGGAACACTATGGACAGCCCAAAGTAGTGCTCAAGGCACCAGACGAAGAAGCATTGTGAGTACTATAAACCCTCCCCCCCCCCCCCCCCCAGATCACGCCCAAAAGTCACGAAGCTAGCAACGTTAGCAATGCTGCAAACCCAGGAAATAGCAAACAGGGATCACTCAGAGAGGATACGGCTTTTTATTACACATTTTTTTAAATAAACACAAAGGGAAACTGACTAGGTGCACAGGGATGGCAATCCGGAGGTCGCATGTTCAAACCCTGCTCCAATCAAATTTCTTTGTTCAATTTGAAAACAATGAACATTTTTAATGGAATTTGTGTTTATTTTTTAGGGTTGAACTTGCTTTAAAGGCTCGCAGTTTAGGTTTAACAACGGCAATTATACAGGACGCTGGCAGGACGCAAATTGCCCCAGGATCACGGACAGTACTAGGAGTGGGCCCAGGTGAGATATCATGGAAAGTGCTCCAACTGTCTTTCTCTCGTTGTATCTCCTAACCGTCCATTTTGGCGCACTACATGCTTCTTCATCCATCCCAGTTTAAGTGTTACGTCAATACTTGTTTTTCTACTTAAAGTAGTTTTTTCTTTTTGTCAGATTTTCTTTCTTTCAGATTTTGTTTTCTATCCCTTCTTTGTGTAGCCCTTATCTGTGTAGCCCTTATCTTGAGTGGGCCTTACGGGCCCTGTGATTAGCGACTCTCATCAAAAAAATAAAAGAATAAAATATGTAAGCATCCGACATCAAAAACTTAGGGAGAAAAGAGAAATGATTCCCTCTCAAAAGATTTTTTAAAAATGCATGAATTGTCTAAAATACTTTGAACTATAATAAAACAACCCTGCTTTTGGACAAATTGTGGTTTAACAGAAAAGTTGGGGTGGATTTGTAAGCTTTCATCAATTTCATCAATTGTCTATTTTTCCCGTTTCTTTTCTAGGACCAGCGTCATTAGTGGATGAAGTAACTGGAGAACTGAAGCTGTATTGACGTTGGTTGTATAATTGTGTAATATCTATGAAAATACAAAAACGTCCCACTCGAGTGATTTTTTTCCCAACTTTCACTCGAGAGGTACGTAACACACTGAGTATAGTGTTTATACGTCCGTGAAGGGCAAAACCTGATATTGATTCACATCACCCCAACGCAAATTCCATCTTATGAATAAAAAAAGTCTTCCTGCTAAAATTGTTAGTGAGGATCACTGCTGCAATGAAAAGTGCAGCAGAACTTTGGAACTTCAGCGGTTCAGCCTGCCAACTTCAAGAACAGTGTAGCAGTGGACTTTCTACGGTGAAATTCGGTCACATGACTTAAACTTCAGACATGTCACATGACTTTAAAAGTCACATGATTTAAACCTTAATTTAAAATTGAATTATGTTAAAAAAACATTCTGTTTAAAGATAATGTACACCATTTGCAAAAAAATGTGTTTTTAGGGCTGATTCATTGTAATTTGATTTAAATGTAATTTTTTACATTACATTTCTGTTTCTCCTTGTGCCTTCAAAATTCAAAAACGAATTTGTGAAAATCAAATTTTCTAAACAAAAATGGCCAAATAAAAGAAAAATACAAAACATTTATTTCAGTTTGTCACGGTTGTTTTATTTCATAACCTCTGGTAGAAAAGTATCGAATTGTTCTTTGAAAAGCTAGCCAACATTTTCACTCAAAATTTTCCACTTAGAAATAAGTGAACGATAGTAGTGGCATACATGAGTGTTTTTTCCAGTACATTCACTGCTAAGAACTCTTGTGCACATTATAACGCTTACCACTTTTCCCAGAAAGTAAAAACAATGAATTTTAACAATAGAATAATTTTTTTCTGCCGGCTATGTTGAGCACTGTTTCCACATGTCACGTTTACTCTCACCAAAAATGGCGAATTGCTCATTTTTGAAAAATAAATACAAAATACCATTAAATAAGATCTCTTATTGGAAACGTAGAAATCTTTCTGCCTGCCACGTTACCCTGAAAAATTCCCCACTGTGTATCAAGTCATTCAGTCAGGGTACCATACTGCTAAGGTGTCCTATACACAACATCTGAAAAATGATTCATTTGTTGGCTTTGTCATTCGTTAGCCAAATACAAAAAGATTCTTCAACAGTAGCAATTTAAAGTGACTTTCTTCCAAAAAGGTGCACTGAAATAACTATTAAGCCAATTATTCACCATTATCTGTATGATTGATTTCATGATCAATATACGGCACAAAACAAAAGCTCAACTTTCAAAGGGAAAGTTTTTTTTAATATTTTGTTGTCCTGTATGCAACACCATACAGGTGTTTCCCAGAAAATAGCAATGGCTGCTCAATAAATACACAAGTTGGCAATTTAGATATAAATTTAGACAAAGAACAGCTATGGTGACTTTAAATTAGGTTTACTGAAATATAAGCCTTGTATCCACCATGAAATAATTTTTTTTTTATTCCATATCAGACGTGTTTGACTTGTTTTGGAACAAGCGAAAAAATATTTAGCTATTGTAATGACTGGTTCAGTGCCTATATTGTGAAGGAAAAGCATTCACCTCGCTCTCATGGCCAGTTCAAATAGCGCCCTCTATGATGCATGAACAGACCCAATAGGAGCAAACCATTCATTGAGTAATTCTTAGCTTTGTGCTTGAGTATCTTAGACATCCGCGTACAAAAGTGGAGGTTATGGGTTCGAACCCAATTGCGCAATTTGCTAGGTTTTCTCACATATATTCTCAGAAAAACAAGTTTGTGAAATAAAACTGTTTAAACTCTTTGGGTACGAAGAATTAATTGCTTTTATTAGATTGAATTAAAACAATACGTTTTGAGCCAACACATCAGCTCACCTTTAAGGATTTCAACATATGATCATTCTATAAATTTGGGGCCCACTTTTTTCCTGCCCCTGATGGTTTTATAATTGCCGCCATTCTCAAAGAGTGGTTATGAATAGCAAATTAGTACCCAACAAAAAATTGTTTGAAGTCATTCTTATTATACTTGAAAAGCAAATTACCAAGTATCAAGGTAACAGGGACAGGAAAAAAACAGACTTTGGACCTTAAATTTACAGAATGATCATCTATAAGAATCAGGTACGTATATTTGCAGCCTTTACGGGTAAAGGAATAAACTAAAAGGATTTATTGATAGATCCCTTCACATACAAACCATCGTTCTATTTGATAGAAACTTTGCACACAATTACATTAAAGGCATATAGGATCATTTGTTTTGCATTTTGTTTTTTCCCAATAACACCACTCAAAATCCAAAGAACAAAGTTCAAAACCTAACCTGTTGAAGTTTCAGTTAAGTGGATAATTACGCTTTTCAAGAAAAACAGTGAAAAACCATGCACAATCTTTTGATTACAACACAAGATTTTGTCAATAGCATTTTACTCCAAAGATCAGTCAACTGGCATATCGTTGGAAATCACCTACATTTCTTGATTTCTTCGAAATTTCATGGGTGTTAAGTACCAGAACTATCTTTAATCCAAGTAAGCTTTTGGATACTAATTCGGTAGGCTACTTTTGGGATAAATGCAGATGATCCTATATGCCTCTAAACACACATGATCTGATAGCCAAGATGGGACCACTGTCAAAGCTTAAGAGTGGCTAGGAAATCTTTCTTGTTCTTGAGGACGTCTAGGAGTTCCTTGGAGGTCTCGTGGTAGCTCTTCTCCATTCTCTTCCAGACGGTGTTCTCTGCTCTTGCTAGGGATGCCTCCTCATCCTGCGAATAAAAAATAACCCCGAAAATTCACATCAATTTTCCATATGAATATCTTGATGGAAATACTACTATTTATTCATTCTTTCATCGGGAAATGCCAAAATGAGACAGCAAAATGTGTGATGGACTTGTGATGGACTTGTGATGGACATGTGATGGACTTGTGATGGACTTGTGATGGGCATGTCATGATATGTGATGGACTTGTGATGGACTTGTGATGGACATGTGCTGAACATGTGAAGGACATGTGCTGAACATGTGATGGACATGTGCTGAACATGTGATGGACATGTGATGGACTTGTGATGGACATGTAATGGACATGTGATGGACATGTGATGGACTTGTGATGGACATGTGCTGAACATGTGATGGACATGTGATGGACATGTGGTGGACTTGTGATGGACTTGTGATGGACATGTGATGACATGTGATGGACATGTGATGGACATGGGATGGACATGTGATGACATGTGATGGACATGTGATGGACATGTGGTTGACATGTGATGGACATGTGATGGACATGTGATGGACTTGTGATGGACTTGTGATGGACATGTGATGACATGTGATGGACATGTGGTGGACATGTGATGGACATGTGATGGACTTGTGATGGACATGTGATGGACATGTGATGGACTTGTGGATATCATTCTTACATTGGCTTCTACACTGTTTTCTGACAGGTTGAGTTTGCCGAGGTCCAGTGACAGCATGGTTGGGTCTATGTCCTGCACTGCCATACTCAGTCCATCAGAGAGTTGTTGCACATTGTCGATATAATCCTTGAAGTGCTGGAAAATCGGCAGCTAAAATTTAAAAAAAAAAACCAGAAGCAATTGACTGTTTAGAATACTGTTTTCTTATTGGTTGAATGTATTCTTTACCTTGGGTGTAGCCCCACCCTTCTTTTTTTCTGCTCTTCCTAATGGCTGCAATCTTCATGGATTAAGTTTGAAATCATTTCATTGGCTGAAAGTTTGCTCATTACTATTCATTGCTGGTTGTGTAATTAGGATACTGTTCTCTAAATGGTTGAAAGTGTTCTTTACCTTTGGAGTGGCCCCTCCCTTCTTTTTCCTGCTCTTCCTAATGGCTGCTAGCTTCATGGGCTTGAGGAGACGGTGCTTGACTCCAGCCAGTAAGATGATGAAACCGAGTGTCTTCAAGAAAGCAAAATAAGATGCAAGGACACAAAACATATATGAGACCTGCGCCCACAAAAACAGGACAAAGTTGCAGAAGGTTTTTTGCTCAAAGGGCATGTGGAGTTATTTTGGGGTGGAACTAATCATTTTGAGGTTTTAAGATTGTCGGAATCATCAGTAACTATAACTCTACAACCTCCCAAAACATGAATATAATCCATCAAGCTGAAGTGTGATTTTTGGTCAATTAATAGTGATTTTTTTTAATGTAGATATTTAAACAAAGAGCATTTTAATAAGCATGTTTATCTCATAATTGGGTTGTCAGGATTTTGTCACGGTTTGCGGGTATTAGGAAAGAGAATAAAATTTTCCTTTCAATACTAATTGTTGCAATTAAATCAGACATTCCGTTGACAAGTTATTGCTGTTTAAAGTTCGCATTTATTGACATGTCAAAAAGGTAAAATACTATGGAGGCCTTTAAAGTTTTCAGATTTGTAGTCGTGAAAATGAAAGAGATTAACTGATACCTCTACAAGTAAGACCAGCTCTGGAAGGGTGTGTCTATCAAAGAGCCTTGCCCCACCCTCTTCTTTGATTAGGCACCGCCTACTCCTCCTGATTGATTCAGTACATTTGTCTGTGATGTTGGTGAAGGTTTGCTCTATTGTACTCTGCAGATCGGCACTCTCTGAGGACATATGAATAATTCATAAGGGGAGGGAATAAAAATATGAATTCTGACTTGAAAAAAATGCCAAATTTATTTTAAAAAGTGGATAACATTTTACTTGGGCAATTCAGATATAAACAATGTACGGCAAATTTTTGAGCTGTTTCTGTACTTACGATCCTGCTGCGTTGAGAGTTCATGTACACTAAGCATTGCCTTCAACGCAAGCAGAAACACCTTCCCACAATTCCCCTTGAGGTAGTTGACCAATCGTGTGCAGGGCGGCCCTTGTAGTGGCAACTTGACATTAAGAAAAAAAATTTCAGTTAATCAGTTGTTTTGGATCACACTATACACCTACCAAGTTTCACATTACTCAAAATTGTGCCCCTACCCTTTGTGATTCTCACCTTTTTATGCAAAGTGGGATCTTCCGCCACCTCAGTCAGGTGCCTGTCCAACTGCTCTGTTAACATTGCCAGCACCTTCTCATGGGATGGGCCGTCACCATTATTGGTAGGGGTGTTGGTGGTGGTTGAGGGGGAGTTTTGGGTGAGGTAGGTCGCCGCTGCCAGGGATCGCAACATGAGCTGTCTCACTTTCAGCCACGATTTCTCCAGTTGTAGGGAAACCTTTCGATCCTCCGCAGAAAATAGTCTTCCAAAAAAACCAAAACAAAAGGCAAACCAGTAAAGCTGGTCACAGAGAGCACACAAAATTCTATTCAATTGATTCAGAATGGCTATTCACTGGAAGTCTTGTCATGTCTCTGGTCTACTCAATTGGCCGAATTTAGCCCATTCACTGGCTTTACAGGGTAATCCTATACAATAGCACTGCCCGGCTCTCTTCACCAGTATACAACCAGTCCAAGTCACAAGTAACAGTCATATCAGTCAGTCAGATACATGTAGGTATGAATAGGACTTGAAAGGGGGTTTGAACCTATTCCCTCTGAACTGCCGTTCCGGTGCTCTACCAACTGAGCTATCCAACCTGTGATGAAAGTGTCTTAATCTTACCAATGTCTTTTGTCAATTTTTAATCTGTAAATGTCAATGTTTGTGGAGCTAGTTAGAGCAAAAGTAGGCGGTTCCGGACAGGTGGCAGGTTCGAATCCAACTCCAGTCTACTTTATTTGGCTCATTTAGGGACATACAAGTTATACTTGAAGATTTACCTGTGTTCCGGCGCCCATGATACCATGACATCAAGGTCCCTATTGTCGCAAATTTCATCCCATTTTGTGTTATCTGTAACAAACACAAAGGAAAAATCCCTCGAAATATGGCACAAAGCAACAACTGAAATATCATCCAATAAAACACAAGGGAAACCCTATGAATTAAACAAGTTTACAATTGAACAAAGACAAGTGAAAATTGCAGGATTCTAACCTGAGACCTCCGGATTACAATACCAGTGTTGTACCAACTCATATGAAGGATCAAGAACCATTTGATCCATGTGTGATATTTGATGCACCCTGATCTGCATATTTTATTATTCATTTAATCCTCATGAATATGGAGTAACTCAGTTGTTTTTTATTCAGCTCACCTTTCTCTGGATGGATATCCATATCCAGAATGAAATCTTGCAGAGTGTTACCCGCTCTAAATAAAATCACAAAAGCACGTCATTAAAATTATCAAAATAGCACTGAACAAAAACATGGAAAAGACCTTCGCTCGTTTGGTTTCAGCAATCTTGGGTGCCTTTTTTTTTTTATAAAGATTGTATTTAAGTGTCAGTTTCTGTAACTTCAACCAAGTTAAGTTTCAAGGTTTGTACTATTAGACAAAGACAAAACCATGTACCGTAGTTTTTGTTTTTCTTACAGTATTTTGGGCAAATTAAAGATTAGTTCTTATAACTGTACAGTTTTTTATTCAGCTGAATTGATTTTACACATAGTTAATAAACTTATAAATGCCTATTAAGAATTATCCACTTACATTTCTGCTTCCGTGAGTAGTTCTAAGAGAAGTTTCTCCACGGTAACCTGTATGCAATGGATGGAGTTTCGGATTCGGCGCTGGAACGTCAAGAATTCAGGAATCTTGTGGAACGTCCCAAACTTGTACGCTGTGATCATATACTCCGTGGTCTACAAAATATTGAGTACGTGACAAAAAATCCTGTGAATTTCAGTATTATAGTCAATCACAAGTCAGTCACAAATCAGTCACAAGTCAGTCATTGATTGCCTTGTGATTGCCTTGTGATTGCCTTGTGACTGACTTGTGATTGACTTGTGATTGACTTGTGATTGCCTTGTGATTGCCTTGTGATTGACTTGTGATTGACTTGTGACTGACTTGTGATTGACTAATGATTGACTAATGATTGACTTGTGACTGACTTGTGACTGACTTGTGATTGCCTGTGATTGCCTGTAATTGACTTGTGATTGACTTGTGGCTGACTTGTGATTGACTTGTGACTGACTTGTGATTGACTAATGATTGACTAATGATTGACTTGTGACTGACTTGTGACTGACTAGTGATTGACTTGTGATTGCCTGTAATTGACTTGTGATTGACTTGTGATTGACTTGTGATTGACTTGTGATTGACTTGTGATTGACTAATGATTGACTAATGATTGACTTGTGTCTGACTCGACTCGTGCTCCATCACAAGCACCTTGATTACACTACGGGTTATTTCTGTAATAAAATATCAAATGAAAACCCAAGGGTAAATTTCTTGGACTGACTACACACTGATACTTACATCTTTGTTGTTTGAAGTGAAGAACTTGAGAGTTGTGTTGAACAAGGCATTCGCTGAGGTAAAATGACCCAAACTCGTCACATAACCTGAGACCGTGTACCTATAGAAAATAAGAAAGATAAAAAAAAAAGTTAACAAAAATGTCATCAAGTTGCAATTAATGAAGTCTGAGGGGTTATATTTTGAAAGTGACAATTTCAACTACAGCACAGCGTTTCATATTTATCACGATTTTTAAACCATAAAGATCCTTACTATAATTATCATGCTTCCAATGTCCCTAAGCAAGGCAGTTTATCACGATCATTTGTCAAAAACTTGATCAATGTGTGTTCGCAAACTTTATATGACATAGTAGTTTTCTGTCTTTCCATGATCATGTTTCACAGAAAACGGATGGTCACTTTAGGCTTCCGTAGATAAAACTGAATGAAATTTCTACAAATAATTTTCAACTTACCCTAATGTGTCTTGTTGAACGTGTTTGATGTCCAGTCCGTCATAAAGGTCTGGTATCGGACCAAAGGCACCTAAAGGAAACAGTAAATCACATCCATCAGCAGGAGCTCTAGAATCCATCTGTTAGCAGTATGTATCAGTGATCAAACAATTTTCAGGTTGCCAAACTTTGTACTTAAAAGTTAATATTTCAGTTAAAGAGAGGCAAGTGAGGGTAAAGTGGCTTGCCCAAGGACACAACATTTGGCAAGCAGCTGGATTTGAACCCCTGATCCTCCGATTATGAGTCATGAAACCTAACCATGGGCCACATTCTCCCTCAACGAAATATTGTGCTTACCCCTTTGAGCACAGAATCCTTAAACAGGGACAGATCCACTTTGGCTTGGGGGGGGGGGGGTAAATTATTAGTTTTTGTTGATTATTTTGCTGTTTTGGTGGCTTAAACCTTCCCTTATAGATCCATTACTATTAGTTACTGATTATGAAACATGCTAACTATTTCTACTACACTTGGTGTGAATTTGTCACTTGTCATGAAACTGAGCCTGGTGCTCTACACAACCTTACCAGCAAGACAGTAGAGTCTTATAAGCAGCAGTTTCATGTGATGACACGAGGCACTAGACGTTAGTCCGTTCTCTAAAAGCCCAAGCATTCTCCACAGATACTTGTCTTCCCCTAGAAAAATAGACAAACCGAAATTCCTCTCAATTAAATAATTATTCCTGTCAACAAATTCACACTGGATTACATCCAGATTTTATATTATATCAGTCGTACAAGTTTTGGGCCATTTGCGAAATTTTGATTTCAGTTTTAAGGTCTGCCTTCATGACCTGAAGCCACAGAAGCCACAGACAATAGAAAAGCAAAGAAAGAAAGAAACACAACAGAAAACAAAAATTTTCCTCAACTAAGTAATCTGCCAAGAAATGAAACTTGAATTACATAGAAATTCTACATGAAAGTCAAATAAGTCTTGAGCCATTTGCGAAACCTCGGCTTCAGTTTCTGAATCTGCCTTCATGATTTACAGCCACAGATGCTAAGAAGTTCTGGCTTAATTCAGTTCCTGCCATCGACTTACAAGTCTAACCTATGATATAATAGCCTTAGCCACTGTTCAAATGTTGTTCAGCCACAGCTGTTCAAGTTTTGACTAACTTTTTTTGCTTCTTTGAGAGCATGGAGTGAACACTATAACCACCTTTCAAAAAAAAATTAACACACACACAAAAACTGTAACAAGTTGAAACATTATATTACCAAATTACCACATGAAACGTGACACAAATGAACTGTTGACACTTCCACGATTGATAACCCTGCCAACTCCGGGTGGAAAACTGACAAGCGTTGCGACAGAATATCTGTTTTCATGGAAGCAACCGCTCGGAACCCACTAATGATGAACATTTTGCATCCGAAGTATCAGTTACTTGAGCTGCTGTAATCGATTCACGGTAACAAAAAACCGATATAAATTTTGCCAGTTTACTCCAAATTGTCAACGAGCAAAAAAACAAACATAAATATTATGATATGGGACCAAATAGAATATCCCCATAAATTTTTCTCGAGTGGTTTTAACAGGATTTTCGCCCATCCGGTTATCAGCAATTCATGGCTAAAAGTATGTTTCAAACGCACTAGTGCTAGCTTTATTTTATGTAAATATTTTCTAAGTATTAATGTTCCTAGTTTGTTTCACCAATGAAATTTTTCCTCATGAAGTTTACTAGATTTAGTTTTATTAATAATTTGTAATGAATGCAGGCCTAAAAAACAAGTTGTTGACCCTGGGCAAAGAAATGTAAAGCATTACTAAACTAGAAAGCACTCAGAGAGCGCAAACCTCTGCCAAGGCTGAACAATTCCCCGCCATATTGTCAGTACACCCAAAAGAAATACTCGCATAAATGGTGAAGAATCCTTAAAAAAAAATCCTGGATCAAATCTGGATCACTTCCAAAATCTAATCGATTTGTACTTGTACCAAGGACCATCCCTACAAAACATTTCATGAAAATCTGTCCATATTAACTTTTTGAGTTATCGTGTTAACAGACAAACCAATCAACCAACAAACTAACCAAATCCGATGATATCAGATTTTATAAATTCAGGACACATTCTTCTATTGCCTTCTATATCCAAGAGTGATTATGTAAAGCAAAGTACCAGTCAAACAAAGAAGAACTTTCAAGTCAGTTGTAATGATACTGGCATGGTAAATTACACAGGTCGGGTATAACAGGCACATAAGAGATGTCGCACTTTTGGACCTAAATTTATGAAATTACCAAAAATTAAATAAGTAAATAAATACACAAATTGTACCTGTTGCTTCCCAAACGTCGGTCAGTAAATGCACTGCCATCAGTAGGTACTCATCACCATACTGCAAATCAGTGAAGAGTAACTCTTTGCCGTAACTCAGTGCCGCTTCGCTGTGCTTGATGAGTTCGTCGGCTAGAGCTAGTTTCTCGTCTTGAGAGAGTTTGTCCTGAAGACCAAACCGCCGACTGATCTTTAGGATGCATAGATGCCTGTAGATTTGCTTTATCTGTGACCGAAAAATAAAACCAAGACGCTCAAGAATTGTTCCGGATAACTTCACTCTATGATTTTCAAAGGAATAAGTTTTGCTGGAAAAATTCTTTAACTAAAGATAATACTTTATAATCACAACACAGCACGGATTTGAATTTTGAATATGACAGAATATTTCTTTCAAAAAAATGCTTGAGAGATGCTTTACAAACATATTATTTTGTCGGACCTGCTTGGTATAAAACCATACTTACTGATTTTGCATATTTAATCCCGTCTTCTCCTAACTCCATGTCCAAGCCGTCCAGGAGACTTTGTACAAAACACTGGTGGTCCTCTGGCGCGATAAGCGGCAAGAACTGACACAGATCGTCATAGCAACACGGCCGGTCGCCAAACAACTCAAAATAGCTTCGAAACAGTTCTAGCACCGGTCCTAGCAGAACATTATTTTGACAGGAAAAAAAAGAAAATATAACAGATAAAGAAAAACAAAATCAGTTCCAAGCAAAGTCCTGTTTGGCTCAACTTTCCCAAATGTGTGAAGGTACAACTTCATACGTGATCCTAATGAGCATGTTTGCGATTATTCTACATCAATGTCTATGAGATGCCGCTTGTTCAATGGTAATCACACAAATTTTCAGCTTTGTGACCAGAGCATGAATTTTCGACTTGATGCCTACGGTTTTGTCGCAGCGCAACCACATCTTCGCAAGCTAAATCACAAGTCGACCTTGGGCCGTCTTAACAGCAACGCAAAGAATAACAATTGCTGTGTAGTTGTACAAGAAGACGTTGACATATTTCCAATCCTCACCGATCTTGCCGATATCTGGGGACTCTTTCTCCTTCAGGATCCTGAGCAATTCAAACCGAGACAGCAGGATCCCTCTTGGGTGGGCGTGGCTTGCTGCTGCCGCCTTCTTTTCCTCCACCTCGGCCGTTTCTTGGATGAAATCCAAGACCATGTCCATGGTGTAATCTGGTTGACACGTCTTCTCATTCTCGCTAAGAACAGACGTAAATTTAGAGAATTGGAAATTTGTTAACGGTTGAAAGTTTATGTCAAAACTTCCGTCATTCCATAAATTTAGGGTCCAAAGTGTGATATTCTTCCTGTCCCTGTTACCTTGGTCCTTTGTGATTCCCCATACAAGTTTCATTAAAAATGACTTCAAATTATTATATATTTGTTCGACTGCATTAAGGAGTGCATCAAAATTATAATATAATAGATGTCAGATGTAACAGGGACAGGAAAAAAAACGGACCCAACATTTACAGAATGACCCATATAACACAAGAGGTCCTAAGTTTTCAGCTAGCTTGGCATGATTCTCCCAACGGAGGGCGCTGTGCATTTCCACCACTAGGAAATCGTGCCACATCCTAATTATTTTGCTACGGCTAATGGCTACGGCTAGCAATAATGCATACTCCTATGAAAGCTTCTGAAGCCACTTCCCCATTGACAAGTGTGTTACTGCCATAGCCATAGCCATACCCTTGTCATTTGGACACAGCCACGGCTTACCCATCATTCTCATCTGCAGCTGGAGGGGACCAGTTATTTTCAATGAGCCCCAGCGCTGATTTCAGGTATTGCTGACAGTACAACCAGTTGTCTGGCCTAAACAAAAAAGAAAGAAAAAAATGGGGGAAAAATAATTTAATTTGGGTATTTTAATAACAGGTATTTAGATACCAGATTAGATGAAATATTGAAAGCTTTAAACATTGGCTTCAAAGTTTTATCAATGTCAACTGAGCTATTTTCTTAAAGTTATGTATAAACTTAAATCAATAATATAAGCAAAAGCCATGATGTTATCTTTAATTAAAGCAAAAGAATTCTATAGAGAAAAACAAAACAAGGTTTTAATAAAATAATAACAGTAGTGCATGTAGCATGTACAGAACAGAAACAATTTATACTTCTCCAAAAAAATTGAAATAGCTTTTTAAAAATTCGTGCAATCAAGCTTATGACCTCTTTGTGAGTAGTGCCTTGTATGCACTGTTTGCCTCGGCCCACCGCCCCATTTTACACAGAAGCTCCGCCTTCCGGATGGGACAGGCATCCACCTCCACCTTCAAAAATTCTGATGGGGGAAAAAAAAGAGAAAAATCAAAAATAACACCAACAAAAAATTTACTGTCTTCATCCTCACACAAAATTTCTCAAGAGAGGTCAAGGCAAATGTTCTATTTTGCAAAATCACAATTGGAAGGTCAGCATCTACATTACAATTTCGACCATCAAAGGATTTTTTTTTTATTTTCTTGACTGCAAAATCTAAAGAACCTTTATTCCTGATTACAAACTAGAGATCTTTATTAAAAAAAACCTTGCTTTCTTAAACAGATAAACTTAAAAGGCCATTTCTTAAAAGAAATATTTTCCAAAGTACGTGCAGTTCCTATAAATTGTGTAGTGTGAAAATGTAATAAAATCGTCAAAAGTTATGCTCCAAAACACATGTAATGTCTATTGAACAAAATATTCCTCGACTGAATATTTCCAACTGAATCAAGCACTAGATTTTTTTAAATTTATGTCTGAAGTATTAAATCAGTTAAAATAAAAGAGACATGATATTGTAAAAAAATTCTACTAAAAACATAAAAACAAAACCACAAAACCAAGTCGCCAAACTGCAAATTTCTCTTGAATACAAATCTGAATAATTGACAGAAAACCATGATTAAGATAAAACAATTTTTTTTACCAATTCTCATTAGAACAGGTTCCCTTCCTACTGAATCAATTACTCGACATAAAAAAATGAATTTGATGAGTCAGATATTCAATTAGAATATTAACAAGGTGCTTGAGAATTTTTTTCATGGTCGTTATTTAATTAAGTGGTGTATGGTCATTAGCGCTCAAGGTAAAATTTGAGTGGTCGTTTGTTACAATTAACAATTTATAAAGAACACAATGTAGTGGGGACATTTTTGTTGCATACGATGAAATAATTATCTCACACAGAAATAGAATACATGTATTCAGTTGAATTTGTGATGTTTCAATGTTACAACATGGACATGTTCATCCCTTGGCACTGAAATTTCACCTTCAGATTAAAATTTTGGCAATTTACAAAGATTTAACAATGCATTCCCTATTATTTTGAGTTTCACGCCAAAAAATAGATAGTTTTTTCTTTCAATAGTTTCCGGTATTTTAAAAGCAATATATAAGTTACTCACGCACGAACCAAACTCACCAATATTTTGTTACTTAACTATTTCTGCACAAAATTTGAATTTTTGCGGCCGGACAATAAATTGGTTCTCGCAGGACAGGTTCATTTGTGCGCAAAATGAACTCATTTTCAGAAAAGTGCAGGCGCCCAAAATTTGGGGGGAACAAGTTATATCAATAGAACAAAAATCTACAAATTATTTTCAGCATAATGTTCAATGACAGATTTTATGACGACATTTGTGTTTTTACGAAACCCACACTGAGAATGTTTTCTGAACATTTTTCAAACAGCACACCCACAGGGAATCGTACTTAAATTGCATGACATAATGCTGCACAAAACTTAAGGCAAAAATTTGGAAAAATATGCTGTGTCGGTATTTTAACAAAACAGATTTCACCCAATTTCATCAAGCAAAAAAAGGCCATATTAGGGTAAAGATGCTTTTATGTCATTGACCCCAATTAACCTTCTGGCGCTACTTGGATGGCATTTGATTGAGCCGTTCTGGTAACGAGTTTGGCCTTAATTTATATCACTTAGGTTCAAGTCACTAATGAAGGTAACGTACTGTGAGTCATCGACGACTTGTGACAAACAACGAAAACACTGTGATTTAGTCATTCGCGGGCCAGACAAATGCTAAAAGCATAAAAAAATTGTTGAAAGGAATGTGATAGAGTGTGCATAAAATGTCAAATGTGCCATGCAAACACTTATATTTGAAATGTAACCTTTTGCTGTTTTAAAAGCAACAGTGTACATTTCAACAAACATGATTCACTGCACAAAAAAAGACTAGGCAAAATAATTCATTTGATTCAGAATGACTTTTCACTGGAAGTCTTTTCATGCATCTGGTCTGCACAATGGGCCAATTTTTGCCCATTCATTGGCATTACTGGGTAATCCTATACAATAGCACTGCCCGGACCACAAGTCAGTCCAGCACTGATTCCAAAATGAAGAAAAAGACGCATAATCATAAAACTGTCATGGAAACCTAAGGAATTCCTTGATTATTTATTACCAAGAAATGCCTTTTTTTTTTACACAAATGAAAAATTGAATTTACTGAAGATTATAGATAACAAGCATTCTTTCACCACTTCACAGCAATCTCCAGCCAAAAGGTCCCTGCACCTTAAAGATAAATTGCAATTTTGCACTCTTGACTGTCAAAATTTACGAGTGGGCTGCAAGTGATGACTTTTTCACACCACTTCATAACGCGCACACAACCAAGTGATTGCTTATACCGTACTCTTCCCCCCAAAAAATAAAAAATCCCTGACGAAGATGAGAAAAAAAAAGAAAAAAAACACAGACTCAGAAATAAAAATGTCAACTGGCGAGCTTGGACATCATCTTTTCTAATTTGCAAGTCATTAAATGTGACTAACAGCAGACAACTACGTGTGGCATTTAATCCATGCTGGGTGACTTTAGACCTCGCGATGGTAGCGTGACTTTAGACTCTGCGATGACTCACAACAAGACAAACGTAATCTCATCAAATAATAACTAATAATTTGCAGAACGGTGAAAAACAAAACACAGACAGAATTAAATTTCATCTGCATGCTGGGTACTGGTAGACAAGACTGTACAGATGACTAATTATCTGTACGTGTTGTTGTTGTTGATGTGATTCTAATGGCACATTCGGCAACCTAGTGCCCTTTGTGCCATAAGCAATACTGCTGCGTTACAGATCAGAAGGTTATTCTATGTCGGGTAAAAGTTCAGCAAACATATGGCAGAACGTAACGTATGAAAGGATAATCATAGACAATTTTTATGTGTGAGATATGACTACGATAAGTGTACCTTGTTATGCTGATATGCTTGATTTTTTGCTCCCAAAAATTGCAAATTAAGTTGCAAAATCAATTTCTGCCATTTATGTTTCATTTTGATTGAGAAACCAGGAAAGCACATTTTGAAAGTAATCTCTCACTTTCTAGCTGGCCAGATATCATAAATAACCTTTCAAAACGTACAAGTAGAAGGAGTTAGGGAAGATCAACAAAGATTTTGCAATAAGGGTCTGGCCTTTAACAATGTAGCAAAACTTCGTTACTTCATTACTTCGTTACTTCAACGAACAGATTTGAATTTTGTGACTTACTTCCCAACTCTCCATCTAAGACTTCAATTGCCTTCTCGTGTTTGTTGAGATACCCGAGGATCATGAGGTAGATGTTGACCTCTGCTTCTGCTTCGATTCTTTTCTCTTTGACCATTCTTTCCACCATCTTCTCAGCGAGAGGCAGGTACATCATCTGCGCTAACTTCTCATCGGTGGACGTGAGTGCCTACAGTTGGTTTGTCAGACATAGGCCTTATTCATGAGCTAAAATTTTGGGCATTCAACAACTCTATTTGAGGGGTACAAAACAGGGATGTATATGTAGTCCAGTCCATCATAAGTTCATCACAAGTTCATCCCAAGTCCAGTCACAATTCTGGTCACAAGTCTAGTCACAAGTCCAGTCACAAGTAAATTGAAAATCCAATCACAAGTAACAGTGGATGAACAATAACAAAGGAATGCCTTTGTCAAATGCCTTTGCTCATTTGAATAGCTTGTGAGTTGAATTGGGACTGGAGGACTTGTGATGGACTTGTGATGGACTTGTGATGGATTAGTGATGGACTCGACTACATCCATGGTTCAAATCAGACATGAACTCAAGGTTAGCATACATGTAAGTAACTTTACACATTACGACAGCTCAAAATTTGCAATATTCTTAAACTTCTAGAAATAAGTAAAGTTACTACCTAAACTTTACAAGGTTGTTTTTGATGTAAAATCAATGCACGAATTCAAACAAAAGATAAAGGACAATTATTTGAAGATATTTTGGGTGATCTGGGCTTACTTGTAGGATGGTGCTCATGACTCCCCAAAAGTAGTACGGATTCTTGGGGAAAACTTTGTACATCTCCTTGGCAACCTGTGACAAAGAGGTAAAGATGATGTCATCGATGATGTCATAGGTTTGCAATGAGGCAATTGGTAGAAAGATATTTTTTCGAATGCTGTTATTCGAGTATGAGTACTTTGATGATCAAATACAATTCGACATGTCGAGTACGAGTACTTTGCTGCCCAAGTACGAGTACCATCATTTCGAGTACGAGTACTTTAACATTTGAGTATGATTACGAGTACTGCAACACTGCCCAGTGGTCATTGAATCCTGCAAACTATACCCAGTCATTGGGCGGGTGTTTCATGCGACACCTCACTCCTCACTGCTTGTTGGCATGATAGTGAGCTGTAAAGGAACTTCCGGTGAATCGGATAACCATTAATTGGTTTGAAAAAGGCTAAGATAACCGGATTTTGAAATCTCTGATTTCTCCCACCACTTCAGATGCTAGATACACACAGCATTTTACACTGAGAAAAATGCGGTTACTTGAAGGTTAACTTTATCTTTCAAAAGACATTAATGTTATTGCTCCAACATTTTCCCCCTAGTTTGATTAATTTATGGGTCTGGCAGCAATTCAGAAAGTGAGCCAGTCCTGTGCTACACTTTCCCCAAGCCGCTAAATAATTCACACATGACGGTTGATCTGAAAAACAATATCAAGCTTTTAAGCCTTTCATGCAAACCAACGTTGAAACACTAATGGTCTTTAGTGTTTTAAAATGATAAGCAACTGACAGGGCGCAACAAATGACTTAATTATGTGTTTTTATGGAAGTTGTCTTTCGCACAATGCTTTTTAACCGCGACAGTTCATATTTTATTAATGCCATGCTATTATGTGGGTGCCACAGAGGATTCGCTTGACTGCAAACACATCCACTCAGTCTGCAGCCCTTTGAATTACGACGATATCATTTTCATCCCTTAAACGGAACATAAGCCCCAGAAGCTGACTAGAAATGCTATCCATTCTGTTTCTGTAATAGATTTTTAATCCTGCATTTTGTGAAAGTGACTCAAGCGTGTTCGCATTAGATTATTTTGGTAAACCTAACAGGGACTGCGGTCAACTTCACCAAATCAAGTCCAGTGCGGACAGCCGGTAAACCTCCTAAATTATCAAGTGTTGACTATCGATTGTACGTTTTAGGGTCCGCAGTGGTAAGTTTTTCAGGGCCAACTGAGCTGCGGAAGAATTACATTGTTAGTTTTAATGATTGACTTTCCATGCGCCAAAACTGATCAAAGGGCTTACACAATGTAGAATAACCACAAACTGAATGTTAAAAGGGTTCCTGCACCTTTAGAACAATAAAATTCCACGACTTTTCCACGCTTTTTCCACTACTTTTTTACGACTTAATTATCAAAATCCATGACTCATTTCATCGAAATGCAGATCAATACTGTCAAACTTGTTCCGTGAAAAGTGCAAAACAGAGACAACAAAACAATGCAATAATGTCTTTCGAAATGAAAATGCTCGAATCAGCGAAACTTGTCGCATTTTTACGGGTAAAAAAAATCAGATTTATTTCTGATGCTCAATTATGAATATACAAAGGTTAAAATTTCAAATAAATTGGTCCTCACAACATGTGACTTTTCCCATGACTTGTCATTTTTCAATTGTCCATACCTTTTCCAGGCCTGGAAATTGAAAATAAAATTCCAAGACTTTTTTCAGTTTTTTTCCAGGCATCGGGAACCCTGGTTATCAATCACAGACCGTAATTTTTTACAAAATTAGGTCCAGTGCGAATGCGGCTTTAGTGTTTTGAAGGGAACAAAAAGTCTTCAGTCTACTGTTCACCGCAAAACCGCAAGTCATTTGGCCTGGAAAATAATTCAATTCAAGAGGATGAGTCTCCTCGCCCAAAAGGACAAGTCAATGACATAAATGCCTATCAGGTTTAAGATACTTGCACTATACTACGTAATGGCTGGTCAAATCTGACAGAAATATGATTGAAAAGCAATCTTAATGCATGATATATCAATTACAGTGAGAAATATATGGGTCACTCTATAAATTTAGGACTCGAAATGCGACATTTTTTCTGTCCCTGTTACCTTGGTACTTTGTAATTTTCAATTCAAGTATCATTAAGAATGACTTCAAATGATTTTGTATTTGTTGGGTAGATAGTTTGCTCTTCGTCATAACTCTTGGAGGACGACTGCATTAAGGAGTGCATCAGAATAATAAAATCACAGATGTCAGATGTAACAGGGACAGGAAAAAAAGCGGACCCCAAATTTATAGAATGACCCATATACTCATACAAAGAGAATAAATTCATAAGCCTAATTGAGATATGGCGGACACAATACGAGAGCGCTATTTGGTTTGGGTAAATACAAAAGACTCTCCCAAAAATCAAACAGCGCCCTCCTATTGTGTCGACCATACCTCAAATAGGTTAATGAATTTAATTCAATTTCAAGGATGCTAATCTTATAGCAAAGTATTTTTGACTCAAAAATCTCTAAAATTATGATTAATCCCATCTTTCATTAATCCTCAACAGCCTTATTTTATTTTTCAGATACAAAACTCACATGTTTTTGGTTGAAGAGTCAAATTATGATTTCCATGGATAATCTACAAAATGTAACAGGTATATTGTTTCTAAACTGTTATCCTTCAAATACGTTAGAATTGAACAGTTTTAAACGGAAAATGTTTAGTAATCTTTTATGATCAGAAGGAAGTCGATAACATACTGTAAAACTGTCAAAGCAATTTAGTGTTTGAACAAAAATTTGATTTATCATTTTGTTTAGGTAATATAAAAGTTTGCATTTAAAATCACCACTTTTCTTTATGCAAACTGAATTTAATTTTTACAGACAAGTTGTGAGAATAATTTTTTTCCGACATAGTAGGATGTGTGTGGGCTTTGAACAAACATTGTGCTCACACCCTGTGGCTGCACGGATGTTTACACTTCATCATTAGCGAAACAAAGAAGACTTTTATTTGCCGGAAAGACAAACATAGACATTGTTTATGGAGTGTCTAAAATCATATTTCACATGATCACGAACCGGCACACTTTAGCAAGGAAAACATCACAGGCAATCAACCACAAATTAGCATGATTGGTGAAACCAAAAAAGCATGTATGATTAATTGCCAGAGTGTGTGCTGGGGGCATTTGGTCCAGCTTAGCTTCTCTGAAATTTGTGCCACAATGAACAGGTGGACACAATGAACAGGTGGATACAATTAACAGTTTGCAGTTTTGCAATAACAGGTTGCAGTTTTGCAATAAACTGGCTAATACAATAAACAGACGGATGCAATGAACAGGTGGATACAATGAACAGGTGGATACAATGAACAGGTGGATACAATAAACAGGTGGATACAATGAACAGGTGGACACAATGAACAGGTGGACACAATGAACAGGTGGACACAATGAACAGGTGGACACAATGAACAGGTGGACACAATGAACAGGTGGACACAATGAACAGGTGGACACAATGAACAGGTGGACACAATGAACAGGAGGACACAATGAACAGGTGGATACAATGAACAGGTGGACACAATGAACAGGTGGACACAATGAACAGGTGAACACAATGAACAGGTGGATACAATGAACAGGTGGACACAATGAACAGGTGGACACAATGAACAGGTGGACACAATGAACAGGTGGACACAATGAACAGGTGGACACAATGAACAGGTGGACACAATGAACAGGTGGACACAATGAACAGGTGGACACAATGAACAGGTGGACACAATGAACAGGAGGACACAATGAACAGGTGGATACAATGAACAGGTGGACACAATGAACAGGTGAACACAATGAACAGGTGGACACAATGAACAGGTGGACACAATGAACAGGTGGACACAATGAACAGGTGGACACAATGAACAGGTGGACACAATGAACAGGTGGACACAATGAACAGGTGGACACAATGAACAGGTGGACACAATAAACAAGTGGACACAATGAACAAGTGGACATAATGAACAAGTGGACACAATGAACAGGTGGACACAATGAACAGGTGGACACAATGAACAGGTGGACACAATGAACAGGTGGACACAATGAACAGGTGGACACAATAATCAGGTGGACACACTGAACAGGTGGACACAATGAACAGGTGGACACAATGAACAGGTGGACACAATAAACAGGTGGACACAATAAACAGGTGGACACAATAAACAGGTGGACACAATAAACAGGTGCTCACAATGAACAGGTGGACACAATGAACAGGTGGACACAATGAACAGGTGGACACAATAAATAGGCAGACACAATGAACAGGTGAACACAATGAACAGGTGTCACAATGAACAAGTTTATACAATGAACTGGCGGACACACTAAACGGGTGGCCACAATAAACAGGTGGACACAATAAACAGGTGGACACAATGAACAAATGAATACAATAAACAGGTGGACGCAATACATAACAATTGAAAAAGAATGAATGCACCTGTTGTTGCCTCTTGTAGTCGCCAACTCTTACCAGAGCCATGAACAGGTGAGTGTGGAATTCCTCATTTTTAGGGTTGCTCTTCAGGGCTGTGGTGTATAACTCAATGATCTGTTCCGCTTTTAGAAATATACAAAACACAAAGTAAAAAACGTAATCAAAATTTTGTTTCATCTGCAAGATTTAAGTTTTTGAGTATACTGATGCATCACACACATTATATGGCTACTAGTTGCGCTGATTCATTTTTATAAGAATGTGATGTTTACACGTTTAAATGTTTAAGCAAAAACCCATTTAGCTTACAAAACCTTAGAAGCGCTGTAGTACTTGTTTACATTCAGTGTATAAGTAATAAAACTTTTACGTTATCAATGACTGCCCGCTATTTATCACGTCAATCATTGCTGATTTTTCACTTCAACCACGCCAATCTGCAGACATAAAGGGCTTGAAAGGCTCAGCCTTTGTGAAATGGATTTACCGTTTAAACGGTTTTCAAAATAGTTGCTAAACGTTTACAAATTTAAACGCAAAGTCACATCCTTAATTTTAAGGGCATATGTAGCTTGTGTGAATACTTTCATTTGCTGTCGGTTCAGAATGTTATTTTTGCACTTTCCCCAAATGAAACCGAAACCGGGAGATTTGATGTTTAAATAACAAACAAATGCTAAACCTGTGATTTCATTGGAATAAAGAGTACAAATCCTGTGACTTCCTTGAAATAAAAGAGCACAGTGATTGCTTCTGGGTTTTTTTTGTGTAAAATAGATATTCATTCATAAGATGAAACTACATGTAGATAAATTTCTATCAAACTATCCGAGAAGAACGTGATATTCTTTATAAAATAACATGATGAGTGACGTGGCAGCATCAAGCTGTATACTCCCCAGGGAGCTGAGATTGTCTTTGGAATGTTTCACTGGCCCAATGATCAGAGGTAATAATAATGTAAAGCCATTTGAAATTAGTTTAAAGTGCTATATAAGTATCCATTATTAGTAAAGCTTGTCAGCTCACGTTTTTGCATTTCTCGGAAGCAGATTGTCAGCGCTTGCAGCGTCGGCTCATCCACGGGTTTAGTGACCATTACATCTTGGGTTAAACTGAAACTTTCCCTTCGTTTGCCGATCCTCAGCAATGCAAGGGCTTTCAATACCTGTGGTAGAAGATGTACAAGTTTATTTTAAATTTCAATGAATTACCACAGTGTACAACTTGAATCCCACAAAAATACTGGAAATTTGTTTGAAAATATTATAGCATTGAGATAAACAAGTGAAACCGACAAGGAAATATTTTGAGCAACATGTCAAATTTGCAACATGCCAACCACTGTACTAGTGCCCTACTTTTGAGCAATCAATCCCTATCAAGCCAAAATGGGTTATATTACAATGGAACAACATGGATTGTTATACCTCTGTCTTGAATACTGTATTTTCATTGGCCTAGAACGATCACGTGTTAAAAGTCATGGCACGACCCTTGGGTGCTATGTGCCCCTTGGGTGTTCAAAACGTCATATCCCACATTACAGTGAGTCCAAATCAAAGAAGGCTTCAGTTCATTAGTGAATGGAGTGAAATTGTGACAAAAGTAGGTTTGGGAGCTGATACAGAAGTTAGTACTAGTAGTTTAATGCAAGACCTACATGTACCCACCTTGGCGCATTGCAGTTCTTTGTGCTTTTTCAAGACTTTATCGGCCATCTGTACAGCTGTCTTATAGTTGCCATTGTCCAGATTATCTGCCAAGGACAAAGTCACAAAGCGACAGATAAAGACATCAAATCTAAGGATTTTAGATAAGGCTCATTTTCCTGACTATTAAAATCTGGATTTTCTTGACAAAGACATAGTGAAGTGCATCGAAGGGACAAACAAATGAGGGCACAGTTGGGTTTTAAGAACTTACAAGTACAAAGTGGAAAGATTCCAATATCTGGCAATCACTTGTCACCCTGTGCACAAACCAGTTGTAATTGTATGATATGAGACCGGTTTGAAAATTTCTAAAAAGAATTTTCTCAGTAAATCTTTCAATATTTTTCCTGCTATTTTGTGCTAACTTTGACTTTTTAGGACACATTATCACTTTCTGATGGCTGATAGGTCACTGAAGGGAAAAAGTAATGATGGCCACAAATGGGAATCTCTCCCTTGAATAATTTTTGTTTTAATATGATTATCAAATTTACTTATCATGCTTGTAATTTATTTACAACATGTACAACAAAGAAAATAGCAATAGTCAAGTAAGGTTTTTATAAACAAAACAAGAATTAATGTAGGCATAAAAGGGAAAATAGCTCCCTCTTTTGCCCCTCCCTGACTCAATTCCATTCCGTATCCCCAGCTTTAGCCACTCTGGCTTGGGCATGTTGGGAGACCTACTTTTGGAACATTGATTTAGACTTTTTTCTTGCTCTTTCGACTGTTAAGGCTTAAGCCACTAAATTTTAGCCTTATTTAGGGAGTGATCTTCGAGTGGCGAGGTATTTTTGCAATTACTCTGTGACACACTCAACCATAACTGATCAACATGATCAATGCAATGTAAATTATGTCAACTCGTCATGTGCATTAGCTGGGATGATCCTTAGCGTTATGTTTATGCATATACACATAACACACGTGCATGTATAGTCGGACTCCCTATTATCGCGGCATCCCTATTATCGCGGCATGGGAAATTTCTCTTTTTACAGTGTCAAAACTCCTTCAAGTGGCGATTTTTATCCAGTTCACCAGTCATCAAGGATTTTCTACCGAGTTGTATAAAAAGGACGATTAAAAAATGTTGTGTCTTTCGGGACTTTTAACGATTTTAATAAATATTAACGTTTTCCAAAACTTGCAAAATTTTCCCTCACCGTGTCTGCTAAAACGTACCGTTTATATTTAACAAAAATCTTTAATTGCGCTCTGTCCATGAAAGTTCCATTGTCTGGTTCCCATTCTTCAGCTGCAAATGTAAAATGAAGTCGAACGACGATATTTGCAGCGCGAAATCGTAACAACTTTTAGTTTTACGGGATCAAAATAAGCACCGCGCGTTAGCGAAAATAAAACGGCACACCGTGTAAAGTGAATGGCGCCCTCAATCGCCGATCAGTAGACTTGCCTCAGGGATTTGTGATCTCCTTTCGGGGGAAGGGCAGGGTCTTAAGAAATCATCCTGCAGACATTTTGTCTTTAATCAACTTGAACGTTACAGGGAAAATATCAGACTCTATTCAGGGGGTGTTTTGGTCAAAGATAAACTATGAACAAAAAAGTTGGGATCATTATAAAAACCACTTCCCGCATACCGCGATAATAGGGAGTCCACCTCCGTTCGCACACGCCGCGCATGTCTATTTTCACAGGCATCGTACACGGAATAAACCACACCACCCGTCAGATTGTTTTATATTAATTTAAAAAGGAAGAGTTATACTACACATAAGACAGGACAATTCTGGAAGGTTAGTGGGCAATCTCTATTCCGAACGAGAAACGTGATAGGTACCGCGATAATACGGCGTTCCATACTACTGTCTGTAGGCTAGTTCACTTTGCGCACACTTAAGGGACGTCTGCGTGGCTGTACTGAGTGACCGAGTCTGTCAGCTCAGTTTTGTTGAGCAAATTTGCCATGATACCACATGATAAAGACAAATCGAAAAATACTACAAAGCACATGACCTCACGAATTTCCATGGAGACGTGATGGTACGGTGATAATCAACAGAAACTAATTCTACGTACCATATATTGGCTTTAATCTTCGTTCCGTTACCGCATCCACATGGTGCCCTCCGCGATTCGCCATCTTGGATTGCTAGTCTCGCCAAAACCGAACAATTCTCGCGAGAATGAGATGCTACGCATTGACTGGTATCCGCAAAGTCGCTAAACAGTTTCGATGCTTATTTAGTCACAAAAGTTGGAAAACCAGCGAAATTAAATTGGGGGAAATTGGAATGCACTTCCTTTTTTCTTGTGTTTTTGCGGGTAAGAAAGTCCTTCCAAGAAGCTGTTTTAAACTACTTTTTTGACAAAATATTGTTGATGTTTGATGCAAGAACGCTTTACTTGACAAGCTTTTGAAATTTGTCTTCTATTCTGAATCAATCGTTTTCCGATGGCATCGATTTTTTTGAAACTTTTTTTTAATGAAACCTCGTTCATGTTCAACTTCAAGTTCAGTTTCACCTAATTTATTTTGCGGTTTGAGTGAAACGAAATTATTGGCCATTATTTGGAGCAAAATGCAGTTTTCTGACGTGACCTTGTTTCACTTGGATGGTTCTGGCGATTGTCGTGGCAAATTTGTTGGGGAAGAAAACGAAAATTTGCGATTTGTGAATGACAAACGTGACGTCAGGCTACAACATTCTTTTCGCATTTTGCTGCATAAACTCACATTGTAGAAATTTATGTAACTTTTACTTTGATTCCTTTTATCAGGTGAAGACAAAACTTTATCAGGAGCAGAGCGATGGCTGCGAAAAAAGCAGTGTCATTTTCTTTGAAGACGGAATCCTACAAGATGCAAGTTGAGCGTCACTGGCCAACTAAAGGTCGTCACATTTTGGCCCAGTATGATGAAGAGGAGATAATCGTGTACCAAGCATTTTGCCCGGAAATTGCAGATTACGCAGTTTCAAATCAGAGGTTAATGTCAAAATAATGTTGACAAATAGGAATACATGAAGGCCAAGTAAAACAAATAACTTCTCGTTTAGGCTTTTTGAAAAAAAATGAATGATGCGGGCATTTTTTGTTTTTTCTTTTTTTCTGTCAAAATGGAGGAGTTTCCAAGATGGCGGATGGATTCCTCCATTTTCTCAACTCTTTTGCTGATACGAAATTGTTTTTAAAGGAGTTGTAACCCATTTCACATATTTTTTACTTGTTGCTTCAATTTTGTTGGAAAATAAATAAGAAGACACTCTATTGACATTATATGTGCTGTTAAATTTTATATGTATGAATTAATAACAGAAATGGAGGCAGATGGGAAAAAGGAAGCAGACTGGTACGAGAAACTAGTTTATTTTTTTACTTGGCCTAACTGTAGCCCTATGCCATGTAATTTCTTAAGTAGAATTTCAAAATAGGACAGGGCAAACAATAACAAACCTGTTACACTGCAAAATATTCTTAGCCAAAAAAACAATGGGTTTTAAGCAAGTGTCCACTGAGAAGTGGGCCCAATTCCTATGGACATGCTAAGTGGAATTTATTGCTTAGTCGAAAAATTGATGTGGTAAGCAAAAATGGGGAGAGCACCAGTCAGCAGAACAAGTAACAATTTGGTGGGTAGTTGGCAAATATTTCTGTGCCTTGTGTATTTTACTGCAACACGTCTTGTAGAGCTATGACGTTTGCCTCTGCTTTGAAGCACTAAAACATCTTTTTTGGAAAGAAAACTAGAGATATCACAGAATCAAGAAAAAGGGGAGGGGCAGACAAGGGGGGGGGATAAAACTCTAAATTTGTCAAATTGAAACTTTTTTCCCCGTCACACCGTACAGATTTGGAGGACCCAAGTACAGTTTCACTCGTATGTCGTGGATTAAGACCAACTTTCTCTGGATGATGTATCGCTGCGGTTGGGCCAGCAAACCTGGCCAGGAGAAGGTCTTGGCAATTCACATTCCAAGAACGGCCTTCGACACCATCTTATCTCAGGCGTACACTGCTCATGCTCAGAAGGAAGCTGGAAAGACGGATGTCGCCGTCCGCCTCCAGTGGGACCCAGACCACGCCCCTGATGGGGGCAAGGCGGAGCGAAAGGCCATTCAACTTGGTCTTCGAGGGGAGGTAAGAAACCCTATTATTTTTTTTTGACTTTATGCCCTGTCTTTTGTAAAATGCACATCTTTGAATCAGTGAAAGGATTCTAGTCACACTGAAATGTTACCCTTGGAAATTTCCCCCAAATTTTCGAAATTGGTTAAAAAATATTTAAAACAAATAAAAATTGGCATCTCGAAATGGTTTTCCAGGATGGCCGCCAAGTATTTAAATTCAAAATGGCTGCCAAGTTCGATTCAAAGTGACTGCTGGCTTTTAATGAACTATCCTAATAGCAAGTAGCGTCAAAATATTCATGTTAAACATGTTCTATGTATTTTATTTAAGCGAAATATAAGAAAAAGTAAGCTTTTTATGGTGATAAAATTAAACATTTTTAAAAACAGGATGCGGCTTCAAAATAAGATGCAGGCGGGGACGATCAACTGTTTGTTTTTCTTAGTTGGCCTAATTAAAGGACTTCTGCATCCTTCAAATTACTTATTATTATTATTCTTTTTTTGTTGTTTTTGTTTTGTTTGGAAATCAGATCTTAAAGTCATTTGCGACAGACTGGATCTTAAGGATAGAGGATATCACAGCTTTTGTGAGGGAGCAGGCCGCACTCTTGGGAGAAGGGGCAACCTCATTTGATAAACTTCTAGTTGCTCGGGAGAGGGTTTATGAAGTCCCTGTCAAATCTACAGCTGAACTTATTGGAGTTGATCTCGTGGGCTGAAAAAGTAATTAGGAGCCATAATTTGGATAATTAACATCTTCTAAATCAGTGGGCCCCGAAACAAAATTAAGATTGGTCTGAGGCTCTGATCCAGCCGCAGACTTTAAGGGTATCCTTGTAACCTTGTTCATCCAAAAGATTTAGAAAAAGCCTGGTTCCCCCGCCTCAATCAGGCATGAGAGTTTTCAGACTTTGGTCTACAAATCAGACTTTTTCAATCTGAGAGAAAGACCATTATCAGTACACACAGATATGCATCTTTCAGACATTTCATCAATTTTCAGACTTTTTAAAATTGACAGTCTCATCCCTTTTAACCAGCTGTTCATTTTTTATAAAGCTTATTTTCATTGTTTTAATTTTCTTTTCTTTTTTATAATTTTGTTTCAAATTATTTGTGACTGTCATTTACACGCATTAGATTTTCAGTGCTTATTTTTTATTGTCTTAATTTTTCCTTTCATTTAAATAACAGTTATTTATATTTTTGTTTATTATTTGAATATTTATGGTTTTCTTTGTTGAACGTTTGATATACATTGTATTTATGTTGTTTTTTTGAAATTTACTATTTTAATTAATTGTGTTGGTTTTATTTTATTTATTTCATTGTTAAACCCAGTGCAATTTAGCCTTCGGCTGCTAAATGATGAAAATACAACAGAATAATAATTATTATTATTTGGTTGAATTGGGGGTTGAAAATTGACCGGATAAGATTGAATGGCAAAAACTCATTAATTTAATATCTGTCCACATGAGAAGCAATGCTGGGGGGGGGGGGGGGCAGGAACATTGTCGGAAAAATTCCACCAAATGCCCTTAAATTACTCTGGAATTCCCAAAATGTGATAACCCCCCCCCCCCCAAATAGGTCTGTCATGCAAAGGTTTGGTTAGCAAGCAGAAAAGAAAGCTGAGTATGATTAGCAGTGGCCAAATGTGAGGATGAACTGGCCACCCTCATGCAAGACCGAATTACTTGGAAAAGCCATACTCGAGCCCCCTGTGGGCGACCGAGTGAGTGAGGACAATATTAATGCCACTGCTCACTCGGTCATATGAGATATGGGGTTACTTGCAATTGCAAATGAGGCTTGCCCATCCACCATCCAATTTCCACCACCCCCCCCCCTTCCCCTATTCTCAGCTATCCCTGGCCATATCTCCCAGCCCCCCCCCCCATCCTCCAGCCCATCATGTTGTAACATGTCCCACCTTCCCTACCCCCCCCCCCCCCACCCGTTCCCACCAATGGAATCATTGATAGTGTAGCAGTGTCCCTTTCTTCAATGTTCCATATCCTTCCTGGAAATTTCTTCTTTTCAATCATAACAACTCATCAGTTCTTTATTTTATTTTCATGTTAATATTTTTTTTATATTAGACATTGAAATAATGTTTTGCAAAATTTGTTTGAGATATTTTTCCACATATTAGGTCAATTTTATGTTTTAAAATGGTTATTTTTATACTTGTTAAAAAGCAACCAGTTTCACACACAACCATATGAACAAAAAGGGACAATTATTGAAATAAAAGTAGATTCAATTTAATAGAGAATTTCATATGTAATATATACTGTAGTACATAAAATATATAGTACAGAGCACAGTGAAATACACATAAGAAGTAAAATTTGTCAATCAATAAATTAAGTTAACCTTTCCCGTATTCAAATGAATTTGTTCACTTTCCTCCAATTAATATACAAGGGTATTATTGCACCACCCTGGCAATGAAACACACAGACATTGCACATTATTTGAAAAATAAATGCCATTCACAACACGTACTAAGTGAACAAGGTTTGCCATTCCCATGCAATTTGCATGATTTACCTACAAAGACAAAATACACAATAACGCCTTTTTTATTATATTTTTCGGTTCACGATAAAATGAAGTAACTTCCGGTCTTTTCGTAAAAACCAACTCAATTCAGTGATTTACCTTTTCAAAGTATTTTTTTTTGGCAAGTGTACGGGGGTTTCCATGGAAACAAACAACCTTATCATTATCTCATTCTACACCAATATCTTGATTTAAAATTACTTTTACCAACTTGAAAAAGGATTGCTAGGTTCTAAATATCTTGCTAGCATTTGTTCTTGGGCGGTGGGCGACATTAACAAAAAAGGTTTCCGAATTCCCTCCAAATTCCAAAATTTTTGAAACTCGGGTTCTAACAAATCTGTCTACGCCTCCCAAAAGGACGCCAATTTGTTGTTCATTTCAAAGCGAGAAAGCTATAGGCCTATACGTAGAATTATATAAGGGGACAAATTCCCAGGGCTACTTTTTACAAAGTGAGTTAACCAACTAGTCAATCAATCAATTATTCAATCAATCAAAATCGATTTAAGATCATCTCACATGAATGTGCTGTATAGTTTATGGAAATTCATGACGTCAGTAATCACAGTTTATGACGTCATGGCAAACTTGCACTATGCGTGAAAAAAAATTAGCGAACCGTATAAAATTAATGAATATTATTCCATGACATTTACTAGTATAATTCCCACATGAGAAGGGCAGCAAAATATTAGTCCCATCCCCCATTTCTCCAGATTATCACTTGGGGTTGCACCTCTTAAGGATTTCTAATCCTTCATTTGGGCATTTTGTTTGATCCCAGAGAGCCAGCATATCCCTTTCGTACCTATATCTACGCCGGGACAAGCTTTACTATAAGCCTGTCTCGTCTTGTTGTAAATGTTTGGACTGCTGACGAGTATTGAACTTGTTCTTGGAATACTTCCCAAAGCTTAATTTCTGCTTTTACCACTGAAATGTATACATCTTATGCCAAATCATCGGGAATTTTAAGAGTAGAAACGATTAAAAAGTTATAACATTTAAAAGTTCGACACAATTTGAAAACGTTCTGCTTTTAACAAACTTCCACAATAAAAAAATACGAGAGCAAATTTACCTACAGAATTTGAAGAAGGCAAGAATACATCTATACTTGAAAAACAAATAAACACTCTATTAAAAACCTGTTATCTAGTTTTTGGTGGTATGCGTAATTTATGGTGCACGTCTTTGTGAAATGCATGTATTTAGGGCCTATATGACCTACACTATTAAACAACATTCGTTTATTAAAGCTGCTGATTTCGATTATGTAATAGACTGATCCATTAAGCACTGCACACGTGCACAACAACACGTGACCTCTCTCATCTCCGGTTCGCAAGTGTGACGTCATTTCCACCGGTTCAAGCCGGTTCATACTTCACGCGTAAGCGAAAGCGAAGCGAAAATTGTGACGTCAACAACACATTCGAAGCGGGTCCACCATTGTTGACGACATGAATTTCGCTTCGCCCATACTTTCGCGTGAAGTATGAACCGGGCTTGAGCCAAGCCCACTGCACACGGAGCAGCATTGAAACTGGAAGTAGTACAAAGTCAACCTCGTTCCCCATGGGTACGATCTTGCCACGCCATGTTGTTTCCCGTCATGCCTTGCGCGATCTTAGTGTAAGGAACGCGCACGCGCCCATGGAGTCGAGGCTGGTACAAAGTGGCATGGTTAGCCAATGGGCGCTAGTAATCAGTAGCGCGTGCGCGTGTATATATAAGACGCAGGCACTTACGAACCGGCCGGCTGTATTTCAACATGCGCGCGTCATACGCACGTGCACGCGCGTCAGAATTTGAGCACGCACGTCAGACATTAATCACCGTTATGATTGGTCAAAACATCCTGGGGGTGGGGCTTAATGGATGTCAGATTACTGTCGGAAATTTGACCAATCAGAACTAACACATTCTTGCATTTTACTCATAATATGCATATTTGTCTTGAATTTTAAGACACCATTTTTACACTGAATATTATGCACTTTGATGAGTGGGCTCCAGCACACAGCAAATTTGCTTAAGAAATTAGTTATTTAAGAGTATCTTAAAATTGGGCCAGTACTTCAGAAAAAAAGTCACTGTTTCATGAGTGATATTAACTTCTGTTCTTTAATTGTCTCTTTTCATTCCGAGTCCTTCATACACACATCATCGTATTTTCAAAATAGCAGGGACATTAACTCTCACAGTTTCGAACATATAACATTCTTCACACTCTCCACATTTCTCAGGATATCCCATGAACCTTCTCCTCAGAAAACTAAACGAATGCTTCCGAGATCATTTTGAAATTGCACGTTTGGATTTAGTTTTCATTTCTCTATCTTACGTTTTTGGCTTGTCAGTGTCACATTTCAAAAGCTTTGAAAGCTGAACACTGCACATAAAATCTTCCATTTTCTAACAATATTTCTACAGGAATAACAGACAAGGTGTTTTCCTCAGCATCATTTCTACACATTGAACTGACTTTCTATCTGCTGGTCAAGGTAAGCGTCGAACTTTGTTCTGGGCTCAAAGTGCCCTCTTTGTACCTATCTCACTGACTCACTGACTGTTACTTGTGTTTCGGGCAGTGCTGTCCTATAGGACTACCACGTAACGCCAACGAATGGGCTAAATTGTGTAGACAAAATGCAAGAAAACAAATTCCAGTAAATAGTCATTCTGAATCAATCGAATAGCTTTTTATGCGTCACAATTTTTACTAGACTTGCCTATTCTTTTTTCCTGTCATTCATCTTCTAGTTTTGCCATTTTTTTTATCTCTCTCTCCATCTGTCTTATTGTCTTCCATAACCTTTGTTCCAAACTCTCAATTCACTATATCCTTATCTTCATCCATTCATCAAACCATCGTCCCCCACCTATAACTGCCCATGTCATGTTTTTCAAAAACGGGAATGCATTTTCTAATAATTAATAACAATAATACCATGATGTAAAGAATGCCTTATTTCGCAATCCGCGTCTGTTTATACCCTATGCTTTAGAGATAAAGTCAACACGCACTGTATTTTTGATTAGGCTGAAACTTTTTATATCAATTTGATATTATTATTTTATTTACCTCCGGCGTGGCCTTTGCTATATTTTGCACCTCGGCGACCCCAAAACGTCCATTACATATTTTAAGATTCTATCCTGTGAAAATTGTGGCGAACGTTTGAGACGAACGGAATTTGGATGTCCTTTGGTCAATTTTAACCTATAACGCTATCATTCATGCTGTCGGTCGCAAAAGCACACTGTTACTCAAAACCTCCGCTGTCCTGCCCTTACTGTGTTATCCTAACACTTCAAGTGTTAAGATAACACCATTAGTGTTAATTTCAGTCACCCTTCAGTATCAATAGTTATAGTTACCACGTGGTAGTCATCCAACAAGCCCCGCCCATATTGTATCCACCAATCACTTTCGTGATTGGATTATGTCCAACCAAAATCCGTGTATGACGCGCGCGTCTAGCACTAGAGACGCACGTGTTATCTCGGAGTGGGCGGGGTTTTGTTCTATTCCCCAACAGCACATCGGGGCTTACATCTATCCACATTCAATCTGCCCTGACTTCTAAAACCAAAAAGTGCTATTTTTATCACATTTACGCTATCTCACGAACACTACATCCTGAAGTAAATGTTTGTGACAGTCACGTGACTAGAGTATCAAAAATATTCACAGTTGAGTTTGTACTGGTTATACAGCTTCGGAGCACCAGTTTACGTAGCCATAATTATAGTTTACAGTGACTTGTTTGATACAGGTTAAGAAGAAAATTACTTTTAAAATGTCACGGTGGATCCAGATTGTTCAAGGTATACTCAGTAAAAAAAAAAAAAAAGAGGGAAAACAAAATCGCAATTTAAGTACGAAGCCATTTCAAATTGTCATAGATTATAATTGTATTTACATTTTAGTACTTTGTTGTTTTCTTTGCAATGAATTCTAAATGCACAGAAAATTCACTCACCAGCGACAGGCGCGATTCTACACTTCTTGGGGAGGGGCTTAAAAGATCGCTTTCGCCAATCCAACCTTTGTGAACCCCCTTTCATTATTATATTCATATCATTTTGTAAGAAACCAATCGTATTATATTCATGTCATTTTGTAAGAAACCAATCGTGTAAGAAACCAACATACATGTACATCTTTTCCCTTAAAGTTTGTTTCTAGTTTAGATGCAAATATTTCTGGTATGTAAATTTCTCCTTAATTTCGTTGACCATTTCTAATGACCGGGTCGTGTTTTGTGCACTGATAGTTATCCCTTCTTAATCGTGTTTTTCATTTTTCTGGGTTTTTTTCTTGTTGAAAGCAACGTATGGATCGCGCCTGTCGTAGCACTTGCCAGTTCCACAATGGATCATATTCTTCAGAGTCAAATGCCTTGCATTTTCATTAATAATAAAATCATGCTCATGTCCGTTTGACCTTTTTGTCATGCATGTCAAAATCGGTGTTCCTGTAACTTTAACAAAACAGTCGTCGGTTATCGAGCGTATATAATTTGGAATGTTTCAGTTTATAAACGAGAAACACTAACGGAAACGTCTGATGAATTATTCATTATCGATGACACATCAGCCTCGGTGTTTGCGGGAAAAGAAAAAAAACAATTGCTGTGAAAGGAAAACACCGCCTACTTTCCATTCATGACGGCGGCAAGTTTTTATAGATTGGCCAACCACGATGATGCATGCGCAGATCGTTTCTTGGGTTCCTCCACCGGGCCGAAAAGAAGGTGCCATGCCATTTCGAGATCCTCTTGCGAATATCGCACCTCTTGTGGTGTGTCTTGTGGGGTAAGCGCTTGATCGAGCCGTTCCTGGTCCTGGTCAGCCACGTTATCCTCGAACCTATACGAAGTGGCCCAGTCTCGCTTGGTTTTTGGTAGGTACGCTTCTCCGCCTAACGCCAGGTCATCTTCCCAAGTGGGTGCCCAGTCTCGCTTGGTTTCTGGCAGGTACGCTTCGCCGCCTAACGCCAGGTCATCTTCCCAATTCGGTGCCCAGTCTCGTTTGGTTTCTGGCAGGTACGCTTCTCCGCCTAACACCAGGTCATCTTCCCAATTCGGTGCCCAGTCTCGTTTGGTTTCTGGCAGGTACGCTTCGCCGCCTAACGCCAGGTCATCTTCCCTATTTGGTGCCCACTCTCGCTTGGTTTCTGGCAGGTACGCTTCGCCGCCTAACGCCAGGTCATCTTCCCAATTCGGTGCCCAGTCTCGTTTGGTTTCTGGCAGGTACGCTTCGCCGCCTAACGCCAGGTCATCTTCCCAATTCGGTGCCCAGTCTCGCTTGGTTTCTGGCAGGTACGCTTCGCCGCCTAACGCCAGGTCATCTTCCCAATTTGGTGCCCAGTCTCGCTTGGTTTCTGGCAGGTACGCTTCGCCGCCTAACGCCAGGTCATCTTCCCAAGTGGGTGCCCAGCCTCGTTTGGACACCAACTCCACAGCATCCGGCTCCAATTGGCTCTGCAGGATTTCGCGGGCTCTCTTCTCGAGCTCTCTCTCGATCCAAGTCGCACGTTCCCGCTTGCTGCGATGCCCGTAGCAGCTCAACGCCGACTCGTGGGTCTTGCGCAGATACTTGTGTAATTCGTTCGCGAAATGCTTATTGCGAAAGTGCATTTCCTCCACGGTGTGGTAGGATGGTAGATCGAACTGGCTATCGATCATCCGATACGACGTGTATGCAGGCAGGTCCCACACAGACGTTCGATACAGCTGTTGAGAAAGAAATAATTGCTTTACGCAAGATAGACTGCACGAGCTTCTAAGCAGGAAACATTGCCTATAGGAAATTAAGGGGTCGTTTATTTTGCTGAGTAAAAATCGTCTGTGCTTAACAGAAGCAAAATGGCCACAGTATGCTGCCCCAAAACACTGCCGTTCAAAAAGTTATTTTCAACCACACCAGTAATTTTCTCGGCTTTTCTGTGTGACGTAATGGGTAATATTTTCGGAAACTATTAAGATATCAACCGGTGTACATTTTGCTGTAAGCAATATTTCGTATATATGCTAGTATGAACAAGGGGTATGAGTTACGGAATGTGCACTCGACCATTATTGTGCATGCCTAAGCACATCAACAACAGAAAAATAAAGTTCCGTAAAGGTAGAGTGCTACCGTTGTGGAACTCAATACAACACAATATCACTACGTTTCCGGCAAAACAGAATCCCTGGTATTCTTATATTTTAACTTACGTAACAGTGAATAGCGTCCCTCAGTTGGTTCGCTTCACTCTCAAAGTTGTAAAACTCTCTTTCGAGTTCAAGTTCCGTGTGCATGTCCACCTTCAGAGCTTTTAAGGCCTGTATGCTGTCCGCAAGCCGCGCTTGCACACTTTCCATCAGCTCCCCAAATTCCTGCACAATTTAAGGTAAACGAGACAAAGCAAGTCTAGTAAAGCTGGACCAAAAGCGCACAGGATACTTGATTCAGCATCTGGTCTATGCAATGGATTGGATTTAGCCCATTCAGTTAATATGATGTTATCATGTGCATTAAAAAGCATATTTTGTCGGTTTCGTTGAGAAAAAAGTCTTTAAATGTGTATTAAATTAGAACCACCTGTCAAATTTTGAACATAAATTAATTATCATTGTCAAGTTACACATGGATGTATGTACTTCGTAAAACAGCCCATAATTGTTTCTTCTTTCCTCAATAATTTATCCACCAGTAGAGCTATCTCATTTAGCCAAGCAAACTAATGGTTTTGCAAAGTGTCACTCAAAATTACTTCAACGGAGGACAGTAATATTCGGCTCGGGTAATTATCAGCATCCACACTCCAACCGGTCTTTAAAAGAGTGTTTAATATCGGTCATGCACACCTTTATTCCATGCATTACACCTTTTCGGTACAAAACAAATAGGCCTATCAAAACTTTTCGGTTCAAAAGTCGAAACAAGTCAAAAATTATAAATTACAACGATTTTTCAACAATTTTACTTCGTGTTTTTCGAAACGCCCCTGTCGCTATATTATGGCAGTGTCCATGTCGTAAACAACTCCTAAGCTTCTATGGAGATTGGCGCGCGCAGAACGCAGCTGTACCGGTGTAGTGTGAATTTAGGACTATGAAATATTAACTCAGTGAGTCAGTATTTCATAGTCCTAAATACTAAAGTATTGCGCATGCCTATACGTGTGCATTGTGAACGTTCAACCAATAAAATGGTAACTAAAAGACACCGGATTTCAAAGGAGTCAAAATTTCATGTGTCACTGGAGTGTTTAAGACCAACCAGTCGGTCTTTATCAACCGTTTAAAACCGGCCACGTGACGGGCTCTCGACCAATAGGAATTGGTAAACTGTCTTAGGTATTTATGAATTGGAGTTCAAAGTGGTAAACTATTATCCGGCTTACTTCCTGGCTATGGCATTCTGGCAGCTCTGTAGGATATGGGATATTCCTAAGCTGTGTTATTCTGCCAGTCTCCAGACCCTGAAACAAAATTGCACAAAGCTTCCATTATTATTAGGTCAGAAAAATATAGACTTCTCGGTGCCTTTAATATCAGAAGAAAATGTTGTTAACTTGGGAAGTCATGCTCACGAGTGCGCAAGAAGTACGCGCGCGCATGAAATGGCGTGTTTATGCTGCAGCTGTTCGTAAGTGACTGCGTCATTATACCACTAATCACAAGCGCCTATTGGCTAAACACGCAACTTTGCAGTATACCTCCGGTTACAATGGTTTTAATGCATTGATCTCCATTTTATACAGACTGTATAATGGAGATCAATGTTCAAATGCTACTTCGTGTGTAGTGGGCGTGCTTTAACTTTAAATGACGTCACACTTACGAAGATACACGCGCACCTAGCCTCTAAGCTTGTCAAAAAATCAATAGGTTTGGTACGTAGGTCTAGTAGTACATATACCATATAACACGAAACACATAATGAAAGATGAAAACACATTGCACGTTCAGCATGACATCGGCACATCATTTTCCATTTCCAGGTAAATTAGTGGCTCAGCCTGGTTGCGTGTTCTCAATCCATCTCATTACTAGTACTGTAGCGTTATATTAAACTACATGCCTCCGGTTTCAAATTCTGTGCTTCAAAAAAGGAGCGAGTTAGATAACGGCAAGGTTTTAGCCTGTTTTTGTCACATTCGTTTGTATTTTCACCACAGTGTGTATAAAAGTAAGACTTAACGTTGAGGAAAGGGGAGGGGGAGGGTATCAGTCATGATATTCGCTCATATAACCACTGCCCTATCATTGGACCCTGCTGAATTTACATTTCTTTGAGCTCTGAAAGGGGTCAACACTTCCGGGTGAACACTTCCGTGTGCGCTTGACACGTGTGCAAAGACATTTACATTCATTGTTAATGGCAAGTGACCTACCAAAAATGCTTTGCGAATCTGCGTTTCCTCAAAAAGATTATGGGAGTCGGAAACATCCCCAGGGCTTTACTTTATTGTCAACTTCCTCTCCAAGTGTGAACCCATAGGTGGGAAACTTGCTGTATCCTGATTCGATACTGCATATGGCAAGTGATATATTTATGTTGTGTAATTGGTAATTCTCATTCCAAGAATAAAAATTGAAGATGTATTCGTAATTTAATGTTCATTGTGAATTGTAACGTCCACTACACCTCAAAAACACCCCACCTTCTGTTTTGACTCAAAATAATGTGTACTGTAATAATGGATATTGGACGAGTAGCGATCGAAATATTAACACTTTGAAAACAAAAATCAAATCGTGTTTTCGGATCTCACGCCGCGACGAATCCCGTCTGTAGGCCTACCCCTGACACCGCATGCCAAAAACGAACTGCTTTGAAGCATTTTCAGGCACCAGACTATTCCGTACCTAATTTGCATATTACATGCAAGATTTTGAACATAAATCTGGTGGTGTCGGGACCGAGGTTGGTGAGACGGAATAGTGATCTCTAGCGTCCTTGTGGAACCTGTGTCCCAGTTGGAAAAAAGAACTCACCTCATGGTCAATAATCTGTAGTTCATCCGCAAGTTGGCTGATGTTTTGACGCAGCTTTATCGTCTCATCGTATATCATCCTGAAAAGACGATCGTTGTCCGAATTATAGTGGGCACAGGGATTTGGGTCTTGAGCACGTACAGAACTACGAGCGACCACAACGAGAACCACTGGGGGAAAAAAACAAAACGAAACGGAGAATCGTATAACTATAAGGTTGAACAATCCAAATTATGGCATGTACTGAGTAGGGACATCAGTGCAAGATCTGTGGTTTGAATTAACGCTGTTTGGTATCTACACTGCAAAAAGTATTAAAACACAACGTGGTGTTTAACTAACATCGTACTTTTACGTTTGATTTGTGTATGTGCTTAGTGTTTTGTTGTTGGTGGTGGTGTTTTGGACTGCAATTTGAGAGCTGCTAGCTAAAAATATTTAGGCCCTGTTCAGGGCTACGGCTTCGTCTAAGCATGTTTCCACGTAATTGTAATTATTGTCAAAGACCAGCTGTAGGACCTTGCCCTACGGATAAAGCGTAATTATAAGAAAAGCTTTAACACGGCGACAATTAAGTCTCACTAAGAAACGCGAGTCATCACTTTTGTATGGTTTTTGGCTAAGTAAGTTTAAGTATTCCGAACACATGCGCCCTCGGTGTCATCAGTTGAACGTATCTTCCCAACATATCTTTCTTTCGCCCGTGTGAGATCCGACCGATCATTAAGCCCCGCCCTTTACGCTTTGACCAATCACAGCCACGATTAAAATGTCCGACATGCGTGCACGCGCGCGTATGATGCTCGCGGCTGGAGCATGCAGTGTGGCATCATTGAAGATGCGCACGTGTTTTTTCCCTGCACGTGCGCGGTGGGCGGGGCTTAATGAGTTGGTCTATTGCAGGCCAAAGACCATTAATTTGGAGCAGTTTCCAGCGGTGTTCTGTGAGCTGCTACGCGGGGAGGCACCGGGCACGCTCTGCTTCTCCCCAGGTGCGAACAAAAAATACCGTCAACTTGCCCCTGCCACGATTAGCCTATCTCGTGATAAAGGTGTTTGCATGTGTAGGCAGCAAGAACGGAAGGAAAAACTAATTAGCAAGCTACGGTCGGTGTTATGCATATCTAATATGTGTGTCTTCCTCCGTTGACACGTATGAGTAGGTTTTGTTGAGAGTCATGAAGTAAGAGAACAAGGCAAGCATATTAAAGCTGGTCCCAGAGCACACCAAATTGAATTCACATGCTTCCTAATCGGTTTCCATTGGAAGTCTTGTCATGCATCGATCTGGTATAAACAATGGGTAGGGTTTATATCCCATCCAATGGTTTAACGGGGCAATCCTATACGATAGCACTGCCCAGCTTACAAGTGACAGTCAGTTAGTCAGTCAGTCGGTTAGTCTGTGATAGAGGACACTCCCTCGGGAATAAAATACGCATTGTGTGCTTTGAATAACATAATTCTGAGGTGTCATAATAAATTGGAGACATGCTGTATAAAAATTCATTTGTTTATCCTTACTCTGTGTTGACTAGGGCTGTCCCGAATATACCGAATATTCGGATATTCGATCATCAACCAAATATTCGAATAGCTTTTTGCTGCTTTGAATATTCGAAACAACAAATTTATTATGCACACAGATGATGGTGATGTCACTTTATAATGTTGCCGCTTCATTGTCAGGTGCCACCTTTTTGTTGACGGTAACTTTTTTTCTGTCGACGGCGGTTCATTGTTTCTATCTTTTTAGCAGTTTAAAGCCCTTGACAGTTATAAAATACTTACTGCCACACTCCATATCGATCGCGGCACGCAAAGTGTAAATGGCGCGCTCTGCATGCAACATTTGACCGTCGCATGCAGCACGCAGTTGCACTGACAGTTTCGAATATCCGAATATTTAGTCAAACACGAGTAATGGAATACTTAATTATTCGAAAATGCACAGCCTAGTTTGTTCGTACGCTGTGTTTTGTTTGCTGGCTTGTGCGCACTGGTTTCAAAGAGTCCAGTTTTTACGAGAGTCCAAATCTCACGGTACAAATCCAAAACTTGACTTTCCAAACTCTTGGTGGCAGCAGAGAGGCATGACTTGACACACAGCGCGTCAGTAGTATTAAAACCAAAGCCGTTGCCATACAACCATCTTTATTAAACAAAGTTTGTTTTTCAAGAACATAGTACTGATGAACACGAGTCTCTTGCTGTCGATTATTAATGTTTGAAGTGAATTTTTCTTATTTCTTCTCGAACTGCCGATTAAAATGACTGTAATTATGGTAGTGTCCAATCATATTGATTTATTCGGTTGAGTACCGGGACGAATTAGAATAAATCTGCTTTATCATTGATATGTAAATGAGACACGGTAGAGTGGTTAAGGGCGGGTAATTTGAATAGGGAGTGGCACAGGAATGTGTGCGTGGTTGGATTGAAGATAGATCACTTCACGCTTGCGAGCAGCAACGACAACACACAATTTTTAACACAGTTGTTAAGTCTGGTTGTAATTTCATACCGGTTACTGCTGCAAGCACGAATACCAAAATCAGGATGATTTGATTGTTTATTGTGTAGAATGGTGTTGAAATGATAAATGTAATTTCATTGTAATTCTTCAAACCTACCAATCAGCCGTATGCATTGTGTCATCATGTCAGTACAAAAAAAAATCAACTGATGATAATCCAATTCGTATTTTAAAAACAACAGCAATGATTTTGTTTGGTGTTTTTCCTGCTTTTTGACCCCGACACGGGATATGATGCTGCTATTAAAGAAAAGTAAATTTTGCGTATTCGCTTGTTTTCCCTTTAACACGATTTACACTCCCATATTAAACTATTTCAGATTTTGCATAGTTGCATTTTCCCCGTATTATAAACAGTTTAAAATTCAGATAAAGAACCTCTCAAGACCCGACCCCTAGGTTCTTGACTCAAGGAAATAACCAGAAACAGGTTTTGGAAAATCGCCTTTGCTGCCCATTGATGGAATCCCTTTTCTTTTAACACCATTTGGGTAAAGTGGGGGGTAAATTGCTTGATGCACGGCGGTGCATTAAACCGGACATAGTCGTGGGCGGTTTCGCGGAATTGCGGCTCTGCAGAAAATCATTCCATCACCACTTTTTAGTCTTCGGGGACATGAAGATTTCCTTCCGCTTTCCTGTTTTAATTAAGGCCTTGTCTTTTTTGGTTTTAGGAAGCCCGTGAGGTTGATACCTCTTCAAGCGATAACGTTCTTGATAAAGCCAAAGGGTAAATACGGACAACCGGATAACATCCAGATAGCAATACAAGGTATGTACCAAGAAGGTGTAATCAAGCATACGTGTTATCCCCACACAATATTCAAGTATTTACAAACATAGGCCTCAAAGGTATACCGTCATACGTAGATCTCCCAAGTGCTTTATGTCTGGGTGACAAGATATCCATATGATGTTTGACACTTACGGAAAAACTGTTGAACGGCCCTATTAAATTACATTCGACGTGGAGACCATTTTTTGTTGGTCTTCCCGGCTATACGATTTCCAGCAGCGATTATAGCCGCATAATGATGCATATCAAGCAAGAGTGACAATTCGTTGTGGAAAGTCAGGTACCACAATAATGAGAGCAGTGTGTTTGAAGCAAGATTTCTCAGAAGAAACATATGCGACTCGAACCGAGACGAGCAAGGGGCTTGATTTTTGAGAACCAAAGATTTGGACCCGAATTTTGTTCGTGCGATTACTACACGAAAACCACAAATTGTCAAGGAATAGGTTTGTGCATGTTTATATTTTACTTTTAATGATCTAAATATTGAATCGAATCGAATTTTAATTGAATTTTAATGAGAATATTTATTTAAGTAATGCCATTCATTACAATGTGTAATATCTTGTAAAAGATAATAAAGATAACATAAATATCAATTGGAAAAGGATTATATACACAGAGATCTAAATAATTAAGAATCAAAATACTAAGGGATCACTGCAACTATTATCATATCGTGGGTAATGCATTTTAGCGCCCAAAAAGCGCGCACTCCGGTCGAATATGCCCCTTTAAAGCGCGTACTCACTACGACTTCAGGTATAGCTATAGGTCAACTCCCATCTTAATAATGAGTGTTATGTGGATCACTACCAACTCCCAACTTTCATGATGATATTTTGTTGCTGTCTTCATAACCTCAATTTGCATGTGTGAAGTAATCGTCACTTGCGATTTGCATAATTGAATTTGTAATCTTCTTCACTTGAATTTATAGTTATATCGATGTATAATTCATTGTGATTTTCATAAATACAAAAATAGATCTAGGTAGAAAATCAGCAAAGGTATTTTAGACAGTTGGGCCATAACGTCATGATTGTATGTAATTCATATGATAAGTGTAATCAAAGGTCGTATGGTAACACAGTAACTTCAAGTTGTACTTAACCTATGATAACTACGCTGGCGTGTACTGCCCATATAGTTTTGCAGTAACTCTATCCAGAATATATACTGTACAAATACCCATTCACATGCACCGGAATCCAGATACTTGCTTTGCGTGATGTGCGTATGGCGATCGATGGGGCTATTTTACATAGGCCTCCATTCATCTTTGTCATTATGAGGTGTGAGTCGAATAATTTCCACTTGTTCGTGTCAATTTCAATATGTACAATGAATTTTATTTTCTAAAATTTAATGAATTTGAAAAGTGCCATCGCTACTTTGGTCAAGCTTCTAAATAATGCAAAAAAATAAACAATCTGGGGTGGCTGGGTTAAAATAACCATGTTTTCTCACTGACTGACTGACTCTCACCCCCCCCCCCCTCACTGTCACTTGTGAACCGGGCAGTGCTGTCGTATATAATTCCTCCTTAACGCCAATGAATGGGTTGAATCCAGCCCATTGTGTATGTAGTCTGATACAGGAAATGACTTCCAGTGAATAGCCATTCTAAATCAATTGAATAGAAGTATGTGTGCTCTGGGACTAGCTCGAATAGGATTGCCTTGTTTTCTTTTTTTTCTACGGCAGTTCAGGACTAGGCCGGTAATAAATAATCAAACTGTCATGTATTCTTTTCAATTAGTCACCAATGCGTAATTATGTGTGTGAGCGCGACATCTTGCCAATGACGCATTCAGTTCATTTTGTTGACTCGCTTTTAGTGACAACAATCGCCCGATCGCAGCTCGTTCTGTGCCGAAAGAAGTCAGCATGCAAGGTTGTTATTGTTTAGATTAGTCATCTGTCCCTGGATGAGTTCAACTAACATCGTCACAATATTAAAGGCCAATGGAGAAATGTAATTGCAGTTACGAAGCAATGGCATCAATCGATAAGTCATAAAGGGTTATTTTTTTTGGTTTAATTCTTGTACTTTTTCAATTACGTGGGCGGGCCCGCGCCCTCGCGTCCCCACACAAGAGCGCTCATTCGTTGCTGCATGAAACCTATCACTTCTGCTTGGAGAATCGGAAACAGTTTTTTTTATCAAATCATATCAAACAAATACAATGTTCTTTTTTTAAACAAAAAAAAAGTCTTTTGATCAAGACAAAGAATGGAGCGCCTTCAGGTTTTTTTTTTTGGGGGGGGGGCAATATCATGATGCACAATTTCAGTCAAGTTCCCTGTATCCCAAAACAGTACTGCATGATAATGTTTTGTGCAGAAAGGAATCATACAATTTTTCCTTCCATCCTCGCTTTGGTTACGTTGATTTAAATGGGGAAAAAATCAAGACGGCTGCAACATGATAATGGTCTATACTAAGCTGGGTAAGTATTACTGAGCAAACATGGTAAAACTTTTTTTTTTACGTTTTGAATTTCTGAAAAGTAGTCCTTAGGCCTCCGAGAAAATGATCTACTGATTCCGTACACAACGAAGTTCATGTGAAAAATTTTCTAGTGGTATATGAAGTGTTTTCATTGCGTTTTTTTTTTACAATGACAGTGTCTAGGAGTTATGAAATGATGGTTGGTTTTTATCCTTGATAAGGTTGAACGTCTTTCAAATCAATCTATCTTACAAGGCCACGTCTGCGGAGCCAGGGCCACATCAGTCTTTCCTTCGCCGTTGTTACGTCCAAGTGATCGGCATCCGTTAATTCTAATTGCCCTTTAGACGCAACACGCTGTGTCAAGTGCCCCGACTTCACCATCGCGACATCACCGCCCGCGGAAACCCATTCAACTGCACGTTGCCAATCAATCAATAACCACGTGACGACGCCCACGCGCGCGCGCGCGCCGGGGCTGGAGTAATTCATTCACAAAAATACTGCGAGGCCAGACAACACTGCGATATCACGACTACTGCGATCAATAAATCCTCATATCCCTCACCTCCCCAAGTTAATTTTCTTGATCGCCGCCGCGTCGAAATTTGTTATCAACCAGATTTACGACAGTGACTTTTTCCTGAGGTGCAATTTATCAGTTAAAAAAAAATTCGGTGTGGAAATTCTCCCCTCTTGGCCAAGGATGCTGCATGCAACGCCTCATTTCAACCTTATTCAAATGTTACCATAACAACTATAAGTGCATTGATATTTGAAGAAGTCACTAACAGCTTTTAATCCCGTTCACACTTTAATAATCACCATTTACAATTGTCTCGTCACTCCGTTGCTTTTTATTTTGATAAAATGTCCTACGGGCATTGACCTGTGGTACGAGGCAAGAATACCAAGGATTGTTTGGTTGCGCCAAGTCACTTTTGAGGCACATTGGCTTTATATCATTAAATGTCTTATTGAAATAAAAATAAATTATTTGTTGTACTATAATTTCACTATATGAATACATGCATTGGGTCATAACAAGTGTCTTTCATTTCGTACTTATTCGACTGACTATATCACTTGTGACTTAGCCATGTTGTTATGAAGAGAACCGGGCAGTGCTATTGTATAGGATCACGCCGCAAGGGCTAACCCCATGCAGCGCATCAGGACAGATGCATGAAAAGGCTTACATTGAATAGCCATTCTGAATGATCATGAATACAATTTTTTGCGCTTTATTTCCAACTTTAATCGGTTTGACTTGTCTTGCTTTACGGGACAGGGACATCATTTCCAAACGCAACAAAAATGTGGGTTTTTTTTTTGCAAATTCAAGGAACAACGTTACAATGAATCTGAAGCAGGTTATTAAAAACATAACACTCCAAAATTTCAGCTCAGTAGATATTAAACGTTTTGAGAAAACTGTTAATATGTATCTTCATTTTTTTTCTCGACGCAAAGCATATATTTCCGTTGAAAACGTGATGTTTACTTTGGTCCCAACCATCGTGAGGAAATGATGGCAAATACTCCTTTCTTGAAAATACTGCATACTAGGTGCAACGATTTCACACGATGCATGATCCTATTATTAACTTACAACTCAGTAGGATATTTCATATTTCGATAGTTTCAGGTTTGAATGCTTGCAATGTGCGCATTACCTTAATGTCGAATTCCTTCATACAAAAATTGTGCGTGGTTATGAATGACAAAATAATATTGTTGACGGAAAACACTTAATGTCGGCAAGCTCTAAGTGATTTAATGTCACTACAGATCACACAGCAGGCCATTATCTATGTATTCGACAACCATTGGCGGCAATTAATGTCCAAGGCCTTTATCATGTCACTTTCTTGGAAACACTGTCTACGTCTATGAGATTAAGAATTACATGACAAGCTCAAACAGACAAACTATGAACAGGAAAGATTTCCAAACAGCTAGCGTCTCGGACCAGCACCGGGCTAAATTAGATTTATTACTGAAACAAGTGCGAGTGCACATTAAGCTCTGGCGAAAATTGCGACGCCGATGGCACATTATGGAACACTGTACTTTTGGTCAATTTTGGGACATTTCCTCCTTCTGGATACCGTCCAACCACTACACAAAATGGCGTCCACCTTGTTCGAGGAAGATGTTGTACAGCGCAAGTGCGAGCGCATAATAAGCTCTAGTCGTGTTTCAAGAAGTTTTGCATGAAAGTCTTGCATGAAATCGATCAAAATGATAGTTATTCGGAACCCCTAAGCTGGTAGAATGATAGGTAGTGGCGAGTGGTACTGCCTAGGAGGATAGGAAAAAAGTGCGAGTGCACAATAAGCTCTGTCCGTGTTGCAAGAAGTCTTGCACGACAGTCTTGCATGAAATCGGTCAAAATGATCCCTGCCAGAGCTTAAACATGCGACGCCGAAAAATGCGACGCAGATGGCACATAATGGAATACCATACTTTTGGTCAATTTTCCGGACAGACAGACATACCGACCGACCGACCACTAAGTGACATGTAGAAGCTCCTGTCAGAGCTTAAAAACCCTGTGTTGCAAAATCTCAGCAGGTATGAAACGGTCTTTCTTGAAAATCACCAAAGCTTATTTTAGACAGTTGGGTTTTGTTGAATGGGATGGTGCCTGACTTTTTATTTATTCTAGCCTCACTTCCATTCTTTCTTAAATGTGGCTTAAAAACATTCTAAATTATTCATCAGAGCAGACTAGTATTAATTTGCAGCGTCATTGCTTTCATTTCTCTTCACAAGTTCCAAAAAATGAAGATTTTACCTAACTCTCAATTTAATATGGCCGACTCGTGAGTAAGGCCCATAAGCAAAGCGGAAATCGACATCAGATAAGTATCTGAAATCTGTAAGTCGATTCGGAAACAAGAATTTTATTCCAAGCAATTTATGCAAGCGAAAGTGGCGAGGCGGCCTAGATTAAGAGTCATGTCTATGAAAAAGTAATCAAATAATGACGCACTGCTGGTTATTTTTATAAACTCGTGAACGCGAGTTACTTCTGACAATGCTTTAAAATAATTCGTTTGATGTCCACGTTGTCTAAATTTCTCGGTTTTTATTTATTTAATTGTTAATTATGTTTTGTTTTTAGTCTCAACGTTAATTATGTGCAGTACATTAAAATTCATTTCTAAAGTACATTTTGTTTATGATGTTTAAGGGTACACTGTATAAATAGGGAAATTTATATAATTGAAATTATAAATTGCAGTATTTTTGATGGTCACAGAGAGCTAGCCTATAGTGATTTTTATACCTGACTGGCTGACTGAATGACTGACTGACCCCCCCCCCCCCCCCGTGGTGATGAGTGACTGACTGACTTACTGACTTACTGATTGTCTGTCATTTGTGAGCCGGGCAGTGCTATCGTATAGGATTATCTCGTAAATAAATGGTCTATATATCCGGCCTAGTATGTATAATTATAGACTGATGCAGGAACAGAATAAGCATTCTGAATCAACTGGCCTGCCTTTTCTCCCGACAGTTCACAGCAACAGAAGAGTCTTGCTGATTTGAAATGATCCACCAAGATTTTCATTAGCATCTCACGTCAAGTACATTGTTATATAATGACGAGTGTATCTTGGCAAAAGATGAGCAGCAGGGACATTATGAAGTGCTTTGATTGTAGTACATAATGCATCAGAGTAAACTACTGTTCATAAAGTTAAACCCTCATTCCTCATATAGCTGTGGGAATCAGTCATTATTAATCTGGTGTTATAAGAGTTGACTCAAGCAAAGGTCCAAGCTACCAGTGAGACCTATATGTAAGCGGGTGACAACAAGCACCGCTGCTTTGTCAACAAACTCTCATTTTGAGAATAAATAGTAATTGATTCCCATAAAGCCCGTGCTTCAAGTAGCCGCCCACTTGTTGGCCGAGGATGAGATAAGAATATTGTCAATCGCAAACCCGTTGTGACTGTAGATCCTGGCCCCTATATTAAAAAAAACCGGTCTCTACTAATCGGTTTCTCGAAGGTAAAGGGCAGGTTCGTTGCGATTGATATGAATCGACTGCAAAAAAGCAGATACAGACTGCCGGGGCAGTGAGTGTAGTAAAAGGGTATTTTCTGCTGGTCCCCAAGGGCCAGCCTATAGTCATCTTTGTACTTGACTGTCCAACTGACTGATCAACTCGCTGACTTACTCACTGACTGTCACTTGTGAGCCGGGCAGTGCAATCGTACAGGGTTACCACGTAACGCCAATAAAGGCCAACATATTGTCTACTTTGTACTGACTTATACTGACTCACTGACTGTCAATTGTGAACCGGGCAGTGCTATCGTACAGGGTTACCACGTAACGCCAATAAAGGCCAGCATTATTGTCTACTTTGTACTGTCTTAATATATACTGACTGATTCACTCACTGGCTCACTCCCTGACTCTCAATTGTGAACCGGGCAGTGCTATCGTAACGCCATTTAAAGGGCTAAATCCTGCCCATATAGTGTAGACTGATGTATAGGAAAAGACTGCCGGTAAAGATTCACTGTGCTCTGGGACCAGCTTCACTAGGCTTAATTTGTCTTGTCTATGAAAAGAATCTCAAGCATGAACAACAATCTCAATCAATGCACAGTTTTCTTTCAATTAAAATCTATTGTCTCAAATTCTGGATCAGAATATTTGCAAGTTATTTGTTCATTTCTTTAATAATTTTCATTGACACAGAGCAGATGGTAAAGTCAGTGGTTAAAGAATGACTCCACTACATTGTATTAGGTTACGCATTTGTTGCCTCATTATGGATAAATTGCAATATGGGACTATTGCCCGGCCACGTTTACCAGTGAAACTAATCGTCAATGAATTGTTATTGTCGGTTGCAGAATGTTCAACCCATGGACTCCAATTATGTTTTGTTTTCACAGATTCTATCATTACCGTGAATACACGTCAACGGATAGTTGTTTTTCTGGTCTTCAGTCTGAACTGAACAAAATAAGGTAAGTTTGAGAAAAAAATAGGTAAGTTTTAAGAAAAATACTAAGTATTTTTCCTTATTTGACAATATAATATTATGTTCCATGTTTCATAAACTGTATCAAAACACGCGAAAACATCCTGCACGACATGCACTTCTTCCCTTGACAAAAAGAAAACACATGGATAAAAGCTGTTTTTCCATTAGGGACGACCCCCATCCTTCAACAAACGGAGAGAAATATACCCACACCCTGAGCTACCTTCGGTAAGAAATAATATGTGGACTCAGGACACGCTAGTTGCACCCGGAGTGATGGTGGTTATTATTTTTGCCATCATCGGCATTTTAGACAAAGGCTTTTATTGCGCTGTGCAGGTGACATTTCGAGAATCCAACAGCACGAGACAAAAACACTCAATTTGTTTGGTTGGATCTTGTTATTTCTTGCATTACGTATAGCAAATCATTTATAGACGGAACTGATGACAATCTAAGTGCCCTCTTGAAAATACTGTGGAAGTTCAACAGGTTCATGTACAATTTCTTCTTCTTTTTATAAAGCATAAATACCATATGTTTTTCAGTTGAAATCGATGCAAGGATGAATCAAAGAGCTTTTTTTTTTTATAACGGAAACAAACAAAACGTGATAAAGTCGGGTTATGTGTTTTGTAATTCCAAAGGACCATTTTGTTGCGCAATTATGTCATAAAATGTTTGATTTAATGATTTGGCAACATGAGGTTGCAAGAGAAATCATGTGATACGTCGACGAAAGATTCGAAAATTATTCTACCAGTTCTGTATATTTTGTTGTTGTTTATTTCCCAACTATCTTGAGTTAATTTGAAGTAATAATGTGGGACTGAATGTGGGTCCTATTAAGTAGAGTGGCTGAGTGTGTCCCTATAAAGACCGGTGCAGGAATAAGGGGGGATGGACTTGAAAGGAGTCTAGCAAAATGTGTAGTCATGTGACCGCATAGAGTCGCGACTGCCGCCCACCGTACCGGGGTGGGCAAATGTCTGTATGGTACCGGGTGAGTGTTTCAAACGACACACCGTTCAGAAAAACAGCCGATATTAACTCAAACAAATAAAGACGCTCGTCCCATGCCATAGAAAAATGTCCCCAAGTGGGGTCACAGTGCGTTCCACTTATAACAACTCAGATACAACAGAACTGGGGATGATTGCGTTACCTATTGGGACACCTGCTAACTGTGTCGCTCACCGGACTAGTTATTTGCTTTGGAATAATATCTACTCAAACACCACAATTCTGTTTTGGTTCGATTTAGTCTCGGCGCCACCATACCAACTTGGGCACGATAGTACACACCAACACAGGCCCAGTTGAAGGTGAAAAGTTCACGTACCACGAAAATAATGTTACACAAAGTGGGTCAGGGCGGTTGACTATTCCTAATAAAAAAAATCCCAAAATGTACTTTGAATTGACACTGTTATCACTGATTAAAATGACGATAGAAAATATTCCTTCTTTTCGTTTTGGGAATTCTTGTGTCTGACATTCTGTTAAAATTAAAGAGATCCGTAAATAAATTTTAAAGAGGTAAAAAAGGAATTTAACCAAAATGAACAATGCGTTAAATTTGAATTTGAATTTGGATCTGTTTAAGGCAAACAAACATGAAAAGGTATTTCCCTAGGAGTTCCTATATTGTAGTTATATTCCCATTTATATGTAAATTCATCACAGCAGCTTATGCGTCATCGTCATTATCAAATATTCATAAATGCATGCCGAGTATTGGGCAACGGCGTATTATTAAACACAGCTCGATGATAAATTAGAAATTACGCGGATATATCGTCATACAAGTCACTGTTGGTACACATGCATTGAGTAATAATGGGTCGCTCATAATAAATTGAAACTGTAAGAACGTCTTCTCTTACGTATTTTGAGGGAACTAAAATATTATTCTCTTAAAAAGGTGGTCTGAACCAGCGCTCTATTTATCAAATGAGAACCTATGTTAAATAAACACCCATAGGTTTTCGTTCATATCGCTTTTCTTCCAAACTGCAGGTTTCAGGTCATTGACATTTGTTGTGGTTGCGCTGCATACCTTGCTATCACAAGGTCAATCCATATATAGACCATGTTCAATGTGACGTCATACCGATGGGCAACCAACGAGAAACTGACAGACAAGCCAAACATTTAAGCACCGTTTGCTTGTTATATTGCCCATAACAAGCAGTTAATGTTGCCAATTTACACCAATTACATTTCAAAAGATAACCTAAAATGGATGAGTATCTGAGTCGAGTGACCCAAGTACTGGAAAAGAAATGAAACTTGGTAGATATAGAGACGTTGTGTGTATTAATCGGCATATACATTATGCGTTGCAAGTATCTCAGATTTTCTGCTTTATTTTTTATTTAGTAACAATGACTGCACAAAACTCATGCCTATCAACGCAATACCAAACCACTGCTCACTCACTCGGGCCTTACAACGCACAAGTGGTTAGGTATCTAAATTTGTTTACTTAGAGGTAAAGCCTAAGATATCAAAACTTGTTTGGATTGAAAAGGGTGTCTGGCAATCACTATAGCAACAGAAGCAGCATCTCGTTTATATTTAATTGCTTTTTTTCTCCCAAGTAAAGGTCAGCCTGCGGTTCTTTTGTGAGGGCCATAATATCGCGGAGTTTGTTTTGTAAGGATCGCATAAATCATTAAAAAAATTGGTAAACTCGAACGGGGAAGTCTATGAAAAAACATTGCATACTATAGTTCGACAGGTGATGGCCCTGACATTTTGACATTCTGCCTGAAGCAATTCCCCTAAAATTCACGATGCATGAATTAAAGTTTACGTGTAATTTTCACAATTTTTTTCCCACAAAGGAATTTATGTATTCCATAAATGTATTGATAACGCAATCCCTATATACGAAAGGTTTCCTTCCATCCGCCATTTGCATTCTTTACGTTTGTGTATGTAGTTGCAGTAACGAAAAAAATCACTAATTTTCTCAAATGGTTAAGCCATTTTGTACAATTAATTATATTCTCACTATGAACGCATCAATTTACTTCTATTAAACAAAATGTTAACAAATAACATTCCGGACGTGTTTACTGGTAGTCCGATTTTTTTGTGACGCTGTTACGGCTGTATAACATCGGACGAGTCCTCCGTGTGCCCTATAGGCCCATAATAGGTTTACAGGCCGTGTGCCGTATACTCCAGTAGCTGTGCTGTCTTCATACGATAGCAACTTCCTGAGTGGTCACTTATTGTGGGTGGCGGTGCTGCTTGTTCAAATGTCATACCTATTCAATTTTGTTATTGCACCAATTTTCGGTTGGTATGCTCGCCTCCAAATTGATGACCAGTTATTGACGGCATGCCATGACGTATATTTCTTCATTGATATCTTTTTTTCTCCCGACAGCCTTAGGACAGATGTCAAACATTCGATTTGATCGAACGCTGTCCGTTAATTGCGGGACATTACTGCTAAGTGGTAGAACAACGTTGTTTTTAAGCGAGAAGCCATACGAGCAAACAATCTATTCATTCAGTCGTTATTTGCGTGTCGTTGCTGCCTCTTTGTGGATCGGTAAAATCTAGTGACGTCTATTGTGCCCCTTACCTGCTAAATATACCCCAACATTTTACACGTGGGATTTTTCACAGATTAGCTCACACTTGAGCATTGAAATCACGTACTGTGTGCATACTTTTATTCGCATTCAATTTCTGCACACTTCCATCGAAAAAAACGTGATGTAGGCGGTTTGTTTTGACCATGAAAGCCAAAGATAAACAACGAAAATGGCTTGGCCTGATGGCTACGGCTCGCCTAATAACCCGCTTTGTAATGTATCACCGGTCACCGGAAAGCAGCCAGCGCAAAGCACGTAGGCAAACACTCGGCAGCAATTTTGTGAATGAACGGCACGTGTGGTGCTTTCGATGCAGCTACCAAGTGTGATTAAACTGACGTCAGTCTACCATCGATTGAGAGAGCTACGTGCGCACGTACGTATACCTTGAATCCCAGTCAACAGGTACACGTATTAGCACCACACGCTGCCAACCATCGTATCAAATTTATATTAATTTGGTCTAATTTCCTACAAAACCGGACTTTTTCATTTCTTCACCGTGGTCTCGATTAATCTAATTATAACACCTTTACTAATGTCCACTTGGTTACCGTAAACACGCTGTAGTGTGTTGACTACATATCCATTAGTCTTAGACTTGTGCTGTGATACCTGACTCTGTGACGTAACGTCTCCCACTCTGTCTTTTTGGTAAAGCTCAAGACATATTGATTCGTTTCTATCCACGAAATGGGTCACCTGTATGTCTAGCGGGCATTTATTTTATCCAAACATCTCGGTTGTAACTTGACGCGTCACGGTGCGCGTTTAGCATTGATGCATGCGTGAAATGGGATCTAGCCTCCCACTTGACTGAAACACTTCTCATCGTATTAGGCAAAGCTAAATGTCATACACGTGGCTGAAATCAAAATGGCATTCATGAACCAAAGGTAGAAAGCTATGTCGTAATCATTTTGTCCCAGATATTTTGTGCTGATTCTATATCTGGGGTAAGTATACTGGAGGGCTGGGGCAAGTAAAAATGTATTATTGTAATGTAGTCTACCTACAAATCGTTTAGGTAATCATGTAATAATAAAACCAACCAAACATTAACTGAACCTTGCAAGCCAACCGAACCAAGAGGCCTTATGCCTAAACAAAACCATACCACTGAAACCAAAACCACACAAAACGTAACCATACCAATCTAACCAAACCAAACCAAACCAAACCCTATTAAACCAAACAAAACCATACCAATCTAAACCAAACCTCACCAAACCAAACCCTATAAAACCAAACACAACCATACCAAACATAACCATACCAATCTAAACAAAACCACACCAAACCAAACCAAATCAAACCGAACCAGACAAAACTAAACCGGACGAAACCACGTAAAACATACAGAAACAAACCATACCAATCAAACTTAACCAAACCAAACCAAGTAAACTATACCAAGCCAAACCAAACAAAACTAAATCAAACGAAACCACGTAAAGCATACCAAATCAAACCACACCAACCAAACTTAACCAAACCAACCAAACAAACTCAACCCAAACTGAACCGCTCAAACCAAACCAAACCAAACCAAAACCAAACCAAACCAAAACCAAACCAAACCAATTGACAACAAAATACTTCATCTAAAAATATGGAAATGGGAGATTGACCAAAATAGAGTTTCAATACAGCAAATGTTTGCTCAAGTACATGTGCATGAACACTTTCATCACCTATCTAAAATTACCCACTGCTTTTTAACACCAGCAGTTGCTGGCACCTTTTCGTCTGTCGACATACAACAACTAAATAATGAGATATCTCGCCTTGGTCCATGCAAAGGTGTCAGAACATTGGTGCATAACATAATCATGTGTAATCAAGCAATTTACTCTGTGACCTTCAACACGTACGGCTGATAGAAAGGTGTCATACCTTGTTAAAGGGCGGGGTTTAACAGGTCGAAGCGGGGGCGTGTAACTGTTTGTTATCAACCATAAGTATACAAAAACTGACATCCAATGTGAGCTATTAATTTTTAAGTTTCGAGGCTTACCTCTATAATTTAGTTATGCCCACCTAGTTTAGTTGAAATTAAATTACTTGGAGGTTAAATAAAGAGTATGGAATTGTAAAAAAAGCTAAAAAAATGTTCTTTTCATTTTTGCCATTCCATTGACAGAGGAAACCCAAAGTGAAATCTGTAGACCAATACAGACTTAATATGTCCATCGGAGCTTTATAAAAACTGGACAAGTTTTCAAAAGTTGGGGAGCTTTTTCCCAAGAAAACTGAAGTTCTTATGGACAAAACCTTGGAACTGCTTTGTTTATGGGACACAAAAGTCAAATGATCTGAATGTCTTGAGCAATGCTGCGTCAGAGATGCTCGACTTGAAGTCAAGAAAAGGAATAAAGACTACGCTGACATTTTAAACCAAACAAATATTGTCAAGAAAAAAAACCCACAAAACGGAAGAACAAGTACAACACCAAAGCGTGATGGCGGATCAGCCCCGTCACACAACAACAAAACAACAGAAACAACAACAACAACAACAAAACCCGAAACACAGCAATGAGTCATTAGCAAAACATGTCCTTGTTGTGATCAGTCACAGCCAAGATTGAGCCCAATTATCCTGTTTTTATTTTGATTCGCTAAAGTGCTGATTGAAATTAACCCATTTCCCTGGCTGTGTGCTTTGCACGGTCATCATCACCTGCCCATTCCGTCCTATGTTAGCTTTCTGGTCATTACACCCGAGGCAAACCCACGCAATGCAAGTGCATAAGCCCGTAGAATTTGCACAGCAATTAGGTGCGATTTTAATGCCATTATGAACAAACATGACTGATTTCTTTCCGCTTTGTCTTAGGCTTTTTTCCCCCAGCGGAGGTAAAAAAAAATGTGGAGGCTGTGGTTTGGCGGAGTTTTTTTATGATGTGATTAAACACTTCGCTGGCATTTATGGACTGTTGTAATCAAACACGTGTTGTTGTGTATGTAGGTGTGCGGGGGTTTCTGTCTGTCTGTCTGTCTGTCTGTCTGCCTACCTGTCTGTGGGTCTGTTTCTGTGTCTTTGCAAGTATATGTGTCTTTGCAAGTAAATGAGTCTCTGATTAAATCCACGTAGCGACTTTCGCAGTCGATGCCGAAGATTGGGTGATTTGTTGAACGATATCTCAAAACCTTACCAAAAAGAGTACGTATTACAATGTCAAGCCGAAATTTTGTACTGACCTATTTCCCAAGTTGCATTTACACGCTGGGGTAAGATAAGCCTAAAACTTACTGAGTACATGTATATAGAAAGATGCGACTATATGGTAACCAGTCAACAAATGAGTGGTCGCATGCTGCTCAGACTAGATTCGGCTGGTATTCTTCAGATTGTCACTCCCCAAATAAAGTTTAATTTCTAATCACAATATTTGGTTAAGCCTTCGTTACAGAGACCGCACTACTTTTTTTATCAATGGATATAGGATGCAACGATAAGTAGCTAGTTGGACTGCCTTCATGCAATCTTGTTGTCGGTCTCACGTGGCCACACACTCAACATGTGTTGTTTTTCTTCCATGAATAATAATAAATAGGATTGTTCAACTTACCAGCTCCCGCTAGGAACTTAAGGCACATGGTGGATGATGGTGTCCCGTCTGAATGTGCTCCACGTGATGTTACGAAGTACCGCTGTCCAACGCACAAAAAAATCTACCCGAGAAACTAAAAGGGAAGGACGCATCTGCCGTGCTGCTAAAACAAAAGACTTCTAGTCCTAGCGCCTCGTCTACTTCTGGCTACGACTATACTAAGGGATGGTGGGATGGTTTCTTTGGTATACTCAATCGACTTGTGAGTGGATGCACTGGTACGGGTCAGTTTTATACGGTTCACGGATACACCCGAACGGTGACGCAATCGTAAGCGCCTCCGTTGTTGAAAGCACTGCGGATCGGTGATATTGTGCCGGGCGGAAATTGGGCATCGCTAAATTACCGGGCAAATTGCTGACACGTGGGGGCTATAGAACCCACCGGGAAAAAAGGCACGATATGCGGAGAAAACTGATGTACGAGTTTACAGCAGATCGGAAACTGTGACGGTAGCTAGTGGTGAAGGGGATGGGCCGGTGCGTGATGCTGGTCGCGGTAAGATCACACGCGCGGAGAAGTCACTGTATTGTATAACACCGCCCAGAAAGTGCTGGTGCAGGTAGCGCACAGGTGGTTTACAGTGAGATGAATGAACCACCGACTCTGGTCTAGGCTGATTGATTATTTTGTCCGTGGGTAATACGGACTCTTCTGTCTTGAGTGACAGTTGAATAGATGTGGCTTATACCGCCTTACGCTGGCGGATGGGATCTGTTGCATAGGGGAGGTCGTATGCGTGATGTGCTCACCGAGTACGACAGATGTGTATTATTGGACATTAAGCAACGGGGCCCTGGTGTGGAGGAGGCGGGCTGTTGCCGACTGTGTGGGCAGTAGCTTCGGGAACTTAAAGGGCCACTGTCGCCAATGTTGCCTCTTCAGTCAGAAGGACACCCTCTCGTGTTTTGTTGCAGGCCTTGGACGTCACTGACTGGGTTCGTGACGTCACAAAATGTTACACGGGTTGAGGAAACTAATGGCAAATGTGGGCATAACATTTTCAGAGTTTAGTCTGAAATCAGACTTTTTGAATATAAGAGAAAGACATTATCAGTACATAACGAAATGCATCTTTCAGACCATGCATTCCATTCAGTCAGACCCTTCTTTTAAGTGGCAATATCATCACTGCAAATTGCGGATTATTACCGGAGGTATTAGTCAAACCTCGATCTTGTCTCGTCAGAGATTTCAAATAATCTCTGTTTTTCAAATATTTTTTTTTAAGGGACGAGGCTTAAAATCCTCTTCTGATGAAATGTTCTGCTTTCGGCTTCGCTCTTTTTACCCCCTTAATACAATCAATCAAGTAAAGCAACTAGAATACTCAGATAAAAAATAAACAAATTTCAAAATAGCGGAAATCAAACACTACCAAAATATGAGAATAAAATCGTCACTTTTAACATGCCATAATGAAGTGGCATGAAGCCATTGTTGGCCTACATGTTCACTGTCTTTCATGTTCGCCTATTTTCTTTTTACACGTTTCATTCCAGTGTTAATTCATACTATAGGACCATGCATTGAACCTTTTTGTTATAAATAACAACGATCTAACAACGATCTAACAACGATCACCCTATGAAATAACATTTTGGAGAGTACGTTTTTAAAATTGAAAGTCGTTGAAAATGAAGAGTTGGAAAATGAAAACTGTTTAGTGGTGGGCCAGTGACGCAAACCATAAGTAATTGATTCTAAAAAAAAAAACCACAAAAAAAACATTCTCTTGAATCGACGTGCTGCCACCAAAAACCATTGTCAGATAAACGTGATGCTGCCACTGTTTGCTGTAGACGCAACCACGATGACTAACCGTGACTGCTGACTCTGTCGGCACTTTCACACAATGTATGGCGCGCCTTGCCCTGACAAATGTCACTCCATCCAATTCCCCATTTACACCGGAACACGCTCAGTCTTCACACGGACTCACGGACCAATCCGCCCACACACGCACCTGGCAATCTCGAGGGAAAATGTGCCCGTCATAGTTGACACCGGAACATTAACGCGGAGGAATATAGCCGATGACTCGAGCTTGCCAACTTTGGATTTGACGTAATGACTTTGTTGAGAATGACAGTGCGACCATGTCCCGCCCCTTTGCGCATCTGTATGGTCTAGTTAGCAGGGATGGGGTGGGGTGGGGTGGGGAGTGGGGGCACTTTGAGCCACATCATCTGAGGGCCAGTGGACGAACCTGTGTTCACAGGAACGAAGTGCCATCTCTCTATTGAAGCGAATGGGCCAGACTATAGTGTTCATGCATGAAATGCTGATGTGGGGAATCGCCACACCTCCTCCACAGCGAGTCTGTTACATTCCCAGCATTGAATAATGCCGGTATCCAATTAACAACTTGGTTGAGAGGAGTAATTGAGGTAAAGCGCCTTAATCAAGGGCACAACACGCATGGCCACGGCGGGGCTCGAACCCACAACCTCACGATCATGAATCCTATGCAATGCACATAGACCAAACGTGCCCCAAACAATATACAATATATTCGACTCTCGTTAGTACAAACTCTGTTAATACACAATTCTGGTTATAACAAACATAAACCCTTGGTCCCGACTGTGCATTTATGTGCACAATGAATGGGACTGATGTTCCTCTTAATACAAAATTCTGATATAACAACAATAATTATTTGGCTAGGTCCGAACGAGTTTGTTATAACGAGAATCGACTGTAGTTCTTTTTGTCCTCCAATTTACGAGTGAGTTCAAGAGGGAAAAGCCTATACAGAGCGTGCTCCCCCTTCTCTACGTCACTGACCCCGCCCCTCCCTACGAAATGGTAGGATGAGTCTATGAGAATTTGGCACACCATAAGTCGTGTATATTTTTTGTATATGAATATTCAGATCTTATTCATTACAAGGTATGATGTTCTTATTCCTCCATGGTATGACACATCCAGTGCCACTTGCAATGTCGCGGGCATGCTGTGTACCACTTCATCTAAATTGTCGTATTTCCTCGTTATTTTCCACCTTAATGGACTGGTTACCATGTCTCATGAGCTATGGTCCTACATTGCGTGCGTGCGGCACGTGTTGCGTGTTTCTGACCCGTTTACTTGCCAAGACGCATGACATACATCTTGCAACACATGCAATACATGTACCACTCATCACTGCATCATTTTGATCAAGGCCTTATTTTTCTGTCACCCCTTGAAACTACATTAAAAATTAATGATGGAGCGCCAGTGCAAAACAGGAAAGTCTCGTGTAATATTGTAGATTGTTGAAAACCAACATTTACTGATATCCATAGTTTATTTACGTGTATTTGTAGGCTAAATCCTGCAACGTTGTAAGGTTCTGTAATAAAATTGGTGTTGTTTAATAGAACGGCTTGAAATCAAATTCTGACTTGTGAATCGGTTTTCAGATAGGAAACAGAACTACCACATTTCGACCCTTATGCCTACGCACCATTTTATTAGAAACAGTTGGGATTTCAAAGAATTCACAATTTTATTATCATTATTTGTTTTGGTAATGAAACCAATGATTCCTCACAAGTGCCCTAGGAACTGTAGCTCGCAAGCCAGCAAAAAAACCTGTAGAGAGGAGACAATGAGAAGAAATTACAGTTTTAAAGGCGGAAGGAAAACCCCAGAAGAATATACTGGGGTAAATCACAGAATCAGGTAGGGACTGATAACCCAATCCACATGTGGACCAGGACAGGAATCGAACCCAGGCCACAGCGGTGGAAGGTGAGGACAGTTAACCACTGCGTCAACCTGACTCCCCCGCGTACCCAAATCACCCTCATACCAATATTTGCTTCCCCGTGTAAACATGACCTGCATAACACCGTGCACCGACCTGTTTTTAATGGTGTTTCTAGAGGATAATAAAAAAAACAGTGAAAATAAGATAGATTCTCACGGGAATGGAACCAGTTGTTCCAATTTCTAGACCGTGTTTGACCAAAGCCTCTAAATATATTATGCACACCTTCCATGTGGATGATCCAGTGACTTGTGTCAGACGCCCACTCTTTCATTTTCAAAGACTAGGGTCGGGACCAGACGATTTAAAGGAAAATCACTCGGATTTTTCTCTATCAAGAATCACTTCAGTCGATTTAGATTGAAAAAGCAATATTCAATGGCATCAATTTCACTCTAAATCGTTTTGTACCTGGTTTCAGTGAGATGGAGTGACTTTTCCTCTCACAGTTTTTACTATTTGAAAATAAGTGAGTAACCACCACTTGTTCACCATGATGATTACTACTTAAACAAAACCTAGATGCCAAGAAAAAAATTGGCATTGAACGATAAAGTAGTAAGTTGATATTTGAAGCTTCACCTCGAATTCCGCTTTTTCTCCAGCCATGCCAGTTCGGAGCTCCTAATAAGCGAAATGTGTAATTATGGCGACAACCGTCAACAGACCACCTTTTCAAAATGCCACCCCGTGTCCTACAAAGCTCAGACGATCTTGTTGTGTATACACGCTGACCTTTTTGCAAGCCCCGTTTGCTCTGAATATTCTAACAGGATTTCCCGCGGTTTCTTTTCCCTCTGTTTATCCCCGCCCACATTCCATCTGCCCGCATCCCGTTGACCAGTACTACGTCAAGTATCTTTATCCTATACATCCACGATCCACTTGATTTCAGACAAAAAAGTAAAGTCCTCGTCTTAAACCCACCTAAGTGCGGCAAGGTTTGTGGTCTCTCACCCAACCTATTTATATATGAACTTGACCGCAAAGTACATGTTTTTGGAAAGGAAATAAATATTTCATCTAAAAAGACAAACCAATATCGAGTTGATTTTTCAAAATACAAACACAAACGATAATAATGAAATTGTTAGTAGGTTTGAAGACGTCACAGCTTTAATTGAATGTGAAACTCAACCACAGATTAGCCTAGCTTTTCTGAAAAGGAAATCTTAAAAAAAAAACACTCTCAACGTATTTCGATTTCTTCAAGTTGGACAAACACTAACAATAATAATATCGTCAAGCAAAGTATCAAAATTGGGTTAAGACATCACAATTTAATTTGAATGTTGTAAACTCAACCACAAAGTACTCACCTCCTGTACTACTTTTTCGATAAAACTAGAATTAAAATTGCATTTTGAATTTCCCCAGTGTAAGTCACACCTACATTGTCTAGAATTCTTCAAGTTGGCCAGACACTCACAGTGCTTGTTGAAGTATTTAGGATCATTTTGCCACAGGTTTACCGTCAACATGTTTGAAGACATCATACTATTTTCAACCATATGGTAGATAGCACTTTGCGTTGATGAAGGACTTACCAATCAACGTGTCTTATTCATTCCCTTAGACTCATTACGGGTTGATTTCCGGAGTCCATTAAAATGTTAATCCTTTACACGAGTCAGCGCCTGAAGGCGTGCTAATCCCTTGGTGTAATCCCCAAGGCAAGATGGGTCGGCTTCGTACTTTGCTATTTGCTACTAAAGAAACACCCTCGGGAGGTGTATATAACGCATATATACGCCCCAGTCAAATAGTAAAGGAGGCACTAATATCAGAATATCTGCCGATGAATCATGAAATATTATTTTAGTAGGCGTTATATGCATGGCTCTCTGAGTTCACAAGTTTGCCTGATTGTGTTAATACATCTTTTTGACTCAAAACGCAGTCCCGTGTTTAAAAAAAACTCCCTATTGAGTGCTTACCTCATATACCTCGTCAAACAGTGAAGGGGCACTAACAGAAGAATATTTGCCAGTGAATCATGAAACATTATTTCAGCAAGTGTTATATAGGGCTCTCCGAGTTCACAAGTTGTTACTTAAAAAAAAGGCCGTTGAGAGTTATCTGATTAATTTTAAAAATATATCTTTTGACTTTTAAAATGAGGTCTTGGTGTCATATGAAATTTTGACTCTTCGAAATCCGGTCTCTTTTAACCTTATATTGATTCTAACCCTGTCGCTGTACTGATTATCTTCACTTAGGCATGCGCAATACAATTAAGGAGTCTTTATTTCATAGAGTCAACATGTCACACTACACCGTATTTAAAATGATTTTGTATGAAAACTTATTGTGCGTTTTATTTTCCAGGCAATATTAGTGAGGGTTCACAAGATCACGCGTGAGTGTCCCACATTGGCGAGAAGAATACACCAATATATCTCTGCATAGGTAAGTTTCCAAAACAATTCAATTTGGAGTTGAACCTGGGACCACTGGAATGCAACTATTCTCTTGAGTTGCAGATTGCATATCCCATTTCTTTCTCTCTAGTGATGAATCCCAGTGTTCTTCAGAATTACCCGGACACGACTTCAAACCTGATGAAACCAAGTTTCATATGGGTGTTTGTTTTTCCAGGCAATATTATCGAGAGTTTACAAGATCACGCGTGAATGTCCCATATTGGCGAGAAGACGGTGAAGAAATATTCAGTGTTAGAGGTGGAAGACAACTCGGGGAAAACCCGTGGAATTCGCATCTCTGCAACTCGTTCACGTTTGCCAATAAATTGTGTTGTGCATTTTTCAAATAATTTATCATTCAATTATTGGGACTTGCATTTGATCGAATATTCGAATGTTCGAACATTAATATTTGGACATTCGAAATTGACATTAAATAAAAAATATTTTTACCAATACTGTGTATGTATCGATATATTATTTTCGAGATAGCTAACTAGCTGATATTGGATAGATTTTAAAGATGAACATTAGGGTTAATATTCCTCATAGAAGCTCTCAACTCATTCATGTATTAAAAGTGGCTGTCCACTGTGGCATTTGACCAACAATACAACCACTGAACTTGTACGAATAAAAATTACATCGCGGATGTTTTTCGTCATCTTTTCGAGACTGCTCACCTTTTTTCTTTTTTTTTTTGGTTAAAATGCTATTCGGATATTCGATGGATGATCGGATATTCGATGGATGATCGGATACTCGGTTGATGATCGGATATTTGGTATATATTCGGCACAGGCCTCGTTTGCCAGGGCGGGATTCGAACCCGGGTCTTAGAGGTGGAAGGCGAGGGAAGCACCACAGCGCTGACCCAGCTCCCCTTCTTGCGTCGCTTGTGATTATCATTAGCCCTGTTTAATTCCGGCAAATTAATAAACTTACTAAGAACAAACGGCCTACCAAAGGTTAACGAATAAACCGTCATGTAATTTTTCTACCTTGTGAGTGGTCCCTAGCTGATTTTCGCTATATAAACAATTTTCTTAGCTTGTTTGCAACTTTTCCTTCTTAGCAGTGTAGCTGTTCCGTTAAACCGGGGTTTCTGTCATGCGGTGTATTACGCGGTCCGTCGATCCCATAGCGCGCAGTCGACCCTGTCCCGCTGCCACGGGAAATTAATTAGATAAAACAAATAGCGAGCCGTTTTTCATTAGCTTCCTCGCGGTCTGGTGATTGGTGTCGAGTTTTTTTTACGGGGAACAGTGGCCGGCAAATAATATCAGGTTTGCGGATCATGTTGATGCTTTATGGTCTAAATTGAGTTGGTGTTACCATTAGAAGTCCGAGATCTGAATGATTTATAAATCTCCTGTGAAGAGAGAAAAAATAGCAGAACTGAAAAAAAAATGAAAAAAGTGGCCAATTATTTGGGAACTTTCTTGAGAAAAAAAATCTAAAAGCTGGTGCGGTAGTGTCGATAGTGAAATGCAAATTCCGCCACCCCCTCCCCTTACCCAGTTGGATTTGCTGCCGAATTGAGCCCCTTGATTTTATCGAGTCGTCCTAGATTTCACAATGACATTTGTGTGTTTTGAACTTTCGTACTAACACCAATAATAATTAAGGCAGTGTTCCATACTTGCCACCACCATGTTGTTTGTACTCTTCCATTGTCCCAAACGAACTTTCACACAAAATAGGTCAGACACCTTGCGGGTTTATCAAGAACGATCCAAATAATTAACCAGAATGAATAAAAGATCGGCACCACTTTGTCAGATTGTCATAATGGCCACCTCTAGCGGGTCATAGCCATCTTTCATTATTTGATGCCCCTTTAATAAGGTTTGATGTAGATGAATAAAGACCTGAGACCCTTTTTTACCAAAGGGCCACTTTCGACTTCTCTTTTGGCCACAGGCGTCAATTTGCACGCATCTGTCTTGATTGTCACCGTAGTCTTCGCTGAAGACGCAATCGAAGTCTTTAACAGCAGTAGGTACTGGTCTTATTTGCCAGCATCCACAAACTACGCCTCGAAACTAATCTATGCGTACCTCATCGCTTTGTTCAAAAGATTTCAGACAAACTACACACGTACGTACATACTCTTGCTCATTAAAGATGTACATTCATCTACCATTCGTGTGCTTTTTTTTTTTTAACTAGGGCGCCCCCAACGGTAAACTTGACGATAATCAGAAAAAAAGGACAAACACTCTCAGACAACAAACAGACAATCGGGCCAACAACACGATCCGCCCCAACCCGGCGTATACAGAGAACAGAGCCCGTGATAGCTAGCTCGACATCCGAACGACTACCCAATTCATCACTGTTCCCTGCCCACTTTCCCCTGCCTGGAGAAATAAAATCGGACTAATAATTCAGCAGCAAGCAGCGATCTGATGGAGAGCCCTTAATGGCTGCTCATCCCCCAGGGAACCGGCGGCTTGTTGCTGACGAGCCAAGATGATCAATTTTTGATGTATATATCCGGCACCCCGCTAATGAATTTACTCCTCGCGCGCATGCAACGCGCGGTCTTTTGAGCAGGCCACGAACGCGGTCGCGATGGGGGCTCGGGGCGCATTATCCCCCGTAATCGCTAGCATTCTGACACGCTACACTCCCACCGAATTGGTGGTATATTTCAAGGGGGAATCCCCTCAGGGGGTACAGGAATCTTCAAATTCGGAACGGACGACTTGTAATGGATCATTGTCATGCAGGATCAACCGGCTTTCAGCCTCACGTTTTGGTAAATCAATCAAATTAACGAACCGGGGGGGGGGGGGGGGGGTTGAAGAAAAACGGTTTAAAAGGAGATTTTATGCTAGACTTGAAGCTATACCACTCCCATTATTACGAATTTCGGTGTTGTCAATCGACTGTCGCTATCGAAGAATAACACTGTGCCGCTGTACTGCCATTGGTCTGGTGTCTAGAAGCCAAAACAATATTACACGGCTAACTTTAGACTGGTCCCCGCCCCCATGAAACATGGGGACCGGTAGCAAGTTCCCATTCCATTGATTGGATCACCTCTGCGCGTGCGCAGTATGACACTTTCTAATTCAGCAAAATTCGAAGATTCTCACCACACAAGCTGCACATTAGTAGCCTTGTTGCCTTGCAATAGACTGGTTGCGCGCTAGCATTATTGTTGTGATTTTGTATTTAGGGTGCGGGAATCAGACATTTAGGCTAGTCCTGCATATATTTTTCATATAGCATTCATTGCTAGCTATACTTGTCGCTACATTCGAATTCAGAAGGACAATGGAGGGACCGATAACCAGTCTAGGCTAACTTATATCGTTGACATAGGGTCATATGAAAATCATACCTCGACTATACGGACGAATAAACCAATCATTATTGTCATCTCAAAGCCGTAATCAGGTCCGTCCAAAACATCTCACGTGACGTCACAAACTGGGTAAACGAACATTGCTCCGAGTACTTGACTTCTGATGACGATGCATCAGCACTGAATCAGTGATTAATTTCAAGATTATTGTGTCAATCCTGAGGGTTAAAAAAACACTCCTCTGGCTGCGATATCGTATTAGGATTGTATTTGGTAAACAACTTATCCAAGTGTCAACTACAACTTGTGACGTCCAGCGAAGTAAAAACAGCCCCATAGAGAGACATTTTTGTAGTGGGTGTTGTTTACTAGAGTATATACCCATGTCTCGTTATGTGCTTGAACATCATAATACCCAAACATCTAAAAGTCTACAAAAAAACGCAAGGCATCGCAGTTTTCTGGAAAAAATAACCTCCTCGTAAACGCCTCCGTACTTCAGCCGCGCATTAAAGAGAGAGGTTACAACGCAAACTGACACATAATCTGAAACGGTTGGCCGCTTTGGGCGTGAAAAAAACGGCTAATTTTAGCCGAGTGACAGGCGCGCTCCCCACAAGGATCCCGGGCAAATCATCAACCGACAAATTTGGAAGCAAATTCTTAGAAGTGTGGGTCTTTTTTAAGGGGAGTCATACAGGCAGCTGTTGTATCGCCAAATTGATCACCGTCTTTCGCTTAAAACTGGTGCGATGGGCTCTGTGCACTGTGAATGGGGTTAATGTGGAGTGCTGTGGCCTCGTGGTTAAGGGCACTGGATTCGTGGTCGGTGGGTAAAGCTGGGGGTTGTGGGTTCCAGTCCAGCCGGGGTCATGGTGCGTGTGCCCTTGGGCAAGGCACTTTGTCACTCATTGCTTCTCTCCACCCAGGAGTAAATGTATACCTGTGAGGGCAGAGATTGTTATTGTGATTGAATAAGCTTGCTTGCGCCTAACAGGCAGCATCGAGCTGTATACTCCCCAGGGAGCTGAGATGGTATTTGGAATGTTTCATTGGCCCAATGATCAGGGGTAATAATAATACTGTAAGCGCTGTGATTTAGTTTACTAATAAGAGCGTTCTTAAATGCCGATTATTTATGTTCGGTGATATATCATGATACGGGTCCGTCTACCATAGATGGGAAATTTCGTACAGTGGGCAGATATTCTTGGCTTAAAATATGTCGGTCTTACTTGTCTGTGCTTTGTACCTGTTTGTCGAAGGGACTCGAACAAGCGACCTTGCGAACTATTGAGGATCGCCAAGACAGGGCCGAGCGAGCGCTAGCGGTTAAGAGCACCGGACTCAAACTCTGGTGTTTCTGATCAGCAGAGTGTGGGTTCGAGTCCCGGTCTTGGCACTTGTGTTCTTAAGCAAGACACTTAACCATTATTGCTTCGTCCTTCGGATGGGCGTACAGCCGTCGGTCCCGTGCCGTATAATGCACGTAAAATAGCCCATGCAGTAACACTTATCGCTAAGAGAAGGGGTTCGCCCCTGTGTTTCTGGCAGTGCGTTATTATCAGGCTGCACTTTCAAGGAAGGAAGGAAGGGTATAGCTCAGTTGGTAGAGCGACGGTACGGCGTTCCGAAGGCCACAGGTTAACATCAGTCTCCAGTCAATATTG